TCGGTTAGAATCGCAAAAAATTTTCCAACGACGCCATGGAAGGAATTTGCGATTTAAATGTTTTATTTGGCTGCTTTCTTTTCGACAATCTATAAGTTACACTGCACTATTTTAATCACCTTTATGGTTAATATTTTTATTTTAATATAAATAAAATCTTTTTAAATAGTTAGAAACATGCGAAATAGGGGTGGTTTCACTTTGCCGCTGAAAACCAATCAAATTTTCAAGGCTAGCAGCCGGCGCATTAGAAAACTGTTTGTATTTTGGCAAGAACGGCAAATAACCAAGTTTTTTTTAAAGTTTACTAAACACTTGTTTAATTTTATCTGTCACATTATTATTGAAAATAGTTTAATATAATTATTACATATATCCGGAAATTGGTAAATTATTATTAAGCGAAAATCTAACGCACGTCCACACGCGACGAAGCCAGGATAGAAACTCCTGCCACGGTTACTGAACTTCATCCAGGATATTCAGAGGGAAACTCAAGGGAAACTCCGCTTCCAATTGGAATGGTATAACGGGATAGGACATCGAGTCTACACCCAAGGACTTTCGAGGGTGGGTTTCGTACATTGTGCCGGCTAACAGCTGCTTTTGTGTGTGTATTTTCCATCCCCCACAGTGGTTAGTTTCCACTGAGACTGGAGACTGGATGGCCGATATGACCGAAGTTCGGCTTGGAGACTTTTTCCCGAAACCGGGCACTACGAAAGCGACATTTGTTTTGAAACGAATGCAGCCGGTTGCCGGAGCAGGGTAACTTTTCCCGGACGGCGGCGGGTGGTGAAAATTGCGGGCCGGTAGGTGCCATAATAACGACGCAATAAATGACGAAACCATGACGACAAGATGAGACGCCCACTTGAACATGAATAATGAAACGGCCCTCCTTGATTCATCGTTCTCCCATTTCCCAGTGCCGAGTTCCCAGTCCTTCGGATCTCAAGACCTGTCATTCTCAGCCTGGCAACTGGCTAACTCTACTCTGCTTTTTAGACTGCCTCAGAGGATAGAATTATGTGATGAGCTATCTGCGATCTAGATATTAGACTTAATAAGATTTTTAAAAAATTTAGATCGGTTTGAATAAATGTAGTTACTTATTAATAATGATACTATGTATAGTTTTTGAGTTTTATTCATTCATTCATCAAAAAAAAGTATTAGAGTCAAAAATATTTTAATAAAATCAAATAGCTTAACATACAGAAGCGAAATAAAATTTATTGATTTTACTAATCAGATAAAATACCAATTTACTACCGCGTCTCTTAAAATTACCGATCCGTTGATGCTATCTAGATTTTCGTTTTGTTTTCGCTAATTCAAATTAGATTATGTTGATTTGCTCTTATACGGCGTATATACCTAATGAAACCTGTTGGTCTTTCAATAACCAAATGACTCACCTCCACATTTTCCACATCGAAATAGCAGAAAGTTCGTTTGGTCAGCTCAAACCATCGATGTTTATAATTTACAGGCGTAAAGCGTTTCTTGTTTTGGGCCCTTTTAACCATCGAACCGCTTTTGACAACATCAAACAATCTTTCAGACATTCTATCCATTTTTGCCTGAAAGGATTTGCTGCTCGATCGAAGCGATGATGATGACTTGATGCTGCCATTGACATGAGAGCTTCGATGTTTTGTGCCCATCATCTTGACAAGAAAAAGTGTCTGCAAAACAAGATAATGAAGAAAAATATTAGCTTACCAAAAACCGATGTTAATTTTTACAGGCAAGCAACATTGATTTGAAACCTTTTGTTAACTTTTTAGATAGGGTAAAAAGACTTTTAGAAAAAATTGTATATGTACTAATTTCTTAGCATATTTTTTTATAACCAATCATTTTATAAAAGTTTTTATTTATAGTGATTTGAAAGTAATACGAATTCCCGTAATATTTGGGCACTTGCTTTAAAATAATTATAAGATGTTTTTAAATATAAATATAAGATAATCAACCAACGGGCAAAATAAAGATTTTTAAATAGTTTTATGAGCTATTTTGTGGGACGTCACAAATAATGTCGCATTGGTATCCAGGGGGTTAAAATTAGAAGCGCTCACATAAAAAATTGGTTACAACACACTCTGAAGACAAGGCCATTAATCTATTTTTGGGGGGCGTGGGCGTGCGAATCTTTTGAGCGCCCCTCGAGGCATTGACCGTGGAACATTGAACCACTGAAACTTTGGAGCATTGGGAGTTACCTGGTTGACTAATTGCCGTGGGCGTTCCGGCTGACATCAATCAGAATGGAATAGTAAACAGTAGGGGAAAATATAGTTATACATTTACAGAAATAAAGGTACGGAGGATAGCGAAAAGAAGGCAGAGGAAGTGGTCGAGTGGACAGACAAGTCAGGCAGCAAATCGGGCGATTAAATGGACAATTAATTAGCTCTGGACTAGAGAGGAGCTATGTTCATATATATACTATATACATACATATAAATATTTGTGTATATACTGATACACAGATCACTAGCTGACCTTGAAGTCGCGCACAGTGGATTAAAGGATTAGCCCCAAAGCGGTATATTCCCGATGCCCCTCTCCCTTTTCCGATTCGCTTCCTTTTCGTTTTGCTAAGTGAGAAGCGTGTACACAAACAAACGGCACGTTGAAGCGGAGACTCCAGTCAGAGGAGCAGCTACAATACGATCTCCAGAATTATCACACTTCAACAAAAGCTAACAAGTGACAGAAAGGTACACAGGACCGGCATTCTGTAAATTGGCGAATGACAACATTTTCTTGCATCTTTCAATATATGTATGTATGTATGTACACATGTATTTCCTACAGGAAATTCAATTTATTATAAAACAATTTACCTTATTTTAGTTTTAAAGAAAAACCAAAACCAATCAATAAACCAAAAATATCAAGAATGTCAAAGTTATTATGTAACTATGTATGCATTATTTTAAGTAGCCCTTCCCTTCTATACAAAATACCAATTAAATATTCTTATTTTCACAAATCCGCTCCTGACCTTTCAAGGAACATGAACGGACTCGTCTGGAAATAAGCGAAACAAAACAAAAGCGACAAATGCTCGAGCGACAACAACTAGCTGGATCCTCTTCTTCTTTATTCTCTCCAGCTCCTCCGCCCACCTCACCCCCTCACTTTAATCAAGCAGAGCCGCTATAAAAGCAGTGGTGGGGGGAACAGAGCAGAGAAAGAGGGACTACGAGAATCTTGAGCGCAACGCGCATGGCCATAAGTAATAAAATAAACACGGACCAAGGCACAAAAAGGAAAAAAGGATGGCAGAAAGGCAGAAGGCGCAATGTGTACATAAATCTTTTTGGTGGAACGAGAGGCCCAAAGACCTGGGCTGTATGTGCATATATGAATGTATATGTAGGTATGAAGATATATACATATAGATTTATATACATATAGCGGGCGTGGCCTGGCAACTCGTTTTTGACTTTGAATTTCGCCACGCAAATGGTCGCGCTTAGTTTGTATTCTTCTTTGCATTTAATTTTTGTTTATTGTCGCGCTTTTTCTAGTCGAGAGACGTTAAAGAAGAAGACTGCAGATTGTGCGACCTTAAAAAGAATTTCAGTCTAATTGGAAATCAAGTGATCTATGAGCTGTTTACGCTTTTTTGGACCGAAAGTGGTAAGTTAATTTTTTTTTAAATATAATTGCATTTATAATACATACTCATAATATTTACTAAACTGGGAAGACTTACATTAAAAAATTAAATATTATTTCGAAATAAAATGGCTGACTTCCAACCAACTTGAAAATGTAACAACTTTGCAATCTTTTGTTTTTATATTACTGAAAATAAATACTTTAAATGGGTATAATTCCTATTAAACGTGAGAATTTCAACACAGGGTGCAACATAATCTGATCAGATAAAAAAAAACACGCACTCTTATAAGCTCTAAACAGACAAATCCAATGAGAACAGCATAATCATTTAAATTAACACTGATTTATTCTTTGCGTCACAAGTAGCGTTCTCAATTGAATACGTTGAACAAACATATGCACCCTAAGTAGCCTTCCTTCTTGGAAATTCAGTCTGATTAGAGTGCATCGAATTGGGAGCGCTCTTTCCTTATCAGCCCCCAATGAGAATACAATAGTTTCAAGCGCAGCTTGAAATGCAATCGAATTAGTGCTGATAAAACAAAGAACAAAAGAAGAAATACGATAGCGATAAGGAAAGAGGGAGAAAGAAGAAATTGATAACTGTGCCAGTGCGCTTACCACAAGTGCCGTTGATTGAGCAATTTGAAGCAATGACCCGACCGCATAACAACAACAACACCAATAACACCGACCACACACTTTACTAACAACAAATCACAATTCTCCAATTGGACCGAACAGACCGAATAAACAACAACAAATCACTTTCGTTTGCGCGGCGACGAGAGTAAATACGAAAAATCAACCGACCGGCTTGTTCAGCATTTGCATACTGCGAAAAAAAAACTTTATAAACAATATATAACGCAGGCACAGCTGAGACGCTCACACAGACGAGCAGACACCCGCACACACCTGCACAAATTGGAAAGAGAGGAGCAACAGGCGCAACGTAGGATTCTTGGAATTTTTCACTTTGTGGCTCTTGTTATACTTGCACTTTTACAAATGTATGGTTTACCCCGAAGTTTTATTGTTTATTCACGTTCCAGCTGTTATTCTGTTTGTTTACAATCATAAACTATAATTAAATAATAACGATTTTATATAAAACGAACTAAACGCGCCGCCGCAACTTCGCTGGAGTGTGACCGAGTTTTTCTTGGGGAAATATACTACTGGCCCCAATATCACTTTCTTTTAAATATTTGTAAAAAATACTATAAAAATATACAATTTTTCTTTTCCCGCGCAATATTGTTTGAGATTAATTATTTAATTATTTATTAGATTAATCTTATTATTTTATTTAAAAATCATAGCTACAAATATGCATTAAAATTTTAGAACAATTTTGTGCAACGTATTCCAAAGGTTTATTTACCAGAGCAATCTTTTTTTATTTGAAAAAATACTGTACTTAAGTACTTAACTAGTTAGTATTCTTTACATTTTATGAGGCCTACAAAAATAGAATTTAAAGTTAAAAGACTTTTGGTAATGCACGATAGCGAAGAGGTTTCTACACAAAATGCTAGTTAATATTGGGAATGAGATTCCCTCGACCTCCACTTCAGTTCTCCTTTTTCTGTATGGAGGCAATCCGCCAAGCGCCCACCAGGTAACGCAGCCAGATCATGAACAAGTCTCTGCCCATTTGTAGCCACGACCAGAAGGGTGTCAATTTCGAGCCATCGATTTCTGTCCAACGAACAGCAACTTCAGACATGGGCACCTTCAATTTCTCGGCAAGGTACAGCAGCTCCACATCAAAGGCCCATCGCTCTACGTGAAGACTGGTGAAGAGCTTTCTAGCCGTAGTCCGGGAGAATAACTTAAAGCCACACTGGGTATCGCGGATTGACCGTACCGCAAAAAGCCACACAAGGAAATGAAAGCCGTGCATCAAAATAGTTCTGCGGAGAAAATCGTGTTAATGAAATTTAAATTGAATATATTTATTCAAGATGTTAAACCATATTTTACCTAAAGAAACTTCTCGTGGCAATTGCATCGTCTTCTAGATGAGCTCTTGATCCTATAGCGATGCCATCGTCTCGCCATTCGGAAGCCAGTTGCTTTAAGGCAACCTCCAGTTTATCATAGTCTGCGAATTTGGTGGCTCCATCAGCATCCGCGAAAAGCAGATTACGACCTCGCGCGCTTAAGATGCCCATGCGGACAGCTCCTCCTTTGCCACGATTTTCGATGAGTTCCAGGACACGCACTTTTTCTGCTCCATGCTTTTTTGAGTAACTCAGGGCCACGCTAACTGTGGCATCCTGGCTGCCATCACTCACCACGATTACTTCGTACGTGAAGCTAGGATTTCCTGCGGATTTCTGTTCTAGGAACGCCAAACACTCATCCAGCATAGCAGGCACTAAAAATATAAAAAAATGGTATTATTAAATATACTTAAACTATATAAACAAATCAACTTCTATAGGTATAGCTAAAATTTTTCATTTTAGTATTGAATTCCAACTAGGAGTTATTCCTAGGAGATATTAAAATCTGTAGATTAAGCAAACTGGTGAATTACCCAGAAATCTATAATGTAAAAAACCCTAATTGCGGTGGAAAATTTGGAGCGTTCAATCATAAAAGGGCATAGATAAAAAGTTGTCTGTGATTCATCAACAAAGCTAACATACATCGCTGCTCCTCATTATAGGCTGGCACAATGACACTGAGCTCCACACTTGGGGTATCCTCAAGGCTGGGAAAGGTGAATGTTTTTATGCTGTTCGGATCCAGGAAGGTCTCTTCATCCTTGTGCCTCTTAATGTTGGGATAGGGCTTCGTTTTGTAAAGAACCACAGCCACGATCTAAAACCACAAGTTATCAATAATATGATAATGATTGGCGAATGTTTATGAGAACTTACCGACAAGGCCGCAACTGCAATAGCCGAGAGCAGATAGAAACACAACTGGCACACACAGGTCCACATCGTACGGGATTTTTTTATGGCTAGTGTATTTGAACAGGTGCGCCTGCTACCTGTCGGCAGACATTACTTCTCCAATTTGTGCGAGATAAACGGAGCCACGTATTGAATTCCAAGAATTTTAGCCCGAGTTTTGTGTCGCAGCTGATTAGGGTTGTCACCTAGATTTAGAGATGGGCAGTACCCTCAAATCTGTGACCGTTCGACCAAGACTGCTAATATCGATAAATGGTTATCGCTTAAAATAATGTTATTGTAAATGGAATAGATACGGTACGGTTTTCAAAAAAGGCTCGAGATCAAGTAACATAAAAAAATGACGAAATTGTTTTTTATAATATTGCTATTATAATTAGATATAAGTTAAGTAAACATCTCATAACTGACCTTAGTCACAGGTTTCTAGGTGTCAAGACAAAAACGCGCAGGCGCTCTCTTTCAAAAGAAGAAAACAACAATTTGGTGGAATATATGTAGTCTCCCATTCAGATACACACCATAGGAATTTTTCTTCGTATCTGAAGAATAACAATTTGTTTATAGTCAATTAAAATGTGCTTGTGAATCGTTAACGGATAATAAAAACAAAAATGAAGTTTATAAACTTTATAGTGACCGTACTAGCTTTAATCTGCAATAGAGTCGAAGGTTTAAAATTGCAGGCAAATGTGGGGGAGCTGTTCTCTTATAAAATTGAACCACAACTCTTCAATTGGACACACCAGGTTATCAGCCAGCAATTTCGCTACAGACCGTCTTTGAAGAGCTACCCCGATTTGCCCAGTTGGATGAGATATATGTATAGCCATGAATACCATGCCGGTTTCCTATACGGAACTCCACCAGAATCGGCGGCTGGAAAGGACCTTAGCCTGGATGTGGTGGCCCTGAATCGGCAAAATTACGAGACCCGACATGTCGTGGTCTCAATGTTTGTGGCCCACAAGTTCCCCACACCCAATGTAGTGCAGATGAAAATTAACAATCTGAATTGGGTTCATATCATTGGAGATCCCGGTAGGGTGGAGAACTTACGCAACATATTCCGCAACGATCTGTGGCCAAATAGTAAAGAGGATCTGAGTGTGGTCTTCATGGAGTCTGCTGTGAATATGGGAGGACGTCTTCCTCTACGACCCCAGCAGCGTGAGGGGTAAGTCGAAATATGTATAAACAGAGGATCTGTTGATTTTCCCGAAGATTCAAAATCACCAAAAAAGTGCGTTAAAGTATGTTGAAATAAACTCTCTTCTGAATAAATGCAGAACAATGTGTTACATTTTTCCAGAGCATACTTTTGGGCAGCATCAATAACTTTAACATTAACATGTAACCCATTACAGAGTCATTGTCCATGTGGGAAGCTTTGCCCAATTCTCACCCCGACTAATGGAACTTCAAGAGGAAGTGCGTCCATTATATAAACTGCCTTCATGCACTTACAAGCGCACATCCGTCCAGAAAATCTTCGAGAATGTCGGCTTCAAATTGGATTGGTGCGCCTTTCGAATGGTTGGTATGGAATCGCCCACAGAAATCCTCTTCCACAGCGGCAAGCAGAATGAGCAGCAGGTGGCGGAGGACCAGAATCAAAGGCAACAGGATCGATGGATGGGAATATCCAGGGAAGATGTTCCGGAGCGCAATTACATCGACGAATTCGCCTTTGCCTTCGCCATTCCAGGCATGATATTCGCAATTTTAATCGGGATGTTATCCGCTGTTTTGTGTTTCCAGCACGAGAAGTTGTGAGTTCCCATTTTTGGGAAAAATTGAAATTATTTTGATTTAATTGTATTCTAATTTTTGTACGTTTTTTGTAACCTTATGTTTCTTTGCTCTTCAGTTCCGATCCGCATTCTGAGTTTTTCTTTGCCAACATTTTCCACATCTGCGAAGAGTCCTGTGCGCCAAGCGCGACAAGCGATTCTGGGGCGGATGATGGTTCTGAGAGGTGATTTTCCAATATATTTATTATGTTTTTTTTTATCCCTGATCTAATTTGAAATATTTTATTAATCACTGTGACCTGTTTTTAGTTCTTCGAACTCGGATTATCCCATGTCATCGACTGTTCAAATGGTCCAGTGTTCCAATCAACCCATAACAACCTTGAAAAGCCTCAAGGACCCGAACTTCCTTTTGGACAATACTAGCATTCGATCTCAGAGGTAAGCTAAATGTAAAAATAGAGCTACTTAGTTAATAATATTTATAATTTATTTATTGCAGTCCTAATAATAGCTTTTACCAATTGGACTGTGGAACCTCAAGCATTTACGCTCGACCCAAGCCACCGCCCTATAAGGGCGGCACTTTGGGACGAAATGGAGTGAATATATGACAATCATCTCCCCGAGTGCTTTACTGCTAAAAGGCTTTGGATCTGAACCTATGAAATCTCAATAAGCAATATCGAGGAGCGTTATATCAATTGCATAAATACTCACACCTGCCGAACTAGACAAACCATATCGTAATTATCAATTTATATACATACGCAAGCATAAAACTAGCCAATTTAGTTTGCCATTTGAGAATGAAGGCAATTAAATAAAGGAGTCGTTTTTTTAGAAATCTTCGGGTTTTAAAATTTTTTGATCAGTGGGTTCTAAAGTCTTTTAGTTAAAAGAAAGAAAATCAAAATCAAAATGGAATTTGAAAAATTTCTTGGAACCTATACTATATATACCTGCAAAGTAGAAAACTTTTGAAATTTTCGCGCTTTATATTAAAAGGATGTTCAAACATGAAATCGATGATTCAGTGAAAGCCAAAATATCGATTGGAAAATCGATTTTTATTTCCAGCTCTAGAATGAATATTCCGCAAGTTTTCGTTTTTCGGAGAAAGTTTTTACAGTTTTTGCGCGCTGCACCGGGCAACAATTATTCGCAATGGCGCCCGCCGATAATGGGCTTCTCGAGGTCTTCGAAAATCTTCTTGACCGATATAAAATCAACCTCCTGCAGATGATTTTCGGCACCTTCATCGCCACGATCGTGTTTTTTGGCGGATTGATGACATTCGTGGAGAAGTACTTGCCGAACAGCATACGTCAGTCCTTCCGTTATGGAAAACACAGTTTCAAGGGCGAAACAGATCCTTTGGTGGCCTGGCTAGAGGTTCCGAAGTCTTGGTTTAAACACTTCTACGTCTTCGCCTTGTTCTGGAGCTGGTTAGGCTTTTATCTGCTCATAACAACTGTTCAGGAACAAAAGGAGGCGCCGGAATATGTACTGCGATTCCTGGATATTATGGGCGGTGGGCGGAGTCACCGGAAGGTGGAAATCGACTCCACGACGGCCTGTGTGGGCACACTAATGCTTACATTGCAGTGCACCCGGCGTTTTTACGAGACTAACTTTGTCCAAATCTTCTCCAAAAAGAGCAAGATCAACCTGTCCCACTATGCCGTGGGCTATGTGCACTACTTTGGAGCTATTATAGCTTTACTATCCAATACCTCCGGCTTCGTGCGCGGTTCGAAGCCAATGGAGTTCAGCTTGGACAAGCTAACGGGCCAGCAAATACTCTACCTCGTCATTTTCTTTGCCGCATGGCAACAGCAATATGCCAGCAACATGATATTGGTAAACCTAAGAAAAGATCCACAGACTGGAAATGTCAGAACGGAGAAGCATCTCCTGCCCAAGGGAGGGCTGTTCAATTTGCTTTCGTCGCCGCACATGTTCCTTGAGGTGGTCATGTACTTCTGCATTGCCGATCTCTATATGCCCGTGAGGATTTGGCGGCTTATCTTCCTCTGGGTGGCCAGCAATCAAACGATTAATGCTCTGCTAACCCACAAATGGTACAGAGAAACATTCAGGGAATATCCGAAGAACAGACGTGCCATCATTCCGTTCCTGCTCTGAGTCCGAAGACTGGAAATACTTCGCATTTTTGTACAAATAATTTAGTAGTGGAATTTATTAAAGTCGTTTTACACGCACGAAAAATGTGTGCTCGCTGGTGATTTTAACTACAAAACGATATAGGGGGAACTTGAACTGGAACAGGACTGCAGTCGATTCTATTTGAACAAGAAACTGTGTGGGAAAGAGTGGAGAACGCCAGTTAAATATGTGATGATATTGATTTGGGAATATAATGTTTTACCTATAGGGATAGCCTTGTGCCTTCGATCGAAAAACGGACAGCAAAAATGAAAAGAAGACGGTGAGGAGCACCAAACCAGTCATCGCCATTATCCTGTTTTTGTTATGGCTCTTTGGGGTTCCCGATTCGATAAGCAGAATCATGCCTAGCACAATCATTGCATCTGAAATGAAAAGATGATGTGTTTATGTTTTTAGTTAGAGGAAATTATGTGTTTTAAACTCGAATTAGAAAATTTTATGTTTTTTTTTTTTATCATTTGGAAATGATAATAGAAAAAACTAAAAAAAAAATACTTACTCAGGAACATGACGATATAGGTCTCAACCACCAGCTGGCCCTGCGAAGAACCGTGGATGTAGGCAACGCCACCATTCTGTGACTTGTGCACCAGTGGTGGTCCACGGATGTGGTTCCACATCTGGCCAGAGATCATTGCAAAGCAGAAGAACACTGCAATGGCGCCCCACAGATTCTTGTTGTACAGGAACTCCAGGTTGTTCCGCCGGATGTAAAGGAAACTGCCCACCAGGGCCACAAGAGTGATCATGGCCACGGTGCCCGAATAGTTGGGCGGACGGAATATGCGGATTGTGATGTCAGTTCGCTCAGCCACGAACTTAGCAATAGAATCGGCAGCGAAGCCTACTCGATGAATGTCCATAGTGTCGGCACCCTTTGGCTTACCCTTTGCCGGGAAATGCATGAACACCGGAGCCGTGTTCAGGCGCAGAATTTGGAAAACCTCGGATCCATCATCGAAGTCAACCATGGCGAAGAAAAGTTTGTTAGAGTAAGTCGAAGAGATGCGGTACGAGTTTGCCACGATGGCAAACTCATCGTGGGCGTGTCGGCATATCTGACATTGCCTCGAGGGAGCCAAAGCAGTGAGCATTACAATCATAGAATAATTTCCGAGGAGAACTCTTCACGTACTCCCTAAACTTGGGACCATTAAAGCGGAGCAGAGGCTTCTTAGCGTTCATGTCCACTAGGTTTTGTACTTTCTCCGACAGCGTAAGGCCCGACTGAAAGGGATTTAATGCCCATTAATAACATGATATTTTTATTTCTAGCCGGCATTCTGGGATGTGGAACTAGAATGTCCACGGAAAAGTGACGTGGCCACAAACAAACCTTGGATCTTATTTGCCCGGCCGCGTAAATAGCGAAAATCGCCACTATCAGCAGCCCGCTAAGCAACGTCTTGTGCAGTAGCCTCATTCTGCAGGCTAGATTATTAACAATTTCACTACTTTAACGCAAAATCACAGAAAAAACGTTTAATCCAAAATATTTTTCCGGCGCATGCAGCTGATTGTGAATGGCAAGCGGCACCTGCGTGTCGTCCACTGTGAATTATCTTTTCGATTCTCTAGATGTGGGGAAAACAACTATATCGATAGATCATATTAATCTGATGTGGTAGTTTTAAGAACAAAAATATATTTTTGAATTTTGTAGTCATATATTTTTGAATTCATAATCAATTTAAATCATATATACTAAAAACCAATGCTGAAAATATTATGAATTAATTTGATGTTATTATTACCGATAGTGTCTTAAGGTGTTATCGATACTGCTATGACCGCCGTGCGGTCACTAGTGTAATTTTTTAGAATTGTGATTTTTAAACGCATTTAAGTACGTTTTTAAAGCATTTTTTAGTATGAGCGACGTGCTGAAGAGCTCCCAGGAGCGATCCCGCAAGCGCCGTTTGCTTTTAGCGCAAACTGTAAGTTTTCCATCCACGTATATATAAATCGGCGTCATATTTTACTCATAAATTATGTACTTCTTAACTTAGTTGGGATTGTCGAGCGTGGATGATCTGAAGAAGGTCCTGGGAAATGCGGAAGATATCAATAGCAGTCGCCAGCTAAATCAAGGTGGGCAGCGTGAGGAAGAGGATGGTGGGGCCTCTTCCTCCAAGAAAACCCCCAATGAAATTATCTACAGGGACTCATCCACCTTCCTCAAGGGAACTCAGTCTTCCAATCCGCACAATGATTACTGCCAGCACTTCGTTGACACCGGTCAACGTCCTCAAAACTTTATTCGCGATGTTGGACTGGCTGACCGTTTCGAGGAGTATCCCAAACTGAGGGAACTAATCAAACTGAAGGACAAACTCATCCAGGACACGGCATCCGCTCCAATGTACTTAAAAGCGGATCTCAAATCGCTTGATGTCAAGACCCTGGGAGCCAAGTTTGATGTCATACTGATTGAACCGCCACTGGAGGAATATGCCAGGGCAGCTCCATCGGTGGCAACTGTTGGAGGAGCTCCTCGGGTCTTCTGGAACTGGGATGACATACTTAGTAAGTAGCTTGCAAAATATTGTCTTACATATGCCAATAACCGTGTTTTTTTGACAGATTTAGATGTAGGCGAGATTGCCGCTCACCGATCTTTTGTATTTCTGTGGTGCGGCTCCTCGGAGGGCTTAGACATGGGCCGCAATTGCTTGAAAAAGTGGGGGTTCCGCAGATGCGAGGACATCTGCTGGATACGCACCAACATTAACAAGCCCGGACACTCCAAACAACTGGAACCGAAAGCGGTCTTTCAACGCACCAAGGAGCACTGCCTAATGGGTATCAAGGGAACCGTTCGTCGCTCTACAGATGGTGATTTCATCCACGCCAACGTAGACATCGATTTGATCATCTCGGAGGAAGAGGAATTTGGTAGCTTTGAGAAGCCTATCGAAATATTTCACATCATCGAACACTTCTGTTTGGGTCGACGACGTTTGCATTTGTTTGGCAGGGATTCGAGCATCCGACCAGGTTGGCTTACTGTGGGTCCGGAACTGACAAACTCGAATTTCAACTCCGAGTTATATCAGACCTACTTTGCTGAGGCACCAGCGACGGGTTGCACCAGTAGGATTGAACTTTTAAGGCCCAAGAGTCCTCCGCCGAATAGCAAGGTATTGAGAGGAAGAGGACGCGGCTTTCCACGTGGTCGTGGTAGGCCCAGATAACCAGATTTTTACTCTACAACTGCATGTATTCTAGTGTCTAAGATCAAAGATGTTTAAGGCTAAGAATAAGACTAACATTAAAGACTATTGCTGCAGAATGCCCAGTACCCTGTGGATTTACATGGTTTTGTTAAGATAGCCTTCCAGCAGCTCTCTTATCTTTTTTGACTAATGCTGCAAGCTATGGTGATTGTTTAAATGTCGCATGTAGATGTCCAACTCATCCTCGCTGGACGCTTCCTTATCTTCGGTATTATGGTTCCCCAGATCCTCTTCATCATCGCTGTCCTCGAAATAGGCATCTTCCTCATCCTGCTCAATTTGTTTTAGATCATCCAGCAAGGTGTTATCATCTACGGCTGAATAATCAAAGTCCTTATCCTCTCCACTCAGGAAGCGTTCCTTCATCATGCTAAGAAACTCATTTCGCAGCAGTTCTCGCTCTCCAGGATTATAAAACTCCGGTGTGGAGATATTAGTTATGTTAGCTGGAATACTACACTCTGCATTTCGACTTGTTGAGCAGGCAATCGGCTCATCATCTTCAAATCCACCCCATTGCTTTCGACAAGCTACGGGAACTTCAAAGTCGGCGGGAGTATGGATTTCACTTCTTACCTCCCTTTTATCATCTTTATTCGGTTGAGTTTCCTCTAGCAATTCATCTCTTTGCTTTTTTTCCAACGTGTGCATGAGTATTCCAGAAAAGCTGGTGTTCCTAACATCGTAACTATCACGAGCTTTCTTTTCGGCCTCCGTTAGGTATTGACCAACTAACTCCTGATAGAGATCGGGAGCCCTTTGCATCATCTCGTGCTCGCTGAAGTATTCTCCCTTATCTAGGAGCTGCTGCATAGCATGGTATCTTCTATTTTTAATGCATACTGAACGAGTGCTAAGTTTTCTTTTGAAATCCTCCAGCAGCAGGCACATTTCCTCCAGATTCTCATCGGGTTTGATGGGTTCTTTGACGGCCAGGTTCTGGAAGGATCCAAGTTGTCCAACATTCAGAAAGCCTCCAAATCGAATAAGGAAGTTTTCTCTGTTCTTTTCAAATGCTTCACGTGCTATATTTTCTTTTTCCTCAACAGGAATTTCCGGATCATCAATTTGCTGTGACTTTGAAGACGATTTTGTTGTTTTCGGCCAAGGATTTAAAGATATCCATTAGTTCCAGAGGTATTTCCGTATTTTGTAAAGTAGCCTTCCCATGGCTCTCATCGTCTCCTTCCACTTCGTTTTCAGTTCCAGTCGTCATAATTGTTTACGCAAATTGCACAAAAAGTGTTAAATAAAATGTAAACAAATGCTTCTTCTTCTTACGTGTTTATGTCGTTCACAACGATTTGTTGGAGTCATTCCCATTTTTTCTAAAATATAGGGATTTTTAATATGTGATATTTTAAAATAATATTAATTGCATTATTTAAACTTTATTTATTTAGAGCATTAATAATATTTAACTAAATACCCTACTTAAAAAATAAATAAACTGAACCTCCAAATTTGTTTAAAAATGTTAGTATTCAGAAATTCGAAGAAACTGAAATCGGAAACACTCAGTTCTATAAAAGTTGGCAACCCTCAGCATAGCGGCTGTATTTTCATTACGAACTTTATCAGACGTCGAATTGTTGTGTTTATCGCTTTGTTTAACGCCACTCGGTGGTTTAGTGGTGCAAATGCCTAACCAGCGATGACTAATTAATCAAAACTAGCAAAAGATGGAGGAATCGATCAAGATGTCGTCTATTGATTGGGGCGACTTTTCCTGGAACTGGACACAGTTCTGTCCCACGGGATTAAAGCCGTTCGCCAACGAGACAAACGATCTGCTGCCCTGCTTCCAGAAGATCCTGCTCCAGCTGCCCATCTACACGATCTTTGCCGCCATATCCGCCTACAATTTCGGTAATCAGTCGCGTCCAGTTGTTCGGAATGGATTGCAACTGCGAATGTTATGGATCCGGGCCTTCTTGGCCATTGTACTGGCCCTGCTCCCGGTGGCCAAGGTATTCGCTTTCCACCAGCAGGGCATTGAACTAGTCGCAGTGGATGTGCTGGTGGTTAGTGCCGAGTGCATTATGTGGGTGGTTCACAGCGGTAAGTGTGCGGTTTTCCTTTCTCGGGGGTTTACCTCGAGTCAATACCTTATGTACAGATGCATGCGGGCATGTTCCGGGTTTCCTTTTCGCTTTCTTTGATTCTAACTTAAATGAAAATTTAAATAAATTAATCGATTAAATTGTATAACAATTGAATTGCAACATTTAACTTACATCCTTTTTTTTCTTAAAATCAAAATAAAATTTGGCATTAATTAGAAAGATTTTATTCTGTACTTAAAAAAAGGACAAACTGAAATATAAATTTTTGCTTTCTTGGTATTTATTTAACTGAACAATAAAGCCTCGTTAAATACAAGCATACACGAGTTCCTACAAAACAGATATGTTTAATAAGAAAAATAAGTAAAATTGCAAAAAAAAGATAAACCTACCATAATAATTTACGACCCCTGTTTAATCAGCCTTCTTCTTTGTACCCCATCCACAGGTTTCCTATTGACAGCCCGGCAATATGGAGAGCTTAGTCATCGTGGATCGCTGCTAATCAATGTCGTTTGGCTCACAGTTGTCGTTCTGGATGCGGTATGGCTACGGACTAGTCGTCACTTTGACTGGTGGCCTTGGAGCCTGGCCACTTTGATATGTGATCTATTATTTGCAGCCACCTTGATACCCAAAGGAAGTGCTGTTTACTCAAGCTTACCCAGAGGAGGACATTCTGATAGAGAGGATGAGGCTCTGCTAACTCAGAGATATACTTATTTCTATGTCGATGGGAATGAGAGCCATTTGGGTCATGCCCAGGATGAAGCGAACTGGGGATCGCGATTTCTTTTCCACTGGGTTCAGCCCCTAATCTCGAAAGGAGTGGCCGGAAAGTTAAGAAAAATTGAGGATCTGTTTGATCTCCCCGACGCCCTGAATATCACTCGCCTTAGTGAGAGGTTGCACTTAGCTCTATCCCAGTCCCAGAGTTTATGGAGAGCACTGCACAGATGCTTTGGAGTGGAGTTTTATCTCATAGGAGTCCTTAGATTGATTGCAGATTTGAGTGGCTTTGCAGGTCCTTTACTACTCGGAGGATTACTCAGACAGGATCATACGGACTCCAACCAGGTTTATTATTATGCCCTTGGACTCTTTGGAAGCACCTTACTTTCGGCCTTGTGTGCCACTCACTTTGACTGGCGCATGGCCATGGTTTCCATGAAAATGAGAGTGGGAGTCGTCAACTCCATATACAGGAAGGCCCTAGAGGCGAGGGGCTTAAAGGAGTCCAAGCCAGATGTGCTAAATCTTATGTCAACGGATACGGATAGAATTGTAAACTCTTGCATCAGTTTCCACTTCTTTTGGAGCATTCCCTTCAAGCTCTTTACCACATTGTACCTGCTGTATCTTCAATTGGGAGCAGCTTTCCTTGCGGGTGTAGTATTTGCCGCTTTGCTTATTCCGATCAACAGATGGCTGGCCAAAAGAATTGGCATATTTTCAACTGGTTTAATGACTGCAAAAGATGCTAGGCTATCTGCCACCACGGAAACAATGCAGGGAGCCAAGCAGATTAAAATCAATGCCTGGGAGGATATTTTTATCACCAAGATTCGAGGGCTTCGGCAAGAGGAGCTGCGATTCTTATCGAAGAGGAAATACCTGGATGCCATGTGCGTTTACTTTTGGGCTACTACTCCTGTGCTAATGTGTCTGCTTACTTTTGGAGTATCCGTATTAATGGGAAATCAGTTGATAGCTTCTACTACCTACACCAGTGTTGCCTTGCTATATATGCTCATTGGACCGTTAAATGCCTTTCCATGGGTGCTGAATGGTTTGATTGAAGCTTGGGTTTCCATTAAAAGAGTCCAGCAACTGATGGATGTTCCCAACTTGGATTACTCCTCTTACTACAATCCGATAATGAGAGGAAGCGGAGGATCTGGAGTCGGAGAAGATGCTCCGTTGGATGCTCCAAAAGCCAGTGTTTTGCAGATGAAGTGCGCTAGTTTCTGCCACGACAGCATAGAAAACACATCGCCAAGTACTTTCCGCCTGAAAGATATAAACGTGGATATAAAAACAGGACAACTCGTATGCATCGAAGGACCTGTTGGAGGTGGCAAAAGCAGCTTTCTTTCTGCTGTAGTGGCTAATCTCCAGTGCACCGATGGCGAGGTGTGCGTCCAAGAATTGACCACTGGATTCGGTTACGTGCCCCAGTCACCGTGGCTCCAGAGAGGAACCATTAGGGATAACATCGTATGGGGATCGCAGTTCGATGAGCAGTGGTATAAAACTGTGTTGCATGCTTGTGCTTTGGAGGAGGATCTCCACATCCTTGGAGGAGATCTCATCGGCGTGGGTGAGAACGGAAGAACGCTGTCTGGAGGTCAAAGGGCGAGAGTGGCACTGGCTAGAGCTGTTTATCAGGATAAGAAAGGTAAGTTGGTCCTGTATATATTAAATTTAGATAATATTATTTCACATTTTTTTCATTTGACAGTATACCTTCTGGATGATGTGCTCTCCTCCTTAGACGCCCACGTGTCCAGACATATAATCAAGCACTGCATTCTGCGTCTGCTCAAGCATAAAACGCGCATTGTGGTCACACGGAGCATTCAGTTATTTTTTCACGCTAATCAGATTCTTCAGGTAAAAGATGGACAACTCCTTCCTAGTGAATACATGACCCAGAGCATTGATTTGAGTGATGAAGAAGAGGCGGATGATGATCATAAAGAGGCATCAAGGCGACGTTCAGTGGAGTTATCCAATCAGGATGACAAGAAGAGTGTAGATAGTTTGCTTCTGGAGGAATCTAGAGAGTATGGACATCTATCAGGGGACGTTTTTACCTGCTATTGGAAGGCTGTGACTTCTCCACTGGCTTTCACTGTCTTGCTCTCCGTACTTCTTATGCAATTGACAAGAAATCTAAGCGATGCCTGGCTAGCATACTGGGTAACTGAAACTACTTTGGATCCTCATTCTAATGATACTTCATTGGATCACGAATTGATGCGACCTGCGTTGGGAAATGAAACGGAATCGGGACACACGACAAGATTCTATCTGAGTATCTTCACCGCCATCGCTGTGACCAATTCCTTGGTGACTCTGGCCAGGGCGTTTCTCTTTGCCTACGCTGGAATAAAGGCGGCAATCTATATGCATGAAAAGCTCCTAAAGAAAGTCATGTTTGTAAGCATCTAACGGTTTAAATCCTTTACAATTTTTAATTATAATTACATTTTCTAGGCCAAATTTAATTTCTTTGACATCACCTCTGTGGGTCGTATTCTGAACCGCTTCTCATCCGATACAAACACTGTGGACGACTCTCTGCCATTCATCCTTAATATTCTATTGGCGCAACTTGCTGGCTTAGTTGGAGCTTTCTGCGTCAGCCTATATGCAATGCCTTGGTTGGGCTTTGGTGATAATTCCCATGGTACCAATCTACTTAAACTTACAGCAACGCTACCGCCATGCCTCCAGGGACATCAAACGATTATCGAGCAATGCAATGTCACCGCTTTACACCCATTTCACGGAGACACTTCAGGGACTAACGACTATCAGAAGTATGCGAGCAAGTCCACGGTTTCAGAGGGATTTCCAAGTGAAGCTCGAGGAGAGCATTAAGGCCCAGTTAACCCAATCAGCAGCTCAACAATGGTTAGCTCTTAGACTGCAGTTGCTGGGAACATTGCTTGTTGGAGGAGCAGGTCTTTTGGCAGCCATTACAGCCTCTCATACAACCAATCCTGGATTGGTGGGCCTGTGTATCTCCTATGCCCTTTCCATAACAGGTCAATTAGGCGATCTACTTCATGCTGTGGCTGAAACAGAGCAGGAGTTGGTGGCTGTAGAGCGTATAGATCAGTATCTACAACTGGAGGAAGAACAGAATGCTGCTGGAAGTGCAGAACCGCCATTTGGATGGCCTACCCAAGGAGTTCTAAGTTTCAGGGATGTTCAACTGAGCTACAGAGAACACTTGGCGCCAGCTTTAAAGTGTGTTAGCTTCCAAACTGAGGCATTTGAGAGAATTGGCATTGTAGGACGTACAGGAGCAGGAAAAACATCTGTCTTGGCTGCCCTTTTGAGAGTGGCGCCATTGTCGAAAGGAGAAATTCGATTAGATCAGGTTAATTTGAAAACTTTGGCTTTGAGAGTACTCAGGGAACGAATAGGGGTTATAACCCAGGAGCCATTCCTCTTCGAAGGTTAGTATCAGGTTTATTAGCTGTTATTTATTAAACTTAATAAAAACTTTTACCTTTCTCCAGGCACTGTGCGGGAAAATTTGGATCCCAGACATAGCTTCTATGACTCTGAGATATGGCACGCTATTAAGAACTCTGCAGCGGCCACTCTTCTCGTTCAGCAGTTGGGAGGATTGGACGGCAAAGTTGAGTCATGTGGCAACAACCTTTCCGCTGGTCAAAGGCAACTTCTCTGTTTGGCAAGGGCCTTGCTGAAAAATGCAAAGGTGGTTGCCATCGATGAGGGTACTTCCAATCTAGACGACGAATCTGATTTGAGCATTCAGCAAGCCTTAAGAAATGCCTTTAAGAGTTGCACTCTCCTATTTATTGCTCATCGCTTGCGCGGACTCCACGCCATGGATCGTATAATAGTATTGGATGATGGAAGAATTTGTGAGGAAGGCAACCCCCAAGAATTGGCTTCTAATACATCAACTATTTTTCATGGAATGTTAGTTGCCCAGGACATTAATCCAGAGGATTTCGTCAGACCGAAATAGCATTAAGGAAAGATTATTAACTACCAATTGTATATAAGTCAATTGTTACACGATTCTATTTATTATTTGATTTAATTTGTATTTTACTTGTATTCCTAACTTATAATTCCGTTTTGAGTTTACTTAATTAAGAAATTGAGAAAAACTAAAATCTCTTGTTCTAGCTTTATTTCATTGTACAAAGGAATTTGATTGACCAACTATTTTTGTAGTGAATTTAACAAAGTAATTAAACCCGTACAAAGTGTACAGAATTATATTATATTGTAAAATATAAAAGTTTTTGATTGACTAGTTCTTACCAAAAAAAATGGGAATGCTTAAAAGTTCTGAAATTTAGTTATTAGCTACTTTTAAGGTTTAGTGAATCAAACCCAAAATTTTCTATTGGAGCATTAATTTGAGGATTTTTTCAATTTATGTTTAAGGCACTTCTGTAAACCGCTAGATTTTCTCTTAGGTTTCGCAATTAAATTCTTCGCTAAAATTATTTTAATTGAGTCTAGTTAAATGATTAAATACTAAAAGTGCCAAACTTTATGTAATAGCTAAAGCTTTTCAGTTAGATTTCATAGTTAAAAAGCTTCTCGCCCGGTCTGCCCAAAATATGATCATATTGATTGGGCATATGAGGTGGCTTTGACAGCATTTCATTCACAGAGCATTCGTAGAGATCAATGTAATACTGGAGATTCTCGTCTGAGTACATCTAGGATTTCAACAAAATTTGAATCAGTAAAGAGCAATGACTATTTGGATAATTGTTAAGTAAAGTACGTTGCAAATAATGGTTAATGGGTTATATATGAGATTAGTGCCCGAATGAGACCAGTGATTAGTACATTAGTCCATTAAATGGCCAACTCATACTGATACCTTGGATATAGATATATGCTTCCTTGACCTATATAAGCAGCAACGAAGAAGAATTGGATTCAAACAGTGTAAAGATTGAAATGCGGTTGCATGGAATCAAACCAATACCTGCAGGTAACAGCGCACCGCGAATACGATCCGGCGTAGATCGTGAATCGCCTGGTAGAGGTGATGGTATGAGGCACTCTCGCACTGCAGAATAATGGAGCGCACATCTATGAAATCGTCATGGCATTGTTCGAAGAAATCTGGGAACTAAAACAGAAATGCTATAATAGATATTCGAATAGTTAAAAAAAGATTACTAACGTAGTTGCGTGTGAACTGTTTTTTAAAAAAACGCTCCAAGTTGTCCAACTTCATGACGCGGTCGCTGAACTCGTACAGTTGACGAGTAACCTCTTTCCCGATTAGGCTAAATGGGTTTGTGTATGCCCTGACATCTCTTTGATGATCCGGCTCCTGGTAAGCTATAGAAGTAGGAATAGTAGCAGGAGCTTCGTGAATCTCCTGAACTGGCGCTTTCTGTGGAACATTCCATTGCCACTGGGACTCCATATGGGGATCCTTTGGCTTCAAGGGTGGCATCTCCAGTTGTTTTGACTCCTTTTGCAGAGGCTGATAGGTTCCAGTTTTTAGATAAGTACCATTAGCACTCACATGGCGTTGTGTTTCCTCTGAATCCTCAATCATGGTGTACAGATAGTTAAGATTTAATGCACACTTTGGTTTGTAGAGAGCAGAAGAATTCGGCTCTTGACCTCCTGAGAATGACTTTGCCATTGCATTTTGATTTATGGGAATGCTATAGGAACTTAGACCTTGAGTGTTGCTATTATCGTTGCTATCTATTAGACCTCTCAATGAACTACTATTATTCAAGTTGATCATTGCGCCGTCTTTTCCCGAAAAGCTGTTCTTCTGCTTCTGCAGCAGCTCGTCCAGACTCACAAAAGACTTTATGATCATCTGCACAAGCGCCAAGGTCGAAACTTGCCAGGAGTCGAAGGTGGCCATGAAACCCAATGGCAACTCGTCCTTAATCTTATTTAAACCCTCGGGGGTGTTATATACATAACCTTTTAGTATCACCCAGGCATTTATAATGCGAGTAAAAACGAATATGAAATCCTTGACAGCCCAAGCGATTCCCTGGGAGTTGATGTTGGGCAGCACACCATCCGGACGCAAGAGGTCCTGCTTTAAGCGGGCACAAAGGGTATCAATCTTTTTGAAGCAAGGGCGATTGTGATGGACATTTGCCAAACGTTCGGCTATCTCGCTTCCCTGAAGTGAGATCCTAGTAATGTCATGAAGGCGTTGATCGAGCAGTACGACATCAGAATTGCGCAACACGTTCTGAACTCGCAACCCATCGCCTGCACCGCTGTCCAAAGAACTAATACTGGATTCATCGGCACCAAAACTGAAACTTTAATTTTTTTAAGATCTCAAGATTTTGAATTTAAATTCAAAATAAAAATATTTGATAAGTGATAGAAACTCATGAATCTTATTTATATTAAAAAAAACCTTACCTATCTTGAAAACTCTTTCTTATCTCTGTGCTCGATAATGAGAGAGTAAAATCCACTTGGGTGGCTACATCACAACTACGCTTAATAGGCGTTTGGGTCTGAGTTTGGGTGGCACAGAATTGCTTTGGGGGCGGCGGAGCATTAATGCCATTTGAATAGTATTGTGGCAAAGAGTATCCAGCCGTGTTGCCACTAGTAGACGAAGCACGAGCTGAATATACATGACCCGGGCCATAGGCGTTGACACGAGCTGTAAAAAAATGATAATATGAAATAATTGACGCAACGCGGCTATGAGGGCGCACCAGAGCTGGCTACATAGTACTGCATTCCCGGCAAGGCCATATAGGCCATTTGAGGGGGATTCACATTTGGGGGATGCTGATGATGAACCGTCTGGTTACGTTGCACATGGGCATTTGCCGTCACAACGGGGCAATTAGCAGTGCCGGGTATAAACACCACCGATGGACCTGGAGTGCCCACTGTCCAAGAGCTCTGCGAGACGTGTTCCTGCACAAAGACATCGGTGACCATGCGATTGCGATCCAAATAGGTTTGATGGTACATCGACTGCTGGTGCATCGCCTGCATGGTCACCGAGGGCACTTGGTAGATTGGAATGTTCATGTTTCTGGTAGGCGACGGTTTCCAAATTAAAATTAAATAGCTCTAAAAAGCTCGAAAATATTCCACTTTTAAGGTTAGCTCTTAAGGACAAAGCCCATGTGGATCACTTAATATTTCGAAGAAACTTACAAGGAGTGAAATGTTGGTATGTTCTATTTATCCAGTGGCAGATGCCAGAGCTTTGGCCAAAAGAAAAAGCCGTCCGCTCCCTAGAAAATCAGAACAGAAAAAGAAAAAATTTTAAAAAACGGACACCAGAGATGTCAATGTACGATATAAGTTATCGGCAAATCCTATCTTATCGAGTGCTTTTAGTAAGACCATATCTTTGCCATACAACTTGAAAAACTTTTCGTTTTTCAGAATATTAAACAAACGTTGAACGGTTTCCATTGTAGCTATATGGTGATATTGAATCTCTTAAATACCACTTATTATCATATTATTAATCATTTACTTTACTTCTATTTAATATAATTATATTATATGTTAAAAAGCTTTGCTAACAAAGTCACAAGAGAGGTTAGAAATAACAGAACATTATCTTTTTGAATTTGAAGTTTACCAGTTGCGATAGCTATCGGTTATCGATTACGCTAGAGTGACCGCTTGATTAAGTAGTGTTGTAAAACGACTGCTGCAGGTCTGACTTGTCTTTTTGGTAAAAACCAAGACAAATCCATTAAAAATGACAGAGGAAGGTGCCTTTAGCGAGCAAATAGTCGATGGAAAGAACAAATCCAATGTGCGCTGCCAGTTCTGCAATAGTTTGATGCTAAAGGCCCAAGAGGGCACCTACAGCGAGGAGGAAGTAAGTGTCGGGCTGGCTGGATTTCTTAGGTTGGCAATTTCTAATTGTTTATGTTTTTCCGGCCAGGTGGACGTTCCCCTAATGATGCAAAAACAAGACAGAACAGCGGACAGTTTAAGCAGCGAAACGCTAAAGAACTTTTGGCTGGTAAAAGACATGATGACGTTTGAGAACATTGGATTCTCGAACACATTGGACGGCAGAAAATTCTTGGTTTGTGCAGATTGTGAACGAGGGCCCGTTGGCTATCACGATCTTAGCACTCGACATTGCTTCCTGGCCCTTAAAAGGGTAGTTCATAAGGACACCTAGCTTCCCGATCATTGAAAACTTTGCTAAACTTTGCATTGCTAAAGATTCCAATTGAATTCCTGAATTTGATCGTAGTAGAGAGAGAATGAACGATTATAAGTACATTTAGCAAGCTTCGTTAAATAAATAATTTTAAAAAACTTCTATTTAAAATATTTGTGTTGACATTATTGTAAAGGAACGGCATTTAATTAAATAAACTGACTAATTTTATTGAAATGTCAATTATTTTGGGCTCATATCTAAAAAAATTCTATAGGAATTTTGAATTTTTAAAACATCTTCCTTCACAATGATCTCTGCACAATGAAAACATAATGATTTTGTATTCATATTTATTGTTTTTCACTTTAAACATTTTACAATTTTATTGCATTATAAATATTGCATTATAGAGGAGATTCTTAACTAAAAAAATTTGTTCTATAAACTGTTATTTTGCTATACGAACTAAAAATGATGTATTTGTTGCTTTGGTTTCTGTAACGTTTTAATTTTGTATTTTTTGGTTTTTGCATTTGCGTTTATTGCTACGTTGGACAAAAGATTTCATTTGGTGTTTCCTCTACTGGATGTACCATAAATTTGGCGTCTCCTTGCTGGGTTGTAGTGCCTATGCGGTAGATGAAACGTTTTCAAAATTTTCCGTTTTTGGCAGTTGGTTACAACAACGAGTGTTTTTCCCCTTGGGAGTGCGGTAGATATGGGCTCGGTCATCGCCCCTAAGCGTGTCCTCCCAATTGCTTGCTAATTATTCTATGAAGTGTACTCCTCGTTGAGATTTATTTTTAATTTTGTTTATATTAAAATTTTTATTTTTCGCTATTGCTGACATGTTAGCTTGCTTGTTAGAAATTTAGTTTTAGTCTTACGAAATTAAAATTAGAGAAACTTAGGCGAAGAGTGTTAACATTTATTATGTACTACTTTTCATTTTGGTAGGCCTTAATTTTTAACATTGTTAGCTTTGTGGCCATCTTTGACTTATTCGTTTATCTCGATCTTTTAAATACTTTCAACTGCGGTAGGTTTTAGTTATATTTATTCGTTATTTTCCTTGCTTCCGTTTAATAAGTTAGTTTCAAAATTCCTGTTAATGTAAATAGATTTGAACGATTATATTGGCCAATTGTTACATGCTCTCTCTTTGGTTTTTATATACACTTCTAGTTAGGGAGTTATTTTATTATTTAAATACTTTGTATAAAGCTTTTACGGTTCTCCATTCAAAAAATGTTACAAAATCGGGCTGATCCCCAGAGCTGAAAGTATTTGTAATTATAATTTATTTTTAATTTATGATTAAGTAATTGTTATTACCAGATTCTGGAACAGCTCTGCGAGTGGACCTTGTTAATGATGAGGGAAAAAGCGGTGAAGGTGTCACAGAAGTCAAAGAGTCAGCAGCAATACGAAAACAAAACGAAAAACTGGGTGGATGCATCGATAAAACAAACAAAAACAACTGAGGGGGCCTTGCCCTCTATTCCTTCCTTAACGCTGCAGATATTGACGGGCGCTCAGCAAGAGTCCCACCATGGCTGCCACGCCCACCGCTGAGGCGCTCATCGCCCCGGCACCGTTGCAGTTATCCGTATCGCAGGAGCAGACCACCTGGCGACCACCGAACCCGGCACGCTGATAGCAGTAGTTGGTGGAGGTCTGGTTCTGATAGGCACAGGTCCTTATCACACGGCTATCCGGGGGCACTGAAATGGGAATTGTCGGGTTGATTTCATTTTTCTTTGCATTTATTTTATTATTGTACTTACGGCTGTTCACGGAGAACTCGATGATCTGCGTGATCTTGCGGCAGTATGTGGGAATCCCTTTGCCGCGGGTCGAGTACTCTTCATCGCAATCCTTCACCAAGTTCTCGGGCGGAATGTCCAACGCACAGTTGGCATCTTTGTGACTGTTACAGACGAAACACTTGATGGCATATCCTTTAAAATATAAAAACAAATTGGTAAGAATTCTTTTAATTTTTTGAATATTAAGGAATATGTTTAGGTAAGCAGTTTTACAATGTTTCCCTACAACTTTTATCTAGGTATTTCTATCCAAACCCGAACCAAAGCATCATAAGCTACCAAGTCATCAGCTTCATCTTCCATTTTCATTTATGTTGTATATCTCGTGAGTTCATTTTTATTTACTCCCACCTTTCCATCAAAGCACTTTATTTTTCTCCTTGCATCTACAAGGCAATGCCGTAATTGGATTTGCGCATCCTGAGTGCATATTCCTTTCCTCTAGGTTCCTTTTAACTGCCACTTACTTTGCCGTCGAATGCAATCTTTCACTTATTTTGCCACAAAGCTATAGTTAATGCCAATTAGAAAATTTCCATTTGCAGCATATGCTTAACCTTAATAGTTTTACAAAACAAGCAAATGTGAAGGAAATAAGTGTGTAAACAAATACTCGAGTCCAGATATAAAGAGATCTAAGGTACTTGTGAATGCTGTCGCTGCCTAAGCTAAATTGAATTTAAGGTCGTGCGCGACACGAGATTCGCATTATTCAATTTTCTTACTATACGAATACTGGAAACATTGTGTACCGTTTGTCCGTCTGCTCGAATGCCACCTGGCTCCAGGCGCATAAAAATGGTGCAACTTGCGATGCGCTTTTGTGCTCATGCTGTGCCAAAAATGGCACAATGGCATGGAGATGTCAGTGATGCCAGCGAATCCATCGACGCCTCCATTAGTGACAGACTGCGAGGCTTTTAGGAGTGGCTAGCTAATTATGACATCGACATTGCTAATGGGCTCGAATAACTTTGCCTCACTTCACATCGCTCTGAATATTTCCACTGCCCATTCTCAGTCAATTTGGGTTACATAAGCAGGGTGGAAAAAATGTGTTGCCCGCTTCTAGGCGAAGATACTTGAGAACAATGGAAAAAGGACTTCTGGTAAGATGAAGCACTCTATGGGGTAGGCTAGATGCTCCGAGAGCTACAAGCTCATCAAGCTACATCATGACAAAAGAATGCAATTTGCTAAAAGAGAGTGCCAAAAATGGGAGGTTTTGGGATGTTTGAAAGAATATGACTTTATGCTTGTATACTGGGTTTTTCCTTTAAAACCTTCATAGCCTTTTCTATGAAACTAGGACTTTTACATTTTACAAATTATTAGCTGTTTTTTAATGTATTAAAGGAAGATTATATTATTATCAAATAGGAGATTTTAAGAAAGAAAGAAATCTAAGCTTATTTTGTCTAGTGTTTCAGAATAAACAAATGTTAAAAAGTATTTCAGATCTATAACAATAATATGATTTTTCAATATATATTGTTTTTGTTGATATATATTTCATTTTATTTCTGATATTGTTCTTATGAAATCGCCAACATTCCCCACTGTTTACACTTAGTCATGCCCAATTAAGGTTTGTTACAGTCTATAAATAGAAATAAATTGCATTGATTGAAATGCCTTGGACGCAAAAAAGAAAGAAATAAATAAAAAAAAAATTCCGAAATAAAAAGAAAAAAATTTATCGATCTATTTACGAAAGTAATTCATTATTTAAACATATTTTTATATAAGCCCTCAAGTGGATTTGGGTTTTTGGGTATCGGATAACTGCAACTGGCCCCCAGGACCTTTAACCAAATAGAGTGCGCATGTCCTGCCTTATCCTTGCACATACACACATATGTGGGAAAAAGTTTAAAAGGGATTTGGAAAAAAGAAGGAAGGAAAAACTTCAGGCTAACATGAGTTCCTGGGGATTATCCTTTGCGGAAGGATAGGATACTGTGTGAGCTAATTATGATCTGTCTTAATTAAGGTGTCAACTTGCAGCGGCGATATGGATGACCCCTCCTTCTTTTTTATTGCCCCAGCCCAGGAAAAAGCTGTGGCAGAGAGCCAACAAATGAAGTAGAGAAAAAAGTTCCTTTTCTCAGAGAGCCCCAAGGAACCAAACTTATATCTATTGAATGCAAATATTACTCAGTGGGTTGGACAAAAAGGCGCCACGGCGGCCGGCTTAGATACCCGGAGATACTCTGGCTTTTCTGTGGCGTCCGGATGGCGCCGCAAGCTCTCCCAATACTCAGCGCCCCCCTCCAGGAGCGTGCCCCTTCCATATCATATATCTCCTATTATGTAATCGTTTCGCCATGTCGGATGTCCGTTCAGCGATTAAATCGAAATTCTGTTGGTCTAAAGTTGACTTAAATCCTTTTACCTTGCTGCACGGCGATAGCCAAAATCAGCGCACTAATCACATAGATGTACTGCATTTTTGTTATTAATTTGTATACTTTAAACACTCTTTAGTTGAACACTAAATATTTTGTATATTCTATTCGATTTTCACGATTTTCCGTGGGCCGCTCACAGAAGGCTATATTCACAGATTTTTCAATTCAGGTATTATCGCTGAACATGGACTGTATATATATATATATTCCTTGCAAGAAACTAGCGCTCACGGCAAACGCTGGCAAACGGTTGACAAACGGCAAACGACTGGGCGAAACAGCAGCCGCACTCGACAAATGTACCACGAACACGAATTGCGGACGGGCCAGTCAACGGGGCGGATGAGTCGGATCGGATGGTCGGGTGGGTGGTGGAGAATGGTGGGTGGTTCAGATTCAGTTTTCAGCTTACAGCCACAGAGCTTTGGCCGGGAAGCTTTCGAGTGTGCGTCCTCTTTACGTTTCCCACAATATGTGTATTTTTGCAGTCAGGAGGCACGAAAGTGTGGCTGCAAAAAGTGTCTCAACCGACACTAGTCCACAAAACAGAAGTCTTTCTTTCGTCTTTTCAAAGTTTTTTGTGGGTTTAAACTTTAAATTTACTAAAAACAAAGATCCTTTTTTTTTTGATGTTCATCAGAAGTTTTCGTTTAAATGTTACTCAGAAAAAATTAAAAAAAAATTAAATTAGAAATTGTATTTGAATATGATATTGAGCTCTAAAAGAAAAGGATGTAACGACATTAAAACTTTGCTCTTATCAGGGCTGTTTAAGGTTAATGAAATCTTAGCTGTAATCTCAAATACATTTTAAAGATTTTTACAGAAAAAAGAAATTGTGTAACTTAAATATTTTAAAAACTTTTTTGGGAGAAAGTTAAAAAATGTTTAATAATGAAAAAAAATAAATCACTCAAGTTACACATACTTCCCTCCTCATTTCTGCCCAATTTGTCTGTTTACTTTTTTATTTATGTATATTTAAGTACCCGCAATTAAAACCTGCAATTAGACGAAGACAGGGCACTGGACTAGATCCACTTATAACCCTGAGCGCCATTTCAACTAGGCGTCCAGACACTTAATCCGGAGACCGATAGGCACACACGTGAACCGCCGGAGCAGTCGCATAACCTAAGCATAAATCTGCCCGGTGCATTAATTAAGCTTAATCGCAGGCTTCCTCTTGGAGATCCAACTAAGCTGATCGCAAAGTCGCACAAATTGCTGCCCCGAGACGCTTGTCAATTGAATTAAATCTCTCTTTCACTCACTATATATAATATATATGTTCATGCTATATATTTTTGCAGATCGTTTTGGCTGGCTTTTGTGTCCCAATCAGTGCGCGAAATTGAAGAAGCCATGGGGGAAGATTGCCCTTTGGGGAGATCGGTGTTACCCAGTCTCCCAGTCTCGTTTGTACTTGCACAGAAAGAAATTCAACTTTAAGTATTTGGAATAATAAATTATTAATTATAGTATATTAAATATTAAATACGACATTGATCTGATTGCTTTGCCTTGTCTTTTTAGGGTAATGTTTAAAGATTCTAAAATCAGAAAAACAATTTATGTAAAATAATAATCAAAATAAAATAAAAATGGAACCCAGTAGTTATAATCAATTGATTTCATGAAAATATTAAAAGCTGGCCAATAATAATATATTAAACAGTGTAACTATTTTAATATAGTTTACTATACTTTGTTTTGGGTGCAGCCTCCCTCAATTGATTGTCTTAAATTATGTTCGTGACTATAAATAGCGATAGTAAGAAAAGAGTTTTGGCTTTGGATTGGGGTTAAAGTACGGGTAATCAAAATGTTGACTAACATACTAAGCAACAAATTGCCTAAATCTAAATAACATTGAGACTTACTGGAACCTAAAGCTTGCACATCTTAAGCTTTTAAGCTATGCCTTCTAATAAGTTGTAGAACCGACTAAAAGCTTCAGGTTGCAGGAATATGGGTTATTTGTTTGGAGAATTTCCCCCTGTTTTGGTTAGAGCATTAACCCCAAACGACGGTTGCTCTTTTATTTACTTTTTGTTTAATCTGGTTAAACTTTTTATTTCGTATATTTATGCGCAATTAATCTTCCAGTCGAGCAGTGGATATAAAAGGCAGAGGGGAGTTACATTCCCAGAAATCACTCGTTAGAAATAATAAATATATCAACAAACCGGTTCCAGCAGACAAGAATCATTTGTTCATTTTCCTGAATTTGTTTTGTATTTTATAATCGAATCCAAGTCTGACCTCCCAATAACGCTCGCAGATCAGCTGATCAGCGATCAGCGATTTGATCCCAATGCCATTTGCCTAAACACAAAGACCATGTTCTCACGGGCCCCAGTTACACATTCGGTTTGCAGCAGTTTGGTTCTACAGTCGATGGCTTCGGAATTTCCTTAATTCAATTTTAAAAAAATATTCAGAAGATAAGCAAAGTGAGTTTGACTAACTAAATAAACCAAATAGCTACATTTTTTAGGAATTAAAATATTATTTCCATAGGCACTATGGAGTTACAAATGAAATTTCCCTTTTGTAGAAATTTCTTCTTCTAAATTTTCACTTTTAAATGCACTTTTCATGTTCTCTTTACTTTATAAATATTTCGGTTGGTAGATTAAAAACTTAAGAAGACAATAATAGTTTTTAATTTCCAAATTTTCCACACATTTATTGTAATCTTTATTATTATGTTTCCCACAATTTTTCCACTATTTTATGGCCATGCACGCCTTGAATGTAAGAGCTTATTTGTCCCAAGAACCACTTTGAACTGGCTAAAACCGGCAACTGCACGATTGACGGTTGACTTTATTCAGCTTGGCCTGGCTCCCCACTAAAAGTAGCGTGGAAATTTCAAATTAGTTGCATTGTTTGCAGAAACTGACACCTATTTATTGCAACAAAATAATTAAAAGAACCTTAAGAACCTTATTTAGCTCGCGTAACGATGAGTAAGGAGATCGTCGGGGCTTTCGAAAGGGCCTTGAACTAGGACAGATAAGCAACACCATCCTCCTCCCTATCACAGCCACTGTTTTCCGCAATTAAGATGAGTGTGAAAGTCTGACTTCGTCACCGATGTCGACTAGACCAAACCACCACAGCTGAGATTTTGGAGGTGCGAACCAGTTTTAACTAATCAGCGTCGTTGATAAGGGAATGGCACTACTATATGGAACTTGTACACTCCATGTTATGGCCGTTGGAACGTGCTCCTATCGCTAAAGCCAGCTCACCGGAACCAAAGTGATCTCACTCGATAGGAAAACACTGTAGAGGCAATGACTCTCGGAACTTCCGATCATAAGCCAAAAATCAAGGCACTTAAAATGGCTATTATTTTTTTAATGTTTAATACTAATTTGCACTACAGCTTCGTCCATTGAGATTATTTTAATAGTTAATTACAAACAGAAAATGTGAATATTTAATGACATCAAATTCTAACAAACAAATTATAGGTAAATCTTTATCTTTAGCTAAGGTTTTATAGATAAAGTTGTTAAGTAAATATTTTAATATATAAACATATTTGTTGTCTTATCATATAGATATAGGGAGATATTGATCATAGACAATGTTTTTTAAACAAGAAATACCTTTAATTGTTAAATGCTTAAAAGGCATAATACGTGGTATTCAGATGAAAGGCCAGTGCCAGCTAATTAGACATGATTTTGTAATATTTTGTTTACTTTTTTTGTCTGTTTGTTAGTGACGTCACGGCGGTGTTAACCGGTTCAAGCCGGTGGATTCCATTTGGATTGCGTTTTGTTTTTGGGTTAAGAACCAAGCTGAAACCAACCGAAGCCAGAGCTTATCACTGCAGCGAGTGAGCTACCTTGCCTAGCATCCCCCTCCTTATATATAATACATATATGTATTCATATAATACGACCCCGTAAAGACGATCGAGTGACGGAAGTTTATACACTTTTCCCATTTGCTGACTTTAGGGCCGATCTTGTTGTTGAAGTCGCTCATTTTCCCTCTCTCAGAACAGCTCTCCGGGTCTCTCATTTCGGGCTGAGCTGGCTTTTGAAAAATCAACGTTTTTCAAAAAGTTAAATACGAGTTTTCAGATTAATCTCGACGGTGCTCGCGTCAAGTTGTCCGCTCGCAATAAACCAATAATAATTCGTTTGTGGGAGTACAATTGTGTGTTGTAAGAACTGAAGACAATAAAGAGTTGAGTTTTAAAGGTGATTAAAGCATAAAAAATATATAGAAATAAAATTCAAATCTATGTTTTCCAAACTTTAATATTGTGAAAGGAGTTTGCTTACCTAGCAAAGCATTTAGTTTATATTAAATATGTTTATATTCCTGATTCTTTCATTAAATATTCTAATGCTTATAAATCTTGAAATTTGCATTGGTATAATATTAGCACTTGTCACGTTTATCAGCCACGTTCTTATACCGGTTTACCAGTGTAAAAATGAAACCGTATACTTGAAATTATAGATTATATATATTACTAAGGCAATGCTAATGAACAGATCGCCGCTTTCATCGCTAATCAAATTACAAACAAACCCCACAAGAAAAACACAGAAAAATCAAATAAATTAAAAAGAAAATTCTATTAATTCTTACAGCATCGGCGTTGGAAAAATCATCTATTGGAGATCTTAAAAACCAAACAAAAAACCACAAAATGTCAACAACTATGTTTATCTATGCCGTGTGCCTGGCATTGGTTGCGAATTTCCTAACAGGTGAATTTAAATAATATAATTAAGTATTTCACTATATCTAGTAATTAGTACAATGAAGGTGGGCTGGTTGCCTTTTGTTTAGTTAATCAATTGAAAAACACTTTCAATTAAGCTCAGTACATTGTACATTAACTGATTAACCAACACTTTAGAGAGGTTTCACATTTAATTTGGTTAATTGATTGATTTTCTCTTTAGCTTTTAAGCCACTTAATCGGTCATGTGGAAACTAATGGCAAAGACTTTGCTGACAAACAAAGCAGTCCCTGAAAGTTCCATTGGTTGAGTTCCATTCCGATTGAGAAAAAAGAATAGAAAAGATGAAAAAGTTAAAATTTAGCTGGCTAAAAACGTTTCCCAGTCAGATTTTATGTGGAAGCTGTTAGGCATGATGGATGGTCGTCGTAAATGTCTATTGAAATGGATATTGCTAGGTGTTAGTATTAGTTAGTTAGTATTCATAGCATTAACGTTTTTAACAGGGAGTTTAAAGGCGTTCTAAGCACGATAAGGTGATATCAAATATATTTAAGTACACAGAGAAAAAACTTCTTGAGAAGAAAAGGCGATGAAAAACAAGTTTAAAATGTATAAAAAATGTATTTCAGAAAATGCATTTTATTTCCACAATTTCAATCATTTAACGATGCTCAATTAGCAATTATCTCATCTTTCTGCGTCTCACTTTAACGCCCACCATAAGGCTTACTATAAATTGTTAATTGTTTAAAAAATCCGAGAGCTTATTCTAATTAGTCACTGGATCGCAGCACGCACACACAATCCTTTGTAAGCCACCGCCGTCGAGAGTAAATTGATTGACCAAGCAACTTCGCGGCTCGCACTCACTTGTTAAGGGAACATTAAATGGCGTTAAATAATATTGAAAGTATTTGCACGCGAACTTATATATATACAAATATATATATAGACTCGATCCATTAATCGTTTGGGCAAATATGCACGTTTATGGACATTCCAGCGGCGGGTGAATAGTACTCCTCACTTTTCTCCGGCAAGCTCAAGAGCGCGTTTCATTAGCGAACAATTGTCAAGCGAAAAGTTGCAACAATGGCAATGGTTGAGAGATATTACGCTCGACTGCCTCGGCTTCCTCCTAGTTTTCCGCTTTTCCTCCAAGTTCACTGGTAAACCGCATGAATATGCAGCAAATGTAAAATGCAAATGAGAAATGTTAAAAATGCAAATTCCGAAGTGCAACTGCCACTGTGGTGTTTTTTTTTTATGGCAGGTGACTTTTTATTACTCAATGTTTGTTTGCCCTGGATTCTATTGGCTTAATTGCCAAACGGTCTACGTGAGTAGTCACCAAAGTGTTATAATATTATGCATACGCCCCGTAAAACGTTAGACATTTGTAATCCTGACAGCCTTAGACATATTTCGAATTAACAAGAACAGAATGTCCTTGCCCTTTGGCTGAGTACTTTTTCCTTACGACTTTCATTGGGGAACTTCTCTTTTGAGTGATGGCTTGAAGTCTAGCAATTCCCTGCCTTTCCTTGGGCTATAGTTTCTGTCAAATGCTAACCAAATTGGATAGCGACTGTCAAATCAGCTTACAGGAAAATGGATATGGTGCTGTCAAGAAAAAAAGGAAAGGATAATTGCTTAGACTTGCATTTTTGATTTAATCCTTCTTAAATGGATTTAAATTGTAATTATTAAAAGAAAATTCAGCGCGGTTAATAACATCTTCTTAATATCTCAATGGGTTAGTTTTGGAAAAGGTTAAATTAGGCAAATATTTATTAAATTTGATATATTTTAATTTTTATTTAAATTTAACATATACTTTAGTTAGGGTTACGAAAATTCGCCATATTTAAACCCAAAACTGATTTCAAGCCAAGTTTTTGCCGAGTTCTCGACGGTTTGCGTGCCAAAGTCTGGATGTTTCGGCATTTAGTTTTTGGCCCCAAGCAGTTGACATGCAATTATTCAGGTTACTGCAGTCGAATAGGAGTCACTTTGTCAGTCAGAGCCCTCACCTGCCGACAGCACCTGGGGGTGGTGGTGGGTGGCTAATAAAACAATTTACTGTCAGTTTGACGGGGACTTTGAAAAGGGCGAATCGCCAGGCATTTGAATGCCATTAGAGGTTGCACGTATCCAATTACCGTCGAGGAGGGAAAAAGTGGTCTAATTAAAGCAGAGCTTGTGTCGACTTTCTTATTCGAAAAGAAAGAAATGTGTGAGGAGTATAAATACGATCGTCATATTATACGGCTACCGACTTTGTTACACGAAAATTTAATGCTTTAAAAGCACTTTAGTTGCGGTTGGTTAACTTGTTAACAGCAGTTAAGTCTGATGACAGTTGCTTAAAACTATTGGATCTTACAAGTTAAACACTTTAATATGTGGAAGCTTACAACCTTTTTCTTACTTTTATTCGTTTCTGGCGGACTAAGAAAAGTCCATGCTGGACAAACAAATCAAGTACTAACATCCCTAATTGATAAACTGGCAAAACACCAGCAAAGTTGGTTCACATACAATTTACAAAGACGAAACGAAACTCTGAACAAAATTGATCTAATGGAGAGAGACATAGAAGCTCAATTGCAAACGCTACAAGGCCATTGGGAAGATCCTCAAGGCCCCTTAAAGAAGAAAACGATTTTCAGAACTCCCTCTCAGATAAACACGACAATCTTCGAGAAGATTGGCTCAAGATACTTTTATGTCGAGAAGAAAAAGACTGAAAATTGGTTTACTGCAGCATTTAAGTGTCGGGAAATGGGCGGTCACCTAGCAAACATACAAGATGAGCAGGAGTTCAATGAGATATTTTTTAGAGTGCCCCATGGCTCCTATTGGGTGGACATCAGTGATAATGGTGATATGGGTAAATTCGTCTCAACACTCACGGGCAGGAGTCCACCATTTACCAAATTTCAACCGAAAACTATTTTCCCGATACACAATCACTGCATGCGTGTGTCCGGAGTAGAAATGTTCAGGGAGGGTTGTCTCAATGCTAACCTTTACATATGCCAAGCCGGGCAAATGGAGTAAGCATCTACGATCTGCAAACCATTTTGAAATTTATATTATTATGTATTATTTTTGAATTTCAAAATTAAAAAGAAAAACTTTAGTGTGTCTCTTTCATTATGTATTAAATTCCCACTTAAAACTAAGATTGCCTGTAATCTATAATTATTTTTGGGATGAGAAGAACACCTTTATCTTTAACTGGAAAGGCATACTCGTTTTGGTTATATGAAGGGGTAGTATATAAACAACCTTTTACTCTTAAATCAAAAGGGTATAATGAATTCGTGGAAAAGTATGTAACAGATGGAAAAGGTATATATTGATCAGGATCATTTGTGTAAGCGATTTTCAATGTCCCACTATCCGCCCTTCTGCCTGTCTTCTGCCCGTATTGAGCGCTAAGATCCTTTGAACTCAAAAGAGATTGTGTTTCAGAGATTTCTGCACAGTGAATGTTTGATTCAGTAGGTGGCCACGCCCATTTTAACGCCAGCCAATGGAGCACAATGAATCAGAATGTATTATATTATTTCACCCTTTAATGACAAGTTTAGATAGTAAGGCATTGTACAGAAAGTGGGTTTAACGTCAGTATATAACTTATATATGTAGCAGTATAGCGTAGAATTTCCGCTACTTATATATTAATATTTTATTTCATTTTAGTGTTAATTAAAGTTTAGTTTAGAGAACAACATTCGGTTGATTACAAATTATTAATTAGTCGAGAGCTGCTTGAAACCTAATTAAAAAGCAATTAATTTATGTGGTCTCGCCTTTTTCATTCCCCATTGCAGTGAGCGCCATTCGGTGTCATCAGTGCAACTCGCACGACAACGATGACTGCGATGGCCTGGTGGTGAACACTCCCCGTGCCCAGAGGGACAACCAGTACCTGACCGACTGCATTCCTCCCAATGGCAAGGAGGCCTTCTGCCGGAAAACGGTGATCAAGTTCGATCAGAACAATGAGCACAGGATTGAAAGGAGCTGCGGATTTATCCAGGAGAAGATACAAAATGCCTGTTTCACGGCCGACAACGAGGGCTACAAACAGATCATATGCACCTGTGCCGAAGAGGGATGCAACGGAGCCGACTCCTTGCTGGGAGCCCGCCAGGTGGGCTACAGTCTGGTTGCATCCGTGGTCAGTCTGGCAGTGGCCACCATTCTCAGACACTAAATTAACTAAGCACCCGATCAGCTTAACTCCTGTGCGTGCATCCTGTATCCTGCATCCAAAAAGTACCTTATCTTAACTGGTTAAACTAAGTCTTAAATATTTTGCACTAAGTCCTTTGATGTTTGCCATAATTAGCTGTGTACACATCCCATCTGTCAACTGGCAACTTTTGTGTTTAGTCTCGTATTTTGTGTTTTTATTTAATTTCTATGAAAATATAAGCATAATATTTAAATTATATAGTTGCAATTTTAATGGGAAATAAGAATATTTAAGTAATGTTACTAAATTAGTGGGCTTAACTTGGAGTATAAGAGTGTAATTGTCTTCTTTTCGAAACGTTTAACTTTAAGGAATAAATTACTGGAAAGCAAGATCATTTTAAGAGAACATAAATATCAAGTTATATGGCTTAGTTTAAGTAAACTAAAGTGAAGATTTTGATTAACTGAATTCTTTTTATTCAACACTTTCTTTGACTTTAACTTTACCTTTTTATCTTTACCATCATCAAACATTAGTAGCAACCACTGAAACTAATTAACGCCTTCACTTATCATTTAAAGTGTTATAGATTGAACAAACTTAAAGCTTCGATGACTATAGCAAATAGTTCAATATCATTAGCTTTTCTTTGGCAAATTATGCTGTCCAAACAAAATGTTGACAGTAAATTAACGATGCTTAAACACAACGCCCTGCAACGATTCAATTATTTATGTTTAGCACTTAAATCACTTTCAGCAACATTAGGAGAGAGCGGAATGTTTAGGTTTTGCAAGGGGGTTGGATGTGTAAATTATATAAAATCGAAATTTTCATATGTGAAAGTGGAGGAGAAACGCTTAAGTTGCCCAAGGACTCGCCCACATACTCCCTTTCACGCTGTCCATCTCTGTCTATCGCCTTGAATGTTGCTGCCAACATGTCTACAGAAATTGTTTTGTGGCCAAGAGTTAAAGTCACTGTCTACGCAGGCCAAAAATAATAGGGCAACTTTGTTAGTTTTATACTTGAGGATGAGCATGAAAACCCTGACGACATGTTGGCCCATTAAGTCAAGCACAGAACCGCACTCATACACTGGCAGGGCTATGTACACTGAAAACAAATCAAAAAATGGGAAATATTATAAATATTCCCTTAAATAAATGTTTATTTATTTCAGAACTGCACTTGGCATCCTTTTCTATCAGTGTGTATTCCATTTTTTGGCTTTGACCAGCAACTTTAATGCGCAGAGAGTTGTTGTTTGTCTTCGGCACACATACAGATGGCAGAACACGCTCACACAGATTCTCAGATACAGATACAGCTACAGATACAACTACAAACACATCTACTAGGTCGACCTACATGCGTTAGCATTTGTGTTCTGTCGTCGCCAGCTCAAATGTTCGAATGGCTCTGCATCTTTTGTCTATGGGTGCGTATTGTCGACTGGCTGGCGCCTTGCTGTTACCACAGCAACAGCAACAGCCCCGACAGCCTTCCGCTCAGTCGCCCACTGGTCCGGCCACGCCCCCTTCCTCAGGCTCATTGGCAGCCTTTTTTCTGTCTGCTCAGTCTTTGGCTTCCCTTTATTTTCGTGGACAGCTTGGCGCCAACATAAAAAACATTGATTCTTGAATTCACTGAGCGCCCTCGCCAAAAACGCTGTTCAAATCACTTCTTACTGCTGGTTACTGGATTTTCTTTGCTTCGGAATTTTCTTTAATTGTTTGATTTGTAAACCATATTGGCAGAGGATTTTCTTTAGATTATAAATCGTAAATGTTTAAGGTTGACTTTTGATTTGAATTTATTTTGTGAATGTTGTAACATTCGAGCATAAATTGAAGTTATATATGAATAAGTTAGGTATAAACTTAACTTACTAAATGTATTTTTTGAGCGTCACTTACTTGCAATGTACCCAACTTTTTCAGTAACCTAGTTTCCAAATAATGATTGAATAGCTCCCCGCTTTCTCTTGTAATTATTTTCGGTAAAAGTTTCACACTTGAAAGCAACTTCAAAGTATGCATCATAAAAGTAAGCTTACATAAATGACATTACTCGCCAAATTGGGCATACGCAGCGTTGGCAGAGCAGTAGAAAAACAAAACCCCACTGGGGGATAAAGTTGTCATTGTCTGCGGGGCTCTGACATTTTGTTTTTCTTTCCAAGCCATCGCGCAAATATTTCTGCAGTGCAATAACCATAATTCTAGGGTCGGTATTTCTACAAGCTATGAGCTTTCTATGTATGAAATTTAAAGTTTTTTATTATTAAAAAATTTAATTGAAATAAAAAATCAAAATTGTTTACCCACTTTAAAAGAATATTTTCTTTTCCTTTACAAATTCTTTCAAAGCAAGCGCTGTTAAGCTGATTATTGTCGTTATCTTTCTGTGTTTTGTTAGCCTTAAATCTCAACAAAGTTTTTCTTCCGCACAAGCAAACATTTTCTTTTGGAATTCTCTAGAATTTTAGAGCGACTTGCAGATTTTGCATGTTAATCAGCTGCATGATTTATAGTTGGCTTTGTTCTTGCCAAAGGCACATAAATATTTTTATTGTTCAATGCGCACATTGAGTCACGTTCCGTAGCCATCGTGGCGTATACGCAATGTGGAGTAAATATTTTTTACTTGCTACCTAAAAGTATGCAGTGATATTTTGTGTCTGCCACTCCCTCTCAGAAGCTGATTGCTGTTGATGGTGATGAAGCTGCTTTCACTACTGCATTTCTGTGCATCACGTGCATCACAAGAAAAATTACTGCAATTGCTCTTCAAGTTCCTTCGTTCTATCTTTTAGTCCGCCATCCTGCTAAGTCAGCTCGTTGACCTGTGAATCCCAAAAAGGCCAAGGGGGTAAACAAGCAGGAAATCCCTGCATTTTCTTGGCAGGTTTCGCTTCAGCCTTCGGTCCACCTGAGGCTGCTCGAACGGCAATTGCAGTCAAGTGCAAGTGATTGCTGGAAAAAATTACGTACTTTGGCATTGTTTGCCCCCAAATTGATTTCATGTGCTTAGCATTCCAGAGATGAGCGGCCTGGCAATTGTTCAGATGACTCCGTCGGTGACTTTCTTAAAGAGAACTGGGCTAATAGGTTTATTTGTTTATATTTAAAGCCCTAAAAAGTGAAGAAGAAGGGTAGTTTCTTTTGTTTCAAAAGTTAAGTTTATACTTAAATCAAGAATGACAAAGGACTATAGATTAGATTAAGAAATATACTAAATTAAATAAATTTCCATTTAAAAAATTAAAGCTTTTAACTGCAAATCAGCACAGGTAATCGAATGATGTCACTTTGCGTTTAATTCACTGCTGTGTACTGCCTCAGAAAGGTAGTTTAACAAGTCAATTTAAATTTATTTGAGTTTCAGTTCGAGCTAGTTAAATCCCCAACCAGCCATAAAATACCTTCGCTGGCACAGCAACATATGCTATATGTGCAGAATAATTCCCTCGAACTGTGTGTGTGGGATTCGCTTGCATTTGTGAGAGCAGTTTTTATGTTCCAGCTACCCAGCAATTTAAGACTCCGGCATTTGCAAGTGCATTTGTAGCGATTGATTTGCCCAGAAGCTGCAGATATAGCCAACGATAAAGTTTTATGTTTATTGCTGGCAGCTGCGATGCGTCCTTTGCAGTTCCAGTAGTGGCAAGTTAATTGGGAAACGGAAACTCGATGCAAGGTGTGTGCCCCAGTGCGTATACGTAATAAAACTCAATTAAACGAGAGTCAACACAGAAGTCTGCCGTTAACAGACTCAGGTTCTTTGCGACTGTACCTCTGTTAAGGATTGTCTGACACACTTTTGCCAAGCGAACGTAAATAATTCATCGCTGTGGCTGCTGAAGAAAAAAGTTTTTCAATTAGCATGCCGAGTGAAAATTTCAACTAATTAAAGGCCATTTTGTGGGCGGAAATCCACAACAGCAGAAAAACTTTTGACCCGCAAAATGTTGTTGCATTTTCTTCTTTTTTTTTGGCCAAAACTAAATTTATGGCCATTTTAAAACAGAACGAAAAAAGAGAAAAACACAGCTTACGATTTGTACGGTTCGATGCAAAGATAAAGAGGTTGTAAACCGAAAACGAGAGCCAACGAAAATGTGTCAAGTTGTAAAAATCGAAAACATAATCCATGGCTGACCTTCTGGAAAATACCCTGTGAGTACAAATGCCAACCGGAAACGGAAGTGCGCGTAAAGAGTCTTAATTATGTCCTGTAGCTGTTAGCAAATGAAGTGGCGGCATGCGATGCGGAGGAACTCCACTGGACACCACAGAAATTATGACATCAACACGTAGACGTCATCATCGCCATTGTCCAGACGGCTCCAAATGTGTCCTTGTCACGCGGCAGCCATATTTGGTAGTGAAATTGGCCAAGTTCTGATTTCATTCCATTTTCCCTTTGGGCAACAGGCTGCATTTTTATGGCCCACAGCCAGGAAAAACAGTGGAAATGGCCGGCTCTAAAGGGTAATTGAAATTGGCGCTGAATCGTAATTCCACCAGGAGTCGTTGGTGTGGGTTACATTGGCTTTTGCCTACTTTTTAATAAAGTTGTAACAATTAAAACTTCAAACCCCTCGAAAGTTTCGCATTGGGATCTGGCTTAGTTGGCTAAAAGGAAACTTAATTGGTTGTTTTCCTTTAACTTTTAAGGCCAGCAAGAGCTGTTAATGCCCTAATTAACTCAAAGGTTGATTACAAGAAAAACAAAAACAACCTAAACAAACTTCGGTGCGAGAAAGTTACTAAGTTTTTATAAAGTTTACTCTTAAAATGTAGGTAAAAAATTAAGTTTCTTTCACTTTTTAACTACAACTAAGCAACTCCTACTGCAACCACTGTGGCTGAGCAGAACATAAGGTTAACTATGTTTTAAACTACCGCAAAGTGAGTGCCTGAAGGTAAATCCCCAAACGCAACCCACTATCCACCTGCTCCTTTCTTATCCACCATAAACAAGCCGCCACATTAGCTAACCCTTTTGGTGGATTTTTGGGGCCAGGGCCGCGACCTACACCAATCACGGTCTGCATTGTTTATGATGAATAGAAACGCTTGCCAGCTGCTCTGCCCTGCGGGATTCGAGATACGAAAGGATTCGCTGGAAATGGGATTTCCTGAATGTGAGGACAACCAGCTAGCAGGCGATAAATGAGCGCCCACGCCCAGGATGTCGTCCTGTGGCCATGCAACGAGGTCAGGAAGGAAAATAGAGGAAGCCGCAATACAGAAATGCGGATGAGTTTTTCGCTCTTGGGTGCCACTAATTGCTACGCTTTGTTGCTGCTACCGCATCCCCCAGGCACCTACACCTTTATTCTCGTTTCACCCAGCTTTTTTCCACGTTTTAAGCTGCTTCCCGGGGCACTCGTATTTTAACAGAATCTCGCTGGAGCCGCCTGTCTCCACATTTTGCGTTTATTTTATGAATACATAATTTAATTTGAGCTTCAATGGCTAGGTTATTATCAGCTAGGTTTGTTATCTTTTAACTACAACTGCAGTATTTTGTTTTGGCAAAGAAAGGTTTACAAAAATTACATAACTTTAACCATTGTTCTTGCACTCCAAGTTAAAGAGAAGTCAATAGTTCTTACATTGTTTCGAGAAAGTTATACTTGGTTCTGGGTTGGTTGCTTAATATGTATTCTACAGTTAATATTAGTTTTATATTATTGAGTTAAAACATTGAGCAAAGAATATATTTATAAGTATAAACTATTATGCTATGCCTTAACCTACTATTCATTTCTAATTACTTAAAGTTCTTATTTTTCCAAGTGAATTTTTGTTCTTTTTTTTAATATTTTCTAAAATATTTTACATTGGTTTCTTGGTTTAGTCTCAGTCTTAGTTTTGCAAGCAACACTAAAATCAATAAAATATAATAAATGTATTAATAAATAAGTTATTAAAATCAAATAAAAATTTCTAAAATGGTTGTAAACCAAAAACTAAAACTTCCTTTCTGTTCTTTTCTTTTTTGGCGTTCATAAATCTATTTTTGGGATCAAACTTTACAATTCAAATTTTCCATTTTCGTCTTATGATATCTTATTGGCTTTGGTGTTGAGCCGCAGAACAGAGACCACGAGTGTTTGGCCATAAGAAAATTGCATTTTTTCCGTCGCGGTCCTGCTGCTCCTTTGACGAGTTTTTGCCATCTTTGGCCTGGGTTGGTGCATTTTGCAATTTAAATAATTTTTCCCTTTGGCTGCCATGTGGGGCGACCGCGGCCAAGACGTTATTACTGTCGGTATCAGAAGCCACTCGAGCGACGACGCACCCACGCAGCAATGGGATCCCAGGGCAAAGGACTAAGGACGAGCAGCTTCGTGTTCTTGGGCTTCGGTTCTGGGCCAAAAACGATGACGTAGTCATCGTGGCGCACGTCCTTTTGCAGGCAAATTGCCTTCGCGTAGTTGGCCAACAATTTCAGTTTGCCTTTGGCCAACGGCAAAGACGGTACCTCTCGTCTAACTTTGAGCGGAGAATCCAAAGAAAAACGCAGCTCGCGAGTGCCTGAAAAATATTTGAAAAATCTCCAACTGAAAAAAGGGATATAAATCAAAGAGGGAAAATAACAGTGCGAATGATGTCGGGAATTTTATTGCTTTTGGCCCTGCTGGCCTTCGTTGCAAATGGTGTGTGTGTGTTGTTGTTGTTGTTGTTGCCTGCGGTTTTTGCAGATTATAAAAATTCCGAAATAAAAATTCTATGTTGCATACCCCACAGGCGCGGCCATCAAGTGCTTTGTCTGCGACTCGAGCGATAATCCCAGCTGCTCCGATCTGGACTCCAATTCTAGCATAGTGGCGGAGGTGAGTGAATTGAGAATATTGCCAAGACATTATCTGCGAAGCGAATTGATTGACGATTTGCCTAAGACCTGTTGGTGGGCCACTTGGGCAGCCAGGTCAAGTTGGTTCAACCTTTTCAGCCGGCCTAATCGGTCCTAGGTTGACCTTAATCAAAGTTCTGGCTCACAAGTTTAAACTGCCTGGCACATAAATTCTCAACCTACAAACTAAAAAAAAATGTGTAGTGCAAGGGAACTGTTAGAAATTGGGCTCACAAAAGCGGAAACGGAAACGTGCTACGTCGTCGTCCTCTTGTGGCAGCCCCTTTTTCCGTTTTTCCCCTTTCCATGCTAAGTGAATTTTCTGTTACTGGCATCTCTGCCTTTTTTCTGCAGGGGAGTGTGGCGGTAAGAAAGGCAACTTAACCCGAACACGTGCCAAACGGTTGAAATGCTTTCAGAAAAGTCTAACTATATATATATCTTTCAGACTGACAGGTTCTAGTGAAAGTCTTAGCTATTTTTTAGCAGAATTAATTTGATTTAAGCTGGCGACACCTGAGAGATTAAAATGGATCATTATAGTGAGTGACTCACACTTTCAGAGCCTTTGTGGGAACTTAAAAAGTTATGAATTTACTACAAAGTTCATGATCCATTCATTGATTTTGTGATATCACTTAACTTAAAAGTACTTATATGAATCATGTATCATAAATCCATTATTATTCCTCGAAAAAAGAAAACTATTAACTAACTGAGCTTATCATCAAATGAAATGTCAAAGTTGTGAAAAGTCCCGTGCGAGTGCCTTATCAATTTTGAAAGCGATAAACAAATTTGTATTTAAAGTATATTTAAAGCAGTCAAATTAATTCTTAAAATTTATTTCATTTGTCAAATCAAAGATGTGAACTCGCAATAGCCAAACTGCAAACAGTTCTGATTAATCTGAGAATTCAGTGTCATCAGAATCTTATCGAAACTCAATTTTGTGTCAAAATAAATATTGCGAAATCTAATTAGCTGTGCCAAATAATTCCCTTCAATTTATGAGGTTTGCCAAAACTAAGATTTGAATTTGCCAAAAAAGAAGCTATTACGGCCAAGCCTTAAATGATTGTTAAGAAATTAACTCTTATCTCCTTTGAATGCGCAAATGCGAATTCAAAAACGTCACAAAACGTTATGTTTATAGATTACTTCCTAAAATAAAAAGTAGATTAAGCCATAAGTTGCTCCAATTATAGACCACACTTCACATTTTTGGTCATTTTTGGTCAATTTAGTTAGTAACATTTTAGCTGTTGGTGGGTTTTTTTCAGCCTTTAAGATTGCTTTGGCTATTGCTAACAAACATTCCTTAACTCTGACACCTTTAGGGTGTTCCCCTTTTTTGATAAATGAATATTGTTATGCCCATAAAGCTTTAACGACTTCACTAGAATTGGTTATAACTCCTCAGATATCTGGGTTAAATAAAAGCTGTTCAAGTGCTCATCGCCCGATAACCAAGGCCGTCGGAGAAACGCATCGCTACCGATATGGACATATGCTCATAGTGATAAGATAAATTAGTTAAGCACAAACTGCAACAGCCAATAATACTTCAATTACCTGGCGGCGACAAGATTGTAGATCAATACCCATTCATTGTTTCTTCAGTTACTAAAAAAGAAATGTTTAGCAAACGCCAGTAATGACTCAGTGCCTTTCTGTGGGATTATTTTAGGAATGTACATTGGACAAAATGAAATCGCTAGACACCTGGCTTCTGGATCTAAACAAATTCGCATATTTCGATAACGGTGGCAATAAAAAACCGCTAATGAATTGCGAAAAGGTTGTGGCCAAAGACCGTGAGTATTTGCACGTATGCCTTTAAGGAGTAACTAATTTTACATATTTTTAATATTTTAGTTCAGTTTTAATTTGATTCATTATTTCTCTTTTGACTTATATGTCCCAAGAAATTAGCCCATATTAGCCATGGCTTATAAATGCTTGTTATCAAGTGATTAGATACGCGTTTACTGCTGCAATGTTGCAGGTTGTTTACTCTGATTTTTATAAGGCAATAGAACAAGTTTTAAAGATAAAATGCCAGGTTTATAGTTCACGCGAAATAACACTCATTGAAAATAAAACAAAGTGCAGAAGTTTATTATTTGAAACCATAATTTTAGGTTTTAGTCCTCAATATAATAATTTAGTTTAATATTATTTCAAATATATTTTTAACCTAAGAAGAGTAAATATTTCAAAACCAAGAAAAACCTTAAAAACCTAATTCTCATTATACTCATCATTAGCTGAAACCAGAAAAGTGGTGACTGCACGCTTTTGTCAACTGGACACCGGGGACTCCAATGCCTGTCAGATCCTGAGAGACAAACTGCGAATCCCCAGTGCCGAGGAGCTGGAACAACGCAATCGCAATCAGAATAAGAGACGGAAGAATGGGAATGGGGATGATAGTGAAGAAATCTCCGCGGAGGATGCGTTCTTCTGCGAAGTTTGCAACACGGATTCCTGCAATGGAGCGGCGGCCAATACGCTTTGGGTGGCTTCCGTTCTGTCCTTGATTATGATCCTATTGGGCTGTTAAAATATTGGATCAAGTTATCCAGATGGATTAAATGGTGGCATGGTGGTTGCATTTAAGTTGAGTTACCGTTTGCCTTTCCCTTGCTGTTTACTTGGCAAATATTTAAGTGCAGTGTCGCTGACTCGTACAAGCGTTTCAAAGGCACTCAGTTAGCCCTACCCTTAACCCTAGAAATGTAATCACTCACACATAGTTACACAGAAGACACCGATGCAATACAAACACACAAAGTCGCTTTGATTCAAAACAAATATGAAACTTTTAATTTCGAAAACAAATACCAAAAAATAGAGTAGGGATACGAGTAACCAAGATTGCAAGGTGCCATTTCCTATATATCAATGTTTGGGATTCTATGCCGTTAGCTCTAGAGACAGACCTCTAAATTGTTACCTTTTCAGTTTGTAAATTTAATTTATAGGAGACATGAATATAAGAAGTCACCAATTGCCTTTAATTTGTCTTAATTAATAGCAATCGATATAGATGTGAAGTAATAGCGTCGATAAATGTGTATATTCTTAGGTAGATTCAGAAAGTGCTTAAAGTAATTAAATCATAAATTCGTGTTTTAAATAACGGGAATGAGTAAATTTACTGTACAAATCGCGAGCAAACACAATCAACTGAAAGCAAAACGCGAATTTAGGAGAACAAATTTAAAAGCAACAACAACAACGCAATAAAAGTGAATAAATGTGCAATTAGAAGAAATGTTAACAAAAAGCAATGCAATGTGAGCTTAGAATCGCCTGCAAGCCACACACACTATATAGTACCATATGTTTTTGCGCCGATTTGAGCTATCAGTTCTGCTTAGTTCGTAAGCTAGTTTTGAAATGGTAACTAAATTGAACGTTGAGAGCACCGAATAAATGCTGTATGACAGTATAACAGAGACTTGTGTACGAATTTATTACTATCCGATAACGATGTCTGTAGCTGTATAACAGTTTCTGTATTATCGGAATGGGTATCTTGGTTTTTAGTTAAATTTTGTTATGCTGTGGAAAAGGAATGGAAAGGTAAAGCAAACTTTGGATCCAAAATGGATTAACAATAAAGGTAAATAATAATAAGATTATGATTACAAAATTACTTTATTTCACATAAAGAAAAACTGAAGAACAAAATAATTTTTATTTTCATTTGGGCAACATTGCGTATGAGTATTGTATTTATCAATATTACTCTTAAAAACATAAATTTTTTAAAGAAATATACAAAATAAATTTTAAAAGGTATTTCATTATTCGGTTCCTAAGTCCTATCCTTTATTTCACGTTTGTTTTTTTGTTGTTTTTATCTTTTTTGTTTTTCCTTTTTTCGAGCAATCAAAGATAATTTTCCCATTACTCATGTAAGATGCTCCAGTTTTTCGCCCCCAGCCCGTCTATCAATATCTCTACCTCTGTCGCACCCACAGTCCGTCTCTTTTTTTCGCATTTAATTTGAAAGTCTTGGCCTGATGCTATCATATGTCGCTTGTAGTATTATTCTCCGCTTCCCGGAACTACATGTTTCACCAATGCCGCAAATTATGGACCATCCCTTCACTCCGCCAGTCCAAGAAATTCAGTTTTGATAAAGGAAACAACAGCCTCCGGAAAGTTCTTTGTGCCAGTTCAATTTGAATTTTCGGTAGCAACTGCTGACACGACAGCAGACCGCGAAAAATCTAGAAAAAATCTGAAGAGTAGCCCAGTTTTGCAGGTCCTCAATCTGGAAAGTTCCGACTTGGACACTTTGACGTTTTGCAAATTGAAAGTTTTCACCCGTATTGACCTGCCCAGGAATGCGTTTGTTGTGGTTTCTACTCCTGTTGGCTTACATTGGCTGTAGCCCAGCTGTTTCAGGTAGGTCATAAATAATAATAATAAGGGCATATAAGCTTTACCACCTTACCACATGATATGTGGTCTACTGACCCCTAACAGCGTTGCAGGTTTATTGCCAGACAAATCCAGCTGATAAGGCGAAGCTAAAGGAAACACACCTTAATGCTGGCTGGGAAAAGTAGGAAGGCTATAACCAAGAGTCATGGCTCTGTATTTCGTCTAAGAAAAATATCAATCAGTATTTTGCACATAATTAATATAAATATCACATATCTAAGAAATATTTCAAAAATCTCAACGTTTGAATTACTAAAATATTAAAAAAATATATTTTTTTATAGCAATGAATAGATAAAAACCATAATTCTTATAGTATAAGGTAAAAGATTATAAAAGTATTAGTTTAATTATATTTTTAAAAACAAATGTAAAATACTTTGTCTCTAAACTTTTTTTGTAAACTTTTATTACCACTTATTAAAAATATTTTTCCCTGCTCAGCTTTGCGTTGCTACCAATGCGAGGACTGCGACGAGAATACCCAGCTTAGTGACATGGAAGTGTGTAATGGGCCACTTATGAGTGGTAATGGACAGGGAACACCTGCCATTTCCAGTCCAAGCCCGAGTCCCAGTTCGAGTTCGAGTTCAAGTCCAAGTCCTGCTCCGTCTCCTTCTCCTTCTTCTGCTGCATCGCCATCTCCATCTGATGTCAGCGAAGAAGAGGAAGACTATGAAAGCGAAGAGTCAGCTACCATAGGCATTATGCCAGCAGGAAACGGTGTACCCGGAACCGGAGCCGGAAATGGCGGAGAAGCTGCAGCAGCCACCGGTGGTGAAGCCGGAGAAATTGTCAGCGAAGAGGAGGAAGAAGAGGACGAAGATGAGGATGAGGAGCGACGCAAACGGAGATCAATTGCCCGACAGGTTGACCTCGATATGCCAATCGACTTTTGCTATACAGTGAGACTCAAACGTAAGCAGCAGTTTCCCACTCCCACTGGTGCACATCATAAAATCAAAAAAGCTGTCTAGTGCGATGCTCCCATTGGCAGCGATAAGTTATCGATTTATTAGTCATCCATGAAATGATAATCAGAATGTCAAAGCGAATGCACTGAAAGTAATTCTTGGTACACATTGGTAAAACTTAAATAATGCAATTTAATATTTTAATAATAATTAAGTAAAAGGGGAGTTTGGAATTAATAGAAATTATTTGTTTTATGAAAATGTGATCAGTACATTAAGTACTATTAATTAGACAAAATTATACTAAAATTTAGATACTTATTTACCTCATTATCCTATCCCCTCTACAGTGAACGAATCGATGATCACCAAGAGGGCTGCACCACCGCCAGGATGAGCAATCAGACGGGTGGATGCGACGGACTCTTCGATAACTGGACCGTGGCTGGGTGTCAGCTGTGCCAGGACGACGGATGCAACCAGCCCATCAACCAGGAGTCCTCCAGTAGAAATCTCGGACAATCTTGGACTTTACTAGCACTCACGCTAATGGCATTTATGATCTAATATTACCTTTGGCCAATTAATTTGGTATATAGAAATACAAAATATATGGCCAACAAAGTTAGATTTCGACTTTGGTGTCTGAGTTCATTCCTTTTTGGGAGCGTTAACCGATTTATGATGTGTCTATTTATGGCTCGCTTACCACTCGTAAAAGTTTTGTTAGCAATGAGCGCACCTGAGCTATTTTCGCATAATTGTTTAATTGACATCGATAAGGCGATGTCCCTTTTTTTCTTCTTCCACCCGTTGGAGGGAAAGTGCTCGCTCATTGAGAACGTTCATTCAGTTGCAGCCAAATCGAAATTAAATCAATTAGTTTTTGGCGATAAGTGGTGACGAGGAATACTTGGTCGGGAGTCGGGTGCTCCCGTTCCCAATACGATTTCATGACTTCATGCTAGCCGTAAACTGATAAAATTATATATAGTCATCAACTGGCCAAAAGCGTTTAGGCCGATAAGCGTTACGAAGTCGAGTGGCAATTTCTGCCTAAAACTTTTTCGAGATTTATGGCATTATTTCGGGATCCGGAATTGAGGAGAGTTCTTAATACAGCGATGAGGAAACGCGACCGAAAACAAGGTATCGCTTTAAGGAAACTTGCTCTAAACTGTAAATGCAACTGCCAAATTCGTTGGGCTGACGTAGAGTGTACATATATGTATATATAGTATATATCTTTTTGACTCCTCGATTTGTGGGCTCGCGTTGGGGATTTTTAAACGCTTCCCCGTTTTATTTTCGTCGCCTTCCGGGACGGTAAAGTACCTTGTAATGACGAGCATGCAAAAAAAAAACCTCCCAAAGCCCGGCTTTAACTTAACAACCGAAGAGAATCTAAAGAGAATCTCAACGGGAAGAGAAAGAGAATCGTCATCGGTACTTAGCACTTAGCACTTTACGTGATGTCGTCGACACTTTGCAAGTTATATGCAACTTTTGCCGCTGACTTTTTGTCTCCGGTAAACTTACAGTTTTTATCTCCCGTCTGCGCTTTTCAGACGATGCGTCAGTTAAGCCGGCACTAACCAGATCAACTCGACATTTGGCACGAACTATGGCCGATAAATTATGAATTATTGGCACTTGGCTAAGACGCACGATTTTCGAAAATGCACCAGTAAAGTTTCACGGCCAGGCATTATGGTAACATAGAGAGTTTGTTTAAGTACATTCGAGATTCCAGTCCAATATTTGATTCAAGATCTTTATCAATTAGCATTAGGCACTAAAAAGATTAAGGAAAATCATTTTTCTAAGCTAGATTTAAATATATTTTCATGAAGTTAAAGGGTGTTTTTCCTTTGACCTTTAATGAAGGTAAGAAATTTCAAACTTGTTATCTAAAATGAAAATATAAAACCGAGAACCCTTCCACACCTTTCCAAACCTCGGCTTATCAGCTGACCTTGCCCTCGTCTCGAGGGCTGCCTTTTCTGGGTCAGCCAGCGCAGTGAATTACTTTCGAGTCGAACACGACCTTGGGGCTTACTCAACTGGAAAATTTCGTTAAGCTATTGCGAATCCAGAGTTCTAAGCTTGCACAATGGGCGAGGTGCCAATGGGTTGAGGCAACAACACGAACCACAACAAAATCCCTGTTAATTGCTCGGCTTTGCCTAATCCGCATTTGTTTGCTCTTCGTGCTCTGATATTGGATAATAATCATGGGATATCATTCACTACTCTATATAAATGACGAATATTATGCAAACGGGGGGCAGATAGGGCGGCTATTAACTCAATTCAGATCGCGTTGGGTAATTTCGGGATTTCAGATGCTGACTAACAATCAGCTGCTTAATTAGCGGGGAACAAAGAATTTATCGGTATATAAAACACAAAGTGCGAGAAATGGTACAGAAAAGTGAAATGAATTCCCAGATCTGAATCATTTGCCTTTGGGGGAAAAGCCGAAGAACCCAAGATCGCTCCCCGGAAGAACCCATTTCCACACATTAGCATATTAAGAGAGCCACCCGCAATAAAATTAAGAGTAATTACCTATCTTTTTCTCTCTTTGGTTGATAATTTAAATTTGTGCTCGTTTAGTCTGCATTATAAATTAATTTGTTATCAATAATGGAAGGGGTAAACTTGTTTTACGGCCCGCTCTTCATCTCTCGCCCCCTCTCTCTGTCTCTCTCTCTATGGTCATCGCTTGCCGTCTCTTTCTGCTACTCACTCTCTTACGCATTGAAGCCGCTGACGTCGCAGTGGCAGCGCAGTCCGCGTTTAAAACTCTATAAAAAGTCTCAAACAAATCACAAGATTTTCAGTTAAATTTTAGAATTCGCAAACTGCGGTCGCCCCAATAAATATTAATTTAGATCAAGAAACGCGAGAAAAGCATAACAAACGCCAAACAGCTAACTAAAATTAGTACAAATACTATAGTCAACATAATTATTTAGAATATATCTGAAAGATATATATTTCGAAATAAACAAAAAAAAAACAGAAATCATGTTCAACAGTAGCCCCATCGTTTTGGCCAGCTCTTTGCTGTTGCTAATCGCCCTGCCAGGTAAAAAGCATTTGGGTATTTGAGGCTATTAGAGCAATGTGAAAAGTGTCGTGATAACTTTGATGTGTCTTATTTAGCCTAAAAAGGTCTAAATCATGGGTATATATCAGATAGCAACCGAAGGAACCAAACGATCTGATAAACATATCTTTGAGGATTTTAATTTGTGGCTGCCGCTAAAAATATATATAAAAATATACACCCATGTCTCAAGTGTTGTTGTTGTTGTTATTGTTGGTGTATATGCAGTTGCCAAAAAATAAAAGGAAAGAAAAAATGAATTCAGAATTCAAGATCATGAACACATTTCGCCATAAAATTTTGCATATCAAGCAGCAGCAGTGACAACGCAGCGACATTTAAAACGGCCAATTTATTTGTTATTATTTAACTGTCATAAATAATGCAAAGATTGTTGCCAATTTGCGGGTATTTTTTATATTTTTTTATTACTCTGTGATGCGGAAATGTCATCCAACCAGTCAGTCAGCAGCTCCCACCCTTCGTATAAGCCAAATTCATCTGGGCCCTCTCTAATTTATGCCTCAAATGAAAAGGAAAAGTCAGATGGGGAAATTGAGAATAATGAACAAATATTAGTTGACATTGAGCCAGCGACTGCTAATTGGAAATGTTATAGTTACACTTAACACTTTTCGCAAAGGCGGCCCGAAATGGAAAAACTTGTCTGGCCATTAGCACCACTCAGAAAATAACCGAACAAAACCTGAATTTTCGATATTTTTTCACGATGCCTTCTTTTGACGCAATTGCAAATGATTTAATTTGTGAATCGAGAAGACTAGCTAATATATTCAAAGGCACTTTGAAATACCATTTTAAACGTGTTTTTTTTATATATATTTATTTTATAAGGGAAAAAGGAAGATTAAACGACTGCAAGTTGCCTAGAACGAACTTTGGCTTGGGCATTTTAAATGACTTTTCAATTACCTTTACACAAACAGCATTTGCATCACAGAGAGTTTTATGGAATAACCCAAGCAAATATTGACAATCCCAGCTGCCCCTTTGTTTTTTTTTTTTATTATATTTTGCAATCATCACGAAAGCCCCCCGAGTTGCACTTTTGTTTTAATAGCAACCCTAAAACAAGTAATGTTTATTATTTATGAGAACGTCGAAAAGTGCAAAAATTCTAACTGCTAGGTGAGGTGGCGCTTATCACGTGCCAATACTGTCATTCCCCCCGGACAATTTAAGCCCTGCCTTCAGACCCCCGAAAAACTCCCCATCAATCACAATGATTTATGATAAATTTAAAATAATAAATCAACAAAACTTAGTCAGAGATACATTGAACCATTCGATTGCTATAGAGAGTGTTGACGAACCCTTTACTAAATCTTCTGCACTTAAGAAAATGCCAATTAAAAGAACTTAACTTTTCGGCACGAATTCTGATATCTAGATGCTATCATTATAGGTCTAGCAGAGATTTGGTTTTCTGTCGGATAATCGTATGACTCACCGTTTTGATAGATAATTGGACTCATTGTGGGGTAGCCGCATCCAGTGATAAGACAATTAACCCAATCATGATAGTGTACCCACAGCGATAAGTTTTTCTATTTACCTGTTTGCCACTGGCAAATATTTACCCATTGTTGCGATGACGATAACATGCAAATGAAATCGATTTACTCTGGTGGAGGGGAAGTGCGCCCTAGTATAAGCTGATAAAAACAGCTACTTGCGCTAGATCAAAGGCTAGGGAAAGGCACATACAAACTAATACTAAAGAATCGGCAAATAATACGCCAAATACTTTGGATTTGAAGTGATTTATGGTGCTCACATGTTCTTTGTTCTTATTGTCATCATTTATCTGCTATCGCGATTTTCCTGTTTGCCAAAGCTGTAAATTGAGCACTTTTAACTGATAGATATCTTGGCGTCCAATAAAATTTGTATATGAAAAGGGCAAGGCCAGGTAAATAACCGTCAAAGGTTTAACAATTGCCTATGATAAAGTGGCGAACCCGGAAAAGGTGTGCAAAAGTAGGGTACTCTTAGTTTGCTTAATACAAACAAAAAGACTCTCCTTTAAAATAGTTTATAATTCTATATATATAGGATTTATATTAGTTTATTTATACGTATTTAGGTCAATTTGAAATTGGGTATTATAAAAAGAACAAAAAACAATAGCTTATATCGGATCATAAACAAGCCATGACCTTTAAATTAGGTCAATTTGTATGATTTTCGAACTATTTATATTTATATTGGGTACTAAAAAAGGAATAAAATGAAACTAAAAATAGATAACAAAAAATAAATCAAACTCATTTTCCCAATCATTTCAGTAATCCGCGCCGATCTCATGTGCTATGTGTGCGATGATTGTGCCCAGCTGCCGAAGGATGCCCCCCTGCTGGCATGTAATGAGGATTTCTTTAATCCTGGCGGCAGCACAGAAGCCTCTACGGTGACCACTACCTCCACCACCGAAGCGAGCACCACGACAACGCAGGAAACCACGGCGGCTCCAGTAGAAACAACCACGGCGATCACAAGTGCTGAAACGGATCCTCCAACAACAGAGTCCACGACGACTACAGTGGAAACTACCACCACCGAACAGACCACTGAGACCACCCAGAGCACTCAGACCACTGAGACACCGATTCCAACGCCACCCACCGCCGGACCCGTGCAGACAACCACTGGAGTGCCCACACCACCCGCTGAGGATCTGGCTGCTCTGTCGGTGGCCTTGAACACCACCCGTTTGGTGCCGGTGGATGCTGGAGAGGAGACTACGACTCCTTCACTGGCCATCAGGCAGCGGCGAGCAGTGATCAACACCGAGTTCACCTATCACTGCTACTCCGTCCAGGTTACAGGTGAGTTACCTGGTAAATTATACTTTAAAATCAATACTAACCTTTATCTTAATTACTTTTAGTGAACGGCTCAATGACGACAGATCGTGGATGCTCGCGGGTGAGCACCTTCGAGGGAGTTTGCGAGCAGTTGAAGATTCAGAACAACAGCACAGAGCTGGCCAATTGCAATCCCTGCAGTATGAATGCCTGCAATGGAAGCTCAGCACTGCAGAACTCCGTTCTGGCCTCCCTGCTCTTGGCCTTGGTGGCCTTTGCCCTTCAGCGCAACTGAGAACCAGATCATCATCCATCACCCGGTGCTTTAATTTAGTATTCCTCGTTTCTTTAAGGCGAACACACACAAAGGCAAATGCACAACAAACCGAATATCGAAATATATACAACTCTAATCTAACCAAATGTAAAGCTTCAGGCGACTTAATAAATAATAATATGTAATATGTATTAAATCAAGAAAGAAGTTTAAGTTTGCACTTCCTCTTTTGGCATTTCAGCAATTGGCAACCTTTAAAATGACATCATTCTGCACCAAAGACCAATAAGCCTATAAATCTAATCTTTAACCATATAATACTCTCAGATAATATCTTCAGAGAACTTTATATGGCATCTCTTATATTGTCGAAGATAAGTGGTACTTTTTCACAGCCAAAGTAATAATATTTTCAAACCTCATGCATTTTGTTAGGGGAATCTAATGGCAGTCTCACTCGAAGTTCAAACTTCCCCACTTCTTGTACTGCACTTTAATGAGTCTATTAATCAGAAATTATGGTTAGATGACTAAATGTAATTAATCTTATCAGACTCTTGCAAATAGAACTTCGTATGCATAGAACAAACATAGACGGGAAAGTACGTGGACCTACCAATGCCAATGTCACGTATACGCCTAGTGGTACTATTACTATTCATTCACTGAGCAAACATTAAACGTAAAGGAACAAGTGAAGGCATACTTTTAGGCCATTTATGCTAAACAAATTTGCTCAAGACAAAAAAAAAGAAATTCAAACACACAAATAACCACAGTTTCCCATCGATTAGATAAGATTTCGTTTAACTTATTTGGGACTTATGGAACAATAAACGAAATAAATATGTGGCCACGCGTTGATCATTTGAGTGCTTTTATGGCGCCAAATAAATACCACCATAAATATATTGATAAGTTCAGTAACAAACTATTTAATGCCGCCTTTTGAATGTTCGCTACTTGCAATCCTTAATCTAAAGCTTTAACCTTTTGGCTTATCTTGGAACCTAACTGATTTTCATTGATGATTAACATTTGAAGTCATAACTGACCTGCATATTATACGTATTGATAACTGAAGTACATGACAATAGACAAGCTGGCTCCTGCCAAGAATTTCGTCACAAGATTATTGGTGTAGATTAGCTTAACTTATCAAGGGGAACTTTCAATAAATCATTTTGTTTAATTACTACTGGGGAAGTCACAACTTTACAACGAACAAAGTACACAGACTGAAGATGATTTCGGTGCTCATCTATTAGGCAGCTGTCGAAAGTATTATGAATCATGGTAAATACATACATATATATTATATAGATAATACTAGCTATTTAACCAGGCTAAAATATGTATGAATCATGCTAAATATATGCCTTAAATGGTATTTGCACGACCTGATATTGCTAGATTATTTATCGAAATATTTTTTTGCGACTTGAACAGGCCACGCAAGGTGCAAGAAGGTTATTTACGATACACAGATAAAAAAACGAAGTCAGTTACATTTTAGCTTAAAAATGTTTTATTAAGGATTCATTTATATTTATAGTGAGTTATACAAGTATTGTTTAAAGAAAGAAGGGAATATAAATAATAATAATTTGTTTACCTCTAATTTCCTTCTACGTGTATATATGGCCAAATACATTCACAATTTTGTGTAAACATTTAGGCTTATTATAAAGACCACTGGATCCGACTGATTAGATTTCCTTTTGAATTTCCAAGCCAGCGATTACTTTGCTTAAATCCGCAACCGTAGGTCTAAATGTCTATCTTAGTGTAACCAATAGGTTAGTTTTATAACAATTGTGAATCACTCGAAAACTTGCTACTTGAAAAAAAAATCATTAAAAAAAGGAACAATAATAGGTCCCCCAGTTTACAATAGGTCTTTCCCCCTTTACTGATACCTTATCGATACGCAGGCAGTACTCGAAATCAAATAGACGATTGACCAAATGACCAAATAACTGGAAAACAATAAAGGCCAATAAACGTTGGGGCAAATCGTGCATCCTGAGGAAGTGTACACTCATTCGGCCCACGAAAAATCCTTATCGTACAACGATCACGGCCATAATTTTATTGTACTCTATTATGGCCCGTATCGCCAGGAAGAAGCACCACAAAAGCTGTGTATGAATGTGGCTGTGCTTTTCCGCTGCCTTCCTGCTCTGCCGACGCTTATCAGTGGCTGAAAATGATAAAAAAGCCAAGTTAACATTATATTTAATTGGTAGTTCCTATTCAACCGTCGTGCGGTGCGATTCTTTTCTTTCTCAAACGCTCTGAACTTTGCCACAAATATATTTTACTCGATAAATATCCTTTCGGTCAAAGAAAAAGGAAAAAATGCGTCTGATCACTGTTAACTTCTTGCTGATGGCATTCTGTGCCTCCTCCGCTATTTGGCCAGGTTGGTCTTAGTTAGTCCATTATCTTGAAGTGCCGTAGTCCTGAATATTAAATTTATTGATTGTTTAATCTCGCGACAAACGTACAAATGGAATTTACCAACAATTTATTAACAGTTTTTAGTACGGTAAACGAAAAATAAACGTGGGGCCTTATCAGCCGTGTATTGACAAGGAATTTCTGTCTAAAATAGAGCCATGGCCAGTTCCATTATTGAAATTAGTTTTGTTGCCGCCAATAGTTTTCAACCTGAAAGTGAAAAAAAGAAAGCAAAACAATCTTAAATAATGTAATGTGTTTAAGGTTGTTTAAAAAAAATCATATTTTAAGTCTTAAAAGTCCACCAAAAAAGTCAGAAAGCCAAAAAAGTTTTTGTACCCAAATTCAAGAGAACTAAATTTTAAGTGTAGTTTTAAAAATTACACAGTTACTAAAGTTATTTAAATGCTTTTTTTATTTATAGTATATCAAATTCATATTTCATAAAATTTAACAAAGTTTTCATTGTAAACTCCGATAAGAAAACCAAATATGCAAGTTGACAGCATCCGATTGCGATTAATTTATATTTCTTAAAAATACTTTGAAAGTTTAAACTGCTGATAAAGTTAGACAGTTATTCACATTCTTTTTCTCAACTGCTAATGACGACATTAAATTAAAGATAAATGCATTTATTAAAAGTGGATTTTCCCTGAAATTTTTTCTTGATTCATAAAAATTATTGATAAAAAAAGCTGCAACATTTACAGATTAAAACGACTGGTAAATTCCAAAAGAAAAACTGTATAGTATAGCTCATGAACCAGATTAAAATGGGAGTACTCTTTGAGTTGAAAGGTTAACCGATAAGAAGATATTTAAGTAGGTTAACCTAAAAACAATGAGCGTTGAAAGTTGGCCGATTTGCTCTGTGAGGCAACCGTGGCGATGTTATCTCGTATTTGATTTATCAATCAGAGTTATTGCCTGCTCTCGAGCGACGAATTTTATCTCGTTTGGCCTTCGCCCAACCTGTCCACTCCCACCGCTCCCCTTTCCACTGACTCAACCACTGACTTTACCCACTTTTTCCCCAGCGAGTGCCCTGGAATGCTACAGTTGTGTTGGGGAACAATGCCATGTGGAAAACGTCGAGACGGTTACCTGCAACCTTGATGCCTCTTCTGCGTTTGTATTGGAGACCAGCGCTGCATTAAATCGATTCAGGCGATCTGCGCTTTCGGTGATGCCAAGAGATGACGGTCAGGAATCCACAACTACAACCCCCGAATCTTCTTCAACAACCACAACTTCGACCACTTCATCATCCACAACATCCACATCTTCCACCACCGAGCCATCAACTACAACCACAACCACAGAGGCTTCAACTTCTGCTGGACCCGAATCTTCTCCAACGACCACAACTTCGTCCACTACATCTTCCACCGCCGAGCCCTCAACTTCATCATCAACTACAACTACAACCACAGTTTCATCAACCGTTTCCTCACCCTCGGAGACTTCCACGGACTCGTCCAGCTCTACGATTAGTGATTCTACCACCGATTCAAGCACCTCTACAACCACCGATTCCACCAGCACCGCTCCAACTACCGATTCTTCAAGCTCCTCTACCACTACCGATTCTTCAACCAGCCCTACAGCTACCGATTCTTCAAGCTCTTCTACAACTACCGCGTCTTCTACAAGCTCCTCGTCAACCACAGAATCCTCAACCTCTACCCCAGACTCGGATTCCTCAACAGCTACTACAGACGCGGGTTCTTCAACGTCTTCTACAGACTCCTCGTCGTCAAGCTCTGGCACCACCGATTCCACTTCCGAATCTACGACTTCTCCTCCCATAAGTTATAAACTTGCCGCTTGCTACAGCATCTACAAGGATGGAGGTAATTACACGAACGAAGATTGTTTGGTCCTTTTTTAAAAAATTATATTGAACTAACTTACACATTTTCCTTTTTACAGTGCTAAATCGAGGCTGTGTTAAGATTCCCAATGACGTAGGAGGCTGCCAGGCAGTGCAAACTGAGCTTGATATAACAGAAGACTCTGACGATCAGTGTGATATCTGCTTGACTGATCGGTGCAACGGTAGCACTAGTGTAAAAGTCTCACTTGGCGCCATGATCCTCCTCCTGGCCATGGGTCTTAAGAACCTGTTCTAAGACAAAGTTGGGCATTATTAAGTATTATTATGTATATATTTGTTAGTAACTTGTAACCGTATTTAATAAATAAACTATTAACATTGAAGGTTGGCACAGTCGGGCTATGAACAACAATGAATATGGTTTTATGGAAATATGAAGGCAATCTTTAGCTTTTCTTAAAAAATAAAGCGAGAATCGGAGCTAATTTTATACGGGCTCAGATATATATATTTCCAATGTCATCAAAATCACTTGACTTTTACAACACAATAAACCTATAAAAAATCCGTCTTATCTCCAGTAGTAGTCTCCAGTTCGTGATGATATATCCTTTGTTATATGAAAGCAAGTGGCATATGATTCATTCTACGTCATATTGACACGATACACCCTTATCATTTAGCTTATATTACTAAACTTCAACTAACTGATTGATTGATTAATCACTTGACTGTTGTGCAAATGAAATTTACTTAAAATATTAACACATTATATAGTTTGCTAAGAAGAAAATAACTTTAGCTCCTTATCTACAGTTTTGGCACCAGTTTCCTGTAAAGTAGAATGTAAGAAAACCTACCTATATAGGCCTAACAGAGTTGTTGGGTAAATATTTGTTATTTTTAAATATTATCTGTAATGCATTTGTATTTATAAGTCTTCGTAAATTTTCGTATAATAAGTGTCTATAATTACTCAGGCTTATGGTAATAATATAGGCCAAGACAAGGATGAAAAGGACGATTCAGTTGATCAAAATGCTATATTAAATCATAATTAGCATAGAAACAAATTTTAGCTTTTTTCTTTACTTTATTTTAATTTTTGTACAAAAAATATAGAAGTTGTTTCACATTTTTTCCCCCGAATACAATTTTTCTCACTTAAAGTTTTTACAGTTTGATGTCTACTGGTTTAAGATTCGATGCCTACTTTTGGGCATCAGTTCGGAATACTCTTGTATATATTACACTGAATCATTGTAAATGACATGCGCTCCCATTCTTTATTATTAATGCTTCCGATTTTTTTTAAAAATCTTATATAAATAATGTTGTACAATTTAACTGATTTTGATATTAGTCAAAGAGTAAGGGATTAAAAACAAACTTTGAATTATTATTAAAAACTTAATAAAATGTTTGAAAAAGTTTTCAAATACTTCCTCTCTTTTTGGCTCCAAAAAACTGTATCACATGACTAAATAACGGTGAACAGTGAATATTAAATGAGTGAATAACTCTACAAAATTCCTTAGAAAACGTTTAATAAATAGTATGACTTAGAAACAATTCAGCAGAAAAGGTTATTTCTATATTTTTTAACCAGCTTCAGTTTTAATTCAGTTTCTTTCAGGTTGAAAATATTTTGTAATCATCACGGATTAGGTCGAAAAATGTGTGAAGCTTGATTTGCGATAACTCCAGCATTGAGGGTATACCAAGGCGCTTTCCCAGCAGATCCAATAGTAGTGCAGGCAAACACAATCTTGTTACTCCTAACTCTCGTTTTTATTATACTCAACCTTATGACTCGCTTATGACAAATTCCCAAATATTTTTTGGATTAAAGAGAGCAGTTGAGTCAGACCATGGTATTACTGATAATTTTGTTTTCCTTTTTCAAGCTGGGACGCTGTTTGGTTAGTATACTTTAATTCGTCAAACATAACGCTTGTTAAGCACCCAACATTTTAAGCAGTCCGCTTGAAGCAAAAAATCAAAATGCGTTTCATCTCGGTTAATTTGTTAGTGATTGCATTTTGCGCCTACTCCACGATTTGGACAGGTTTGACATTTTGATTTCATTATTTTACGTGCTTAAAATTCACAAACTTTATTAGTTTAGAGTTTCCATTTTTAAAAATAGTTTTATTTTTGAAATGTAAATCATTAAAGTTTAATAGTAGTTGAGTTTTTAGTATTGGCAATTTAATGTCTAATTAATATACAAAAGTATCTGAATTTAAGGCCTTGAAAATCATCTTTTCTTTTTACTAATTAGCCTGTTAAACATTTTTCAGCAAGTGCCCTGCAGTGCTACACTTGTACTGGACAAGAGTGTCAAGTGAAAACGTTTAAAATGAAAACTTGCACTTCATCAACACCAATGAGTCGGTTCACGCGGTCTTCAGGCTACCAACATAATAAGCATGCCGAAACCAACGCAACTTCTACTACTCCTACTACTACTGCTCCTACAACTACTACTACTCCGACTACTACTACATCTCCTACTACAACTACCAGACCTACAACTACTACTACTCCGACTACTACATCTCCTACTACTACTACTTCTACTACTACTACTACTTCTCCTACTACTACTACTACTACTTCTTCTAATACCAAAACTCATACTATTCCTACTACTACAACCACTACGAGTACGACTAAGGGTCTTGAAACCACCAAAACCAAACATGAAACTACCACGAAATCTTCAATTCATTCTACAACGAGAAAGTCTTCAAACTCATCCGGAACCATTGCCGAAACCGGAAAAGTTGCAAAATCCTCTACAACTCCCAATCCTTACGGCGAATCTCTAATTCCTGCTTGCTACAGCATCGAAGTGAATGGAGGTTAGTACAAAAAGAAACTTCTTTTCAATTTTCAAAATTGAGTTTAATTTTTATTAAACATTTATAGTGGAACAACTTGGTTGTGCGGAGATTCCCGACATAAGCTGCGAGGCCTTGAGGAAAAAACTTGATATTCATGAAAACTCTGACGATAAATGTAAAATCTGTACGGAGGATAATTGCAATGGCAAACATGTCCCTAGTTCACAGACGGGCAACGGGAGCCCTAGTTTGCATGTCTCAGTTGGCGCCCTTGTCCTTATTTTGGGCCTGGGACTAAAGAACATACTTTAAGGAATTAACTTTTCATGCTTTGAGAAAATGCGAATTAATTGTCTATTTTTTCAAATTTTAAATAACCATTTCAATCTTATAATATTTATTTTTCCCAAGACCTTTAATTATTTGTATGCATATTTAATAAAAAGAAAGCATTTTCTATCCTTTACAAATGACTTTATTTGATAAACATTAAACATTAACTTTGCATCACCCAAAGTTAAAGGCATATTACGCTTCTGGTCATGTAAACCATAGACCGTCATCCGACATCCTCCTACCTCCAGCTCTCACTACTCCAGTTCTCCAACTCCCCTCTCACTATCACGACCACTAGAAAAGGTCATGTCCGCTCTCACATCCGTATGACCGTCTAAGCTTTAGGCTCTAAAAAACCTAGAGAGCTAGAACACAATTAAGTTGCATCTAAAACTCCAGATTTCTTTAATTATGACACATTTTAATAATTCATATTATTTAATTAATTCATTCATTGTTCATTTAATGAGGACAGACTGTGGCCCTGGGCGGTTTCAAATGCCTGAAATAGGATTTCATATATTCAAAATAAAAGTTTATAAAATAAGTTTCTTCTTACGTTTTGTGCGATTTTCAGCAGACTCTCGTAGGTGGCATGACCAGTCTGCTTGACCATGCCGTGGAACACCTTCGATTCTGCTAGCGTAAGCAGTTCGTAGGGTGTTCCAAACTCCACCGCTCTTCCAGCGTCCATGACCAGCACTTTGTCGGAGTCCATGATGGTGTGCAATCGATGGGCTATCGTCAGAACAGTGCACTCCTTGAACTTGTTGCGAATGGTGGTTTGGATGAGCCCATCCGTCTGGGGATCCACATTGGCTGTGGCCTCGTCCATCACCAGAATGCGATTCTCACGCAGGATGGCCCTTGCCAGGCAGACCAACTGGCGCTGGCCCACGCTGAAGTTTGTTCCGCCTTCGGTGATTTTGCTCTGCAAGCCACTGGGAAGATCCGCCACCACATCCTTTAACTTGACTGCCTCAAGGGAGTGCCAAAGCTTTTCATCACTGTACTCGTCGAATGGATCCAAGTTGTATCGCATTGTGCCCGAAAACAGTACGGGTTCCTGAGGTATGATAGAGATTTTGCTACGCAGGTTGTGCAGACCCATCTCACTTGTGTCCCTTTTGTCTATGATCACGGATCCATCGTTGTAGGACAGCCGGAAGAGGGCATTGATCAGCGACGACTTTCCCGCTCCAGTGCGTCCCACGATGCCCACTTTTTCCCTTGGTTTTATAACGAAACTGAGTGACTTTAGCACATTCTCCGACTTGGGATCCGGCGTATATCTCAGGCTCAGCTCGTCAAAAACGATTTTCCCTTGCTCTGGCCAGGTCTTGGGTGGCTTCTTGTCAACCGGCGCTTCCAACTCCCCCTTCTGGCTCAATGTCCTCGTACTCAACCACCCGCTCTACGGCTGTCATTGTATTCTCCAGCTCAGCGGATTGACGCATTCCCCATTGAACCATGCCCATTATAGCCATGACCTAAAAAGGAGAATAAGGATGAGCAAACTGTGGAGTGTAAACTATTCTGAGATGGCTCACCTGAGTTATGGCCAGACCTACATCACTTCCGTTTGCCGGGGGAAAGATGAAGAAACTGAGTGTAACGGTTGCTATGTAAAACACACATAAGCACTCCATCCAATACCCATATGCTATGGAGGTACTCATGAACATGTAAAGAGCTGAGCTATGCATGTCCTGATAGTTGTCAAACTCCGACTCCAGGACACGCTGGGCCTCAAATGCGCGGATGGTTGACAGGCCGGTCAGTGAAGCAGCCAAATGTGAATAAACTGGAGACCGAGCTTTGAATATAAACAATCAACTAAATTTTAAAACTGAATATCTAAAATGGCAAATAGATTCTTACCTATAGCTTCAATGCGTTTCAAATCCCTTGAAGTTTTAAGATAATAGTTACGCAGATAGCAGAAAATAATTGCTAAAATGAGGGTTGGAGCCAGCAGCATAGGGTTTACAATGGCTAAAACGATGATGATTCCAGCCAGCCAAAGAAAGATCTGTATCACGTCTACCATCACCTCGGGAAGTGGCTCGCTCACTTGACTCATATCCTTGGAAAACCGATTCAAGATGCTTCCCAGTTCATTTGTGCTGTAGAAGTGCATCGGAGCTCGCAGAATCCGATTCAATATGTTGCTGTGCAAACGAATAGAAGCTTTCTGTGCCATATTGAACAGCATTATCGTGAACAAAAAGGTCAATAAAATGGATAATATTATAATCGACGTGAATATTAATAGGTCCAATGTATCAGAGTCTATAACCACTCCCTTTGGTAAAAGCTGCGATTCCAGGATTTCTTTTTCTCCTTCAACACCTTCGTTGCGCTCCTGGTTGACCCTAAAACAAGAAACAGAAATTGGAAAAACTTCAGTGTTACGCCAAAGACTAGAATCTATATGCCTTATCCCCCAACTCTCTTGCTCCTTTAATTCCCCGATCTACCTTTTGTATACTTTTAAACAAATACAATATAGTAAGAATAAGATTAAGATTATTAGCTCACCAGTAACTCAGGAAGTAGTCGCCACTCGAAACCACGACCTGCGCGAGTACTGAGCAGATTACCATCTCAAGGAATGGAAAACATCCGCCTCCGGCCTGGAAGTACTTTCTGTATAATGCCAGACGAACGCGACCTGATTCTTGGTGCTCCTTATTAGTCTTCTCGGGGCACGAATCGGCGATGGAATGCACAGATTTCACACTGTTGCGACGCACTTCGATGTCCAAACACGGTGGGTCCTCCTTCGGATCATCTCGCTCCTCTGTTTCGCCCAGTATGGTAACAAAGTCGATACCCTTGCTTAGCAGCGACTCGTAGGTTCCAACAGCACTCACCTGTCCTTTCTCCAGGATCACAATTTGATCGGCTAACTGGAGGAACTGCTGCTGGTGGGTAACCAGAACTACGGTGCTCCCTTCGAGATAGCCACGCACGCAATGCTCAAAGATATGGTTGGCCACTTTGGTGTCCACAGCACTCATCGGATCGTCCAGTAAGTATATGGAGGCATCACGGAAGACAGCCCTCGCCAAACCTATCCTTGCCCTCTGACCGCCCGACAGAGAGGATCCACGCTCTCCAACTAGACTTTTATCCTTAAACGGAAGCAGATCGAAATCCCGCTCCAAGGCACACTTTTGTACCACGTTGTCATACCTTTGGCGATCCATGGGTTGGCCGAAGAGGATATTCTGACGCACAGTGCCAGAGAAGAGCCATGGCTCTTGGGAGGAGTAGGACAGGGCACCATTTGTCCAAATCTGGCCAGACTCCGCTTTAAGCTCGCCGAGAATGGCCTGAATAAGACTGGATTTGCCAGATCCAGTGGGACCCAAGATGGCCACTAGGGTCCCGGGCTGAATCTCTAGACTTACCTCTTTAAGCGTGTAATCAGGAGATTCGGGGTCCCATTTGGCACTGAGTCCTGTTATTGAGATTGCAGACTTTGGAAGTTCGTCCTTTTGATCCTTATCAGATAGAGATTTAAGTAAAAGACTTTCCTCCTCTGCTTTAGTAATGACCGTATCCTGAGGGAAATCTTCCGACCCATTTATCTCCTCCAATTGCATGAATTTTTCCACACGTTTGGCGGAAACAATAATTTGTGCCGTCTGGTAAATGGCTTGAGGGAAAAAAATGGTCATGGACGCTTTCAGGACATTATAGAATGCAGTGATTAGAAAGGCCTTCTCCGGTGTGAGAAATTGTTCCAGGATTACGTAGCCAACCAAACTGAGGAAGATGGAGACACGGGAGAGAATTATTCTGCATGCTATACGGAAGCCAGTTATGATTTGTCCTCGACTAATATGTTTGATCTCCTTCTTGCGCGCATATTCCACCATATTCTGAAAGGGCACTTCCCAGGCGTACATCTTGAGCACTTTGATGCCCGAAATAATTTCAGTGATCATCCGCAACCGGATGTCCGTACGTTTGGCGGCCTTCAATTGAACCTCAGATGTCTTTTTGCCCAGGTACATCTGTATTGGTATGAAGAGCAGCATAAAGATCACACCGAAAACAGCAGATATTCCAATCTGCAAAAGGAATTGCCATTTCTGTGAACCAGTTTAAAGATCTATTTATCTGCTTACCTCCTGATACATCAAATAGGTTACCAAAACGGTTTGCAGAGGCCCCACCCAAAGATGGTGTACAGTAAAGGACGACCTGTCGAAGCGGGAGAGATCGTTAGATATAAGGTTGACCACATGCCCAGAAGTGGCGGTGCCTAATGCTCTTTTGTTCAGGCGCAGAGCCTTCCGGTAAACCATGCTGCTCAAGGCAACCCGCATTTTAAAGCCTAGAAATAAATCCAATACATATAGAGAGGAAATCAAAGATATCAAAAATCTACGCAGCTAACTCACAGACATGATGTATGGTGAACGAGACTGGAACTGAGATGATCACTGCCAGTGCGCTGTTCAGAATCAAAGCTCCCGCATAATAATAGCCCTTTTGAACTGCTTCTAAGCCATTTGAGTAGTACGAAATTAGCTTCACCAGAAGGATTGGCTGAAAAGATGTCAGTCCGATATCCACAAAGAATATTGCCAGCCCGGGAAGTCCTAACTGCCAGCCAAAAACCTGCAACAAAACTCTCAACAAACTCGGCTTTTCCTTACAATTTCTTTGCTCTCGCTCCCAGGCGGTGCACAGTTTGTTACCAAGAGTATCTGAGATTTTTATTAATTAAACAATTATTTTTAAGCCAGCCATTAAACATATCTCAGATAAGATTATATGGGAGATAGAAGCACATAGAAAGGGATGAGTATGATAGATATTCAATATGATATATATGTTATGAATATTTGAATATGTTTTTAGTCAAGAAACGCAACTCTGCTACAAATGCTATGAATTTACAAAGTTGTATTTGGCAAAATGACGAAACACATAAACGAAAAATCGGACACCTCTTATCAATACCATTTCTTATGCGGATGCTATATCTATATAATTTCCTTAAGCTGGTTGATTAGTTAGACGAGGGATTCTAATATCTTACCAGACTTATGTTCCCTTAGGGGTCGGTACAGGTCCTTTGTATCCAATGTGTTTTTAGACCCTTTAAAAAACATGGGCATAGTGTACCTATAAATTATTTGTTTAATTTAACATTTCTTTTCTTTATATCCCACAATTGTTTACCAAAAACATGATGAAGAAATAAAATTCGATTGGTCTCGAGGATTCTCCGGCAGATCTTCAATTTTTACGGACTGCATTTTTAACGCTACTTAACTAGCTCAAGAGTTTAAAAATGTTGCCTTTAAGGCCTTAAAAGTTTAAAACCATTTGATTTACTTATATATATAATATATAATATATAAATATATATAATATTATATAAATAAAACAAAGTTAAAATATTTCACAAGCGCCACTCACTGAATAGATGACCATCTATGCAACTGATGAGAGGCGGCAAAGGCTAACGGCTTATATATAGTGCCGAATTCGCCGCAAAAAGTTGAGATAAGAATAACTTATCTCGGCGCTATCGCCGAAAGAAAGCATAATTCTACTAACGCTTTTAGAAGCTCTGCTAAAATCTGTGTTTATAAATATTCAATTAAAAGACAGTTTAAATGCGTGCAACTTTGGATAAACCAATTCAGCTTACTGCAAGTAATTTATTACCCACAACATAGACTAAAATCGGAACAAATGCTATCTAAGGCGAGTTGGAATTTGTTATACCCTTAAGTTAAACCGTGCCACTAATATCATAACTAGATGATCCTCGGTTTCTGATGCTGTGTGAAAATTGTCTCCTTTACTGCCGTGAAAACCAATGAATTAAGTTGTAATACCCTCTGAAAGGGTATAGGCATGTGTAAACATTTCGTCTAGACAGATCTTGGAGGTGGTTAGATAAGATAACAAAATTAAGAGAGTTAAATAAAAGTGGATAAATCTTACCTTTTATTCGAATTAATTTTATTTCAAACTTCCAAATATCATAGCTTTTATTATTTTATTACTGTTCTAATCAAATATGAGTTGATTGTTTCTTAATAAAAGCCCATACCAGTAATAGCACTGCAATAAAATTATTGATGCCTTTATCTTAACAAACGAAGCTATTTTCAATTTTTATCACTTTATTTATTAATTAATTTGTAAGTAACATTTTTGTTTGTTGTAGAATGCTTCAGAAAATAGATTTTTTAGCTTTGTATCGCAACTATTTATAGAAATTAAAAATTAACCTACAAGTAAACAAAGAAAGTATTTTATTTTGATTAAAGGCACTTCTTTGCACTCAGTGAAAGTTAAATAAATACAAATAGTAAATTACGCCACAGTTTACAATCATAAGGTATTTAACATACACACTTACAAACATATTTACATTCACACTAAAAACACACATTCAAAATTATTAATAACTAATATTAACTAGTCTTAACCAGCTAAAGATTTGGTGACAAGCACCACGGCTCATTTTCAAAGAACATAGTTCACATAATAGTTGAGTTTCATGAGGAAAGACTGTGGCTCTGGGCGGTTTCAAATGCCTGAAATTATATTTCAAATGTTCAAAATATCCTTTTAAATTGTATTAAAACAAACCTTTTGTGCGATTTTCAGCAGACTCTCGTAGGTGGCATGACCAGTCTGCTTTACCATGCCGTGGAACACCTTCGATTCTGCTAGCGTAAGCAGTTCGTAGGGTGTTCCAAACTCCACCGCTCTTCCAGCATCCATGACCAACACCTTGTCGGAGTCCATGATGGTGTGCAATCGATGGGCTATCGTCAGAACAGTGCACTCCTTGAACTTGTTGCGAATGGTGGTTTGGATGAGCCCATCCGTCTGGGGATCCACATTGGCTGTGGCCTCGTCCATCACCAGAATGCGATTCTCACGCAGGATGGCCCTTGCCAGGCAGACCAACTGGCGCTGGCCCACGCTGAAGTTGGTTCCGCCTTCGGTGATTTTGCTCTGCAAGCCACTGGGAAGATCCGCCACCACATCCTTTAGCTTGACTGCCTCAAGGGAGTGCCAAAGCTTTTCATCACTGTACTCGTCGAATGGATCCAAGTTATATCGCATTGTGCCGGAAAACAGCACGGGTTCCTGAGGTATGATAGAGATTTTGCTACGCAGGTCGTGCAGACCCATCTCACTTGTGTCCCTTTTGTCTATGATCACGGATCCATCGTTGTAGGACAGCCGGAAGAGGGCATTGATCAGCGAGGACTTTCCTGCTCCAGTGCGTCCCACGATGCCCACTTTTTCCCTTGGTTTTATAACAAAACTGAGTGACTTTAGCACATTCTCCGACTTGGGATCCGGCGTATATCTCAGGCTCAGCTCGTCAAAAACGATTTTCCCTTGCTCTGGCCAGGTCTTGGGTGGCTTCTTGTCAACCGGCGCTTCCAACTCCCCCTCTGGCTCAATGTCCTCGTACTCAACCACCCGCTCCACGGCTGTCATTGTATTCTCCAGCTCAGCGGATTGACGCATTCCCCATTGAACCATACCGGTCATTCCCATGGCCTGCCAAAGAAAGAGAGCAGTAAGCGATGAGTAAGTCAACAGTTAATACTATTTCGTTTAAGCTCACCTGTGTAATGGCTAGACCTACATCACCTCCATTCGCAGGAGGAAAGATAAAGAAACTGAGTGTAATTATTGCAATGTAAACCACACAGAAACAGTCCAGCCAATAACCAAATGCTCGGGAAGTGCTAATAAACATGTAAAATGCTGAGCTATGCATGTCCTGATAGTTGTCAAACTCCGCCTCCAGAACGCGCTGAGCTCCAAAGGCTCGGATAGTGGACAGGCCGGTCAACGAGGCAGCCAAATGCGAGTACACTGGAGATCGAGCTATTAAAAAATTAGAAATAGTAAATTATTATCTTTATCTATAAATAAATCTCCACTTACTAATTGCCTCCATACGCTTCACATCTCTCGAAGTTTTTAGGTAGAAGGTACGCAGTTGATAGAAGATGATGCCCAACACTACGGTTGGAATGAGAAATAGCGGGTTAACAATAGCTATGACTATGACAATGCCAGCCAGAGAAAGGAAGATCTGAATGACGTCCATCATCACGGCAGGCAGTATCTCGTCTACTTGGCCCATATCCTTCGAGAAACGGTTTAGGATGCGTCCAGATGGATTCGTGTTGAAGAAGTACATGGCAGCTCGTGTGATGCCTCGGAACATGGAGTTGTGCAAACGAATTGAGGCCTTCATAGCCAGATTGAAGAATAGAAACGAACGCGCCACGGTTACCAAAATGGTCAATACTGTTATCACCGTGAAAATATATGTGTCCATCATTTCGGCGTCCACGGACCATCCCAGATCCTGCAGCCATATCGAGAGGCGAGGCTCCAGTTCCTCCGAGCGGACTGTGTCATTATTATCTGCACGGCTAGCCACTTTTCCCTTTTTGGTTACCCTACAAAAAAACATAACTTTAAAATATAATCATCAAATAATATTTAAAGCCAATTTCTTACCAGTAAGAGAGGAAGTAGTCACCCAACGATGCCAATCCTTGCGAGAGCACACAGAAACCCATCATCACGAAGAAGGCAAAGAATCCGCCGCCCGCCTTGAAGTATTTGCTGTACAGACGCAGTCCGATTTGTCCCGCCACCTGGCGCTCCTGGTTGACAGCCTGTTCCGCCTCAGCGTCATCCATGCACGATTCCGCAATGGATAGCAGAGATTGCTCACTATTGCGGCGCTGGTCGGAATGACTGTGACTGTAGCTGCCCGATCGGGATCTCGATCGCTCCTCAGAATGGTCATCCCGTTCTGGATCAGCCAGCATAGTGGCAAAGTCTAGTCCAGATTCACGTAGCGACTCGTAGGTGCCCACCGCGCTTACGCAACCTTTGTCCATTATCACAATCTGATCGGCTTGCTGCAAGAACTGCAGCTGATGCGTGGCCAAGATAACAATCCGCTCACGTAGATAGCCACGCATGCACTGTTCAAAGAGGTGGCGAGCCACATGGGTGTCTACGGCACTTAGTGGATCATCGAGCAAGTAGATGGAGGTCTCTCGGTACACAGCCCTCGCCAAACTGATTCTCGCTTTCTGACCGCCAGAAAGAGAAGCGCCACGCTCTCCTACAATGGTTTTATCCTTAAACGGAAGCAACTCGAAATCTCGCTCCAGGGCACACTTTTTTACCACCTTGGCGTACCGCCGTCGATCCATTGGCTGCCCAAAAAGGATATTCTGACGCACAGTGCCGGAAAAGAGCCACGGCTCTTGAGAGGCATAAGACATGGTGCCATTGACCTTTATCTCACCAGTTTCTGCGGGAAGTTCACCCAGAATGGCTTGAATAAGACTAGATTTACCGGATCCAGTGCGTCCAACAATTCCCAGCATGGTTCCTGGCTGAACCCTAAGATTTACTCCATTTAGCGTGTAGTCCGGAGAGTTTGTGTCCCATTTGGCCATCAGTCCGCTTATAGAGATTCCCGCCTCTGACAACTTGGCGTTCTCATTAATAGTGGTAAATGTTGGTCCCAATAGCTTATCCTCAGCTTCATCGCGATCTTCCTCTCCGTCGTAATGAACTGTGACCTGATTGCTACCTGCCGATTCTTCTGGAAGATCCACACTCTTGTCCGACACATTCGTCTCATCAGACTGCATGTATTTCTGAACGCGCTTAATGGACACCAGGGTCTCCGCCATTTGGGAGATGCCCTGGGGAAAGAATACGGTCATGGTGGTTCGCAGGATGTTGTAGTAGGCGGTGATCAGGAAGGCTACTTCAGGGGTGAGAAACTTCCCGAGTAGTACGTAACCCACCAAACTCAGAAAAATTGAGACTCTTGTCAGGAAAATGATAAAGGAGAGCAGAATACCTCTAATATATGACACATGCCGAATGCAATTGATCTCCTTCTTGCGGGCATAAGCCACCATATATTCAAATGGCAGTTCCCAAGCGTACATTTTGATCACCTGGATGCCCGAGATGATCTCGTTCATCATTCGCACTCTCTCATCAGTCCGGAGTGCTGTTTTGAGACGCAGGACCGATGTCTTCTTGCCCAGATACCCCTGCAGGGGGATAAACAGCAGCATAAATGCCACACCATACACGGCAGCGATTCCTATCTATAGAGATTTTGGTTTAGGCTTAAAATATAATATTTGTCAAATGATTACTTACTTTCCGGTACATCAGGTATGTAATAAATAGTGTCTCTAGCGGTCCTACCCATAGGTAGTGCACAAAAATGGTAGCCAGATCCAGCCGGCCCACATCGTTGGACATAAGGTTGACCACGTGTCCAGCCGTTGTGTCTCCCAGTGCTGTCTTGCTAAGCCGTAGAGCTTTTCGATAGATCATACTGCACATACCAACACGCATCTTAAGACCTTAATAAATATAGGGATGAGGATTAATTCTTGATATTATTTTGTCTTTAATAATCTATTCTATTATACCAAAAATTATGAAGTGGAATATATAATTCTTTTCAGACAACAATACTCTGTTCCTAAGGCATCTATTTTAATAGCTATCTAAATTCAACTTAACTAACTTAATGATACTAATTGGGTCTGCAGATTAGTATTTTATCTATGCCGATATTGTATAAACTCGGTAAGGGGGTTTTTTGGCTAGACTTATTAAGTCATTTTACAGTTGCCTAATAATTACAAATGTGGACCGGTGATGCTTTATAAATATATAATATTCCTCGGAAAAAATAATAATAATAAAAGTTAAACCGCTGACTCACCCACATGCATCGTGCCCAGCATATAAGGATGCATTATTATGACGTTAAGTGCACTGCACAGGATTACTCCAGCTGCATAGTAATAGGCCGATTCAATGGATTCCGATCCATGGGTGTAGTAGGCGATGAGTTCTAGCAGGAAGATCGGCTGAAGAGTTCGAAGACCCAGTTCCAGTAGGAAGAGAACCAGACCAAGAAGGGCGAAGTACCAGCCAAAAACGCGGAGCAGTGCTCTTAACAAATTTGGTTTTCCTTTGGTCTTTTCAAGTTCCTGCTCCCAAGAGGCACACAATTTGTTACCCAGAGTCTCTGAAATAAATCCACAAATTAACACAATTTAATCAAAGATAAGGGAGACAATAAATTCGGATTACGAAAACAATGATTACCCAGAGACACAGTTATCAATTTGGGAAAATAAAAACACAGAATCATGAGTGCAATTGAAGTAAAAAAGCAAATCAATTAAGACGGTCAACGAACATACTATGTACATGCATCGATCAGTCATATTAATTGTTCTCGTGATAAGTATGTACATACAGTGTGTTTGGAAAATGTAAGGCTCTTGGAATGATCTTTATCTATAACTATGACTTGCACTGATAACAAAAATCTTAAACTGTCATATATTGATATGATGTATTTATGCATAAATCGATTTTCAATTTCGCAATTCAGCATAATGAATCATAATCATAATTTCACCATACCCGATTTGTGCTCTTTCAAGGCCCTGTAGAGATCCTTGGTATCCAACGTGTCCTTTCGACCTTTGATAAAAGTGGGAATGGTGTACCTAAGGTAGTAAAAATGTATTTAAACCACAAACGTCTTTTTGAAATTTGGGGTTATTACTCACCAGAAACATGCTGCCGAAATAAAATTGGAACGTTCCCGGGGATTTTCCGGCAAATCTGCCGTCTTTACTGACTGCATGGTGTACTCTCTCTAATGAAACTGAAATAAAAGGCGTTATTACTCTTAGCATTTGTATGATAAGCTAAGTACTATTCGATATGGCAAATATGTAATTCTGCTGAGTGGTTTTAAAAACAAAAGTCGATATATGTGAGCACAAACACGGCAATTCTTAATCAAACAAACCGTGTTGTTTTATTTATCTACGATTTGTATTGACGTTGGCTTGACGACTTGGAGAAGTCAGCGTAATTTTTATTTTTTTGTAGACTAACTATGGGTTGGGTATTAAGGGATGGTTACTAGTCATAAGTTTTGTAATTCGTCATAATGAAGCTTGACAAAAGGCACGGGGAATCAGACAAATTTAAGAGGCATTTGGCTCCCTAAAACAAAACACCCGGTTTTCATTTCGTTCAACAGTAAATATCTAGTTAAAGTAAATGTTTCACAGTCAAAACTTGTTTATTGTTTTGCGTTGTTTTTCGTTTGATGAGTTGATACACTTTTTAAAATATCAAAACATATTTTTCAATGTTTCATCTTAAAAAAGGAATGAGAGAATTTCTTCCTACAGTTATTCATTGCGATGGATTGTTTTGGATTTTTTTTTTATTGTATAAAAGATCAATAAATATATGGTTTAAAAAGAATAAACCGTTTTTTCCTAAAGCTTTATATTAGCTTTATTTTATTTTATATCCTTTTTTCACAATCACTTGTGTTTTTTTAAATAAATATATGTATATAAGTGCCAAGTTGTATCCACTGTAATTGACTGTTTCTTCTTCTCTGCCTGTTTCACTCACGCCCGCTGAGAATAAGCACTTGGGACTTTTACCGTTTGCCCATATTGTATATATGTTAATACATATGTATATATTTATATACATACATATTTATGCGCGGGTGTGCTATCCGTACCACGTTGTTGCTGGCAAAAGGGAAAACTTTATCGGAATGTATGCAAATCCATTACATTTATCAAGCAACAAACAAATAATTGCGCACAGATAGCGGCCGCATCGATGATTTTTCGTTTCTCTGTAAATTATCTAATCACATGGATTTTTTCAGGCACACAAATTACCAAGCAATCGGTGAGCACAATTAAAATAATTGCCATTGCCTGCGAATCACATGTACGTACATTTGTTTCAATATTGTTTACATTCAACAATATGGTTATTGTTGCTAGCGAACGTGAAAAAATCGCGATAGAAGATAGAAGACCCGGCAAAGAAACAAAAAAGTATATACGTATTGTAAATAATAAAAGAAACTTCGGTCCGACCGCCGGAAAGGGCAGCAGGCTACTGAAATGCTGAATTCTGAACACTGGCGGTTTCGGCGGCTATCGGCTCTAAATACGAAAATCGCCCCCAACCCCAGGCGCACACAAGCTACAGTAGAGCTTCCTTAGCTGAAGTCGCCATATGCTAAACAAAAAAAAAACTTATATTTTCGAATAAAATTTCCTAACTGCAATTTAAACCTCATAGGAATTATCAAAACGAAATCACATTATAATATCGTATTATTCCATTTTCTTGAAATTTCACTGTGTATAACAAAATCAACATCAAGTTTACTTTTCATCTTCTACGAAACTGATGACCAAAGCACACAAAAACTCCAAACGAGCTGTCATATTTCTAACGATTATACATAATTATAATGATATGTATGTATATGTACTTACAAAAGAAGACATATTCATATATATGTAAACATTACTCACAAATTTCATTAATATACTTAGCTTTTTCCTTAAAAAAGTTCACAGATTTATAAATACTGATTCAAGTCACTGAAGTATGACTGTGTATTCGTTACTGCCACCCTGTCATGGAGTATGTATAGATGTGAATTGCAATTTCTTGTTGAAAGCAGTGCAACAAGTGCAATTAAAAAAATGGAAAAATATCAATTCTCAGCAGTATGTTTATAATGACTCCATTATGTTTCGCAAGGCTGTTTTTTTAAAATATGTTGTCACACAAAAAGTTTTTAATTATGATGATGAAAGTTGGCAATGGGATGCAACCAATTTAAAGCCTAACCTAGTGTACTAAAGTTTATTAATGAGAAATCTGGTCATTTTACATTTCAAAAGAATAAAGTAATTTTAATTTTTCACTATATTTCTTTCAGATGCAATTCAATAACTACTAAAATTAATTTTTTTAAAACAGTAAAATGTTTTCTAATAGTTTGTTAACAATTAACTTCTTAAACTTCAGAAGTATCTGTAATCCTTTTAGAAAGAAATTTCGGAAATAACACTTCATAAAATGACCTTTAAAAATAAAATATATATATTGGAAAAGATTATGCCAATCACACAAGATTAACTATATTTCTATATTGGCTATCATTTGCTTTGAACTACAACAAACTTTCCTCCAAATTAAAAAGGTCGCAACACAATTATTTAGTCTATAAAATAGTTCCGATTTCCAGTTTTATTTGTTGGGTTTATTGGTTGTACATTGGTGGAAATGTAGGACCCCGCAAGACTTGAAAACAAACTACCAACTAGCGAATCAAGGACGACTTAGGCAACCAAGGCGGAAGCGGTGCTCGACTCGTATTTCCAGTTGGGTGGCAGGACGCTCTTGGTCTTGTAGTAGCGGGCCAGACGGTGAATCCTGGACTCGACCAGAATCAGACGGAACTTGCCGTCCTTGTCCTTGCGGTTGCGCTCCAAATGCTTGCGGATGGCGACGGCCTTCTTGATCATGTGGTACAGATCCTCGGGAATGTCGGGCTTCAGACCAACCGACTTCATGATGCGCAGGATCTTGTTTCCGTTGACGAAACGCACCTGGGCAACGCCGTGCGAGTCACGCAGAATGATGCCTGAGAAAACCGGAATCCAGATAAACATAACCTCAAACAACAACATATCGGTGAGCGCACTTACCGATCTTGGAGGGCGTCAGACCCTTCTTTCCCAGCTTCTTAATCTGGTCCTTGACATCCTCGGCGTTCAGTTTTAGCCAGGATGGGACAGTACGTCTGTATGGGAGGGCTGATTGGGAAATACCCTTGCTGCGGAGAAATATACGAATGTTAGTGAGCGTTTATGGCGGCGCCTGTCAAAAGCGAATACGTTTGCACCATGTGCTTGCCCCTGCGGTGGATATTTAACGACCTTAGCCGCTCAGGGAATTACATTTATCACATTCATCTGATTAACCCGTACGGCAGACACATTTTGCAAACATTTAGCTTTGTGCAGTTGCATCAAAAACATAAAAAAATCGCATTTTTACCCAGGAGCGTGCATACGACCCATCTTGATAGTCTAGTTTTTGACACCGAAAAGAAGGTGGAGACTTTTGGCACGTTGACAGCTCTGCGATTGTGGAGACCTGTCAAATCTGCTATCGATAGTGGCGATAACAGGCAACCAACCGATATTTGTATAATACGTTAAAAATTCAAAGTAATATTAAAACGATATAATTAACTGCATTTTATTTGTTTATTCTTATGACTACTGTATTCAAATTTTACATAATTTAAATGCGTATAATCGAATACTCTTGTTAACTTAACTCTACAAAGATTCAGAGTTGCATTGACGGGGTTACCTTTTACAGTTTCACACTAAACGGTCTCACTATTGCTTTCCGACTAAGAATTTACCAAAATAATGCATTTAAATAAGTATAGTGAACTGGTGGAACGACTTGAGAACGAGGAATTCGAGGTGACGTAGTGTATAATCTGTCTATCCTATTACGAACTTAATAGCCCCCTCTATCAACAGCAAGTCGAACTAGGAGCTGAAGTCTACCAACAATTACTGGCGATTTATCTGTATCAAAACAAATTGTAAGTGCAAAACTTGTTTAGGGCACAACAACAATGTACATATATACATAACTGTTATCATTAAGGGCTGACGCTAAACTGCTATGGATGCGTATTCCGGCGAAATTAAAGGAGGACAAAGAACTGATCCAACTGAACCTGCTCAATCTGGCCCTGCAGAACAATAACTATGCTGACTTCTTTAAAAACATTAAGTACGAGTGGTCCGAGAGGGTAAAGTCGCCCGTGGATGATCTGTTGGGTAAGTTTTCTTTTTAAGGTTATTATAAAAAGAAATAAAAGAATCAATATTTATTTAGCAAAACAACGTGAGGAGTTGTTTAAACTGATGAGCAGCGCCTATGTTTCGATCTATCAGCATAATCTCTTGGAATTGTCCCTGATGTCAGAGGATGAGCTAAAAAAAGCATGTGAAGCCCTAAATTGGACTGAGGAACTCGACGGTGACAGGGTGATATTGAAGCCCAAGGTCCAGGAAGCTCCGGCCAGTCGCGGAAACGATGACCAGTTGCTCAAATTAACCGAGTTTGTAACCTTCTTAGAGAATTAAGCTTTAATAAAGTTCAGTACATTAATTTTATTTTATAGAAGCAATTTATGGCCACAAAGCGCTAGAAAAACCATCAAATTGTATAGATTTTTAAAATGGAATTTGTGGAATTGTTTATGCTTGTAGTGGGTTATACTAACTAAACTCTCTAAATCGATAGAAATTTGGAATAGCATATGTCGCGCCATTTAGTTTTGGAGCAACTTGCTTTTAAAAGAGTACTAGATATAATTTTGTTCCTTAAAATAATTCTAAGTAAACTAAACTATTACTCAATGCTATTAGACAAGGTAATTAAATTGAGATGTTAGTTCGTCTTTTATCTGTTTCTTCTTTTGTAAACTCAATATAGAGTGTTTAAAGATTAGAACGTACTTTTTCGTCATGAATAAAAGAAATTTATATTGAGCTATCGATATTGGCACATATATGAAATTATCGATAGTATCCACCAAACATCGATTTGTGTTCCAGCTCTACCGTTGTGTCACTTGAAGAAAAAAATATTAATTTGCACCGACGACGAACGATTTTCATTGGAAAAGCAATCAAAGGATATTGTGTAGATTACTTGCAAATCAGAACAAAGAAAACGAACATTTTTACATTTTTGTAACCCAAAAAAGTGAAAAGCGTCTGGCCAGAGGGCAAAACCAAATTGATTGCCTGCAGAATAGAAAAACCAATTTTTAGTGCGTTTGTGTGTGAGCAGCAGCAACAGCGGAAAAAATGGCAGCGAGCGACAAATCGGTCGACGATTCTCTATATCCAATTGCCGTTCTAATCGACGAATTAAAGAACGAAGATGTTCAGGTTAGTAATGGGTTAACGCCCAAATCGGCACATTTTTCTCGAAAACAGAAAAATTGTAGTGCTAAAACTGGGGAAGCGTGCCCTCTACTCCTCCGATATGTGATTGTAGTAGTACAAAAATGCGTCACTGTGTGTGCATGGCTATTTGTGTTGGTGGGAGCGTGTGCATTGAAAGCCCTGCAAAAATTTTACCAAATTTCGATATACACAAGATTAGTGTTTTCCAGAATAGCATAAAGAGAAGTTATTATCAAATAATTGAAATAATAACCTTGCTTTTTTAACTGCCTTCAGAAATATGTAGATTTTGTTATCTTACAGTAATATATATGTGTACATATGTATGTATATATTATATTTGCTATGTTTATACGTACAAGCTATTTGCAAATACAATTTGGAACTTCTAGCTTTATAAATAGAAGCAAGGTTTTAATCAATAATATGCGACTTACTTATTTTAAGGAAAGGGGGAAGCATGAGAAGTTTTAACCCGACTTCAATGACAATACATCAATTTATTTATTTATAAATATAAAATATACAACTACTCTGGTTGAAAAATACAATTTTTTCTATGTAAATGACAATTAAATCTTAAATTTAAAGTCAATTTTAAACAAATCTAAGTATATGATTAAGATTAAATAATTTCTCCGTCTCTTTTGTCAACCTATTTAAAACGAAATTATTCACCAAATAATGAAATTGACTTAAAGGTTTTACCGCATTACCAGCATTTTGAAGAGCTTTCAGTGTATTTTCTTTATTATTTTATAAATATAATGGCGTAAGCTCTTCAGTTTTAAATGATATTTTTTCTATACCAACAGCTTCGATTAAACTCCATCAAGAAGCTGTCTACTATCGCCTTGGCCTTGGGAGAGGAGCGCACACGTTCCGAATTGATTCCCTTCCTCACCGAGACCATATACGATGAGGACGAGGTGTTGCTGGCCTTGGCCGATCAACTCGGCAACTTTACAAGTGGGCAAATGGATAGAAAAGATTTTTTGAAAGTCCACCAATTTTTTGCTTTTTCTCGCTAGGTCTTGTTGGTGGACCCGAATTCGCCATGTACTTGATCCCGCCCCTGGAGAGTCTGGCGACCGTAGAGGAGACTGTGGTACGGGACAAGGCGGTAGAATCTCTGCGCACTGTGGCCGCTGAGCACAGCGCACAGGATTTGGAGATCCACGTGGTGCCGACTCTGCAGCGTTTGGTTTCCGGCGACTGGTTCACCTCCCGTACATCTGCCTGTGGACTTTTCTCAGTCTGCTATCCACGAGTCACTCAGCCTGTGAAAGCTGAGCTGCGCGCCAACTTCCGCAAGCTCTGCCAGGATGAGACACCAATGGTGCGCCGTGCAGCAGCCAATAAGCTGGGAGAATTTGCCAAGGTCGTGGAAACGGAGTATCTCAAGTCTGACTTGATTCCGAACTTTGTGCAGCTGGCACAGGATGACCAGGTGAGCAATTACAACAGATTAGTTAAAACCCTTAAAATAAAAAAACCTAGATTGTGAAACAAGCTTTCAAAAGGTCTTAAGAAAAGGTTTTAACATGTGACTAACAATCTTATTTTGCTTATTATGACCTGAAAATACTTATCCTAATTTATAATTCAGGACTCTGTTCGCCTTCTGGCTGTGGAGGCTTGCGTCAGTATTGCCCAGCTCCTGCCCCAGGACGATGTGGAGCACGTAAGTGGACATGGAAATCCAAAGTACCTTAACTTACAAAAACCTGTTCATTCTCTAGTTGGTTCTGCCCACGCTGCGACAGTGCGCCAGTGATTCTTCGTGGAGGGTACGATACATGGTAGCAGAGAAGTTTGTAGACCTCCAAAAGGCCGTGGGTCCTGAGATCACTCGGGTGGACTTGGTGCCCGCTTTCCAGTACTTGCTCAAGGACGCCGAAGCCGAGGTTCGCGCCGCGGTAGCTACCAAAGTCAAGGACTTCTGTGCCAACCTGGACAAGGTTAACCAGGTGCAAATTATCCTTAGCTCCATTTTGCCGTATGTGCGCGATCTTGTTTCGGACCCCAACCCACATGTCAAGTCTGCCCTCGCATCAGTTATTATGGGCTTGAGTCCGATGCTGGGCGCTTATCAGACGGTGGAGCAGTTGTTGCCATTGTTCCTCATTCAACTCAAAGATGAGTGCCCGGAGGTGCGCCTGAACATCATTTCGAACTTGGATTGTGTAAACGACGTCATCGGTATTCAGCAACTGTCACAATCGCTTCTGCCCGCTATTGTCGAGTTGGCCGAGGACTCCAAGTGGCGCGTGCGTCTCGCCATCATTGAGTACATGCCTGCTTTGGCCGGTCAGTTGGGCCAGGAGTTCTTCGACCAGAAACTGCGGGGTCTGTGCATGGGCTGGCTCAACGATCACGTTTACGCCATTCGTGAAGCTGCCACCCTCAATATGAAGAAGCTGGTTGAGCAGTTCGGAGCCCCTTGGGCCGAGCAGGCCATCATTCCCATGATCTTAGTTATGTCACGTAACAAGAACTACTTGCACAGTGAGTGTTGGTTTAACTAATTCCTAGGATTCGTTATTTCATGAAAATTTTTACAGGAATGACCTGCCTGTTCTGTCTAAACGTTTTGGCAGAGGTCTGCGGCACAGATATAACCACCAAACTATTGCTGCCCACAGTACTCCTGCTTGCCGCTGATCCCGTTGCTAATGTTCGCTTCAACGTGGCCAAGACCCTGCAGAAGATCTCGCCCTTCCTCGAGGCCAGCGTCATCGATGCTCAAGTAAAGCCCACACTCGATAAACTGAACTCAGACACAGATGTGGACGTCAAGCATTTTGCTGCACAGGCCATTGCCGGTATAGCTGCAGGTAAGGAATTATCGGTCTGACCTTGTCCGGGATAACAGGGTTTTCAATTTAAGTAACAGAAAGAAAGTTTGACACCACATCATTAGCTTTTATTTTACTTTTTAAGACACCTACATTTTCCGATACCTCAGAATTTAACTGTTAGTCTTAACAATTTAAACATCTTAAATCTGTTTTTACAAAACGTTGCACTGTAAAGTAGCAAAGTTTGAACAAGTGTCAAGAAGGAAACGTGAGAGTTACACAAATTCATTTAGTATAAATGTGCGTCTGAGGTTTGGCTTTAATTAATATTGCTGTCCTGCTGTAGAAATGGAACTGAATGTGTTTAGAACAGCAATACCGCCATGTATGGGTGCAAAAATTGAAGCGGCAATGGACTCAAAACTGATCGTGGAACCACCTCCACAGACAGCGGCTGCCGATGAAATTCTGCAGGAGATGAACGGCAAGGCAGCGGCAGCTATGGAGCCGCCTAAGGTTGACTCGGAATGTTAGAGGATGAGTAGCCAACCATAACAAGTGTAATGTGCCTCCCGCTTTCTCCAGCCAGATCCATAGCCAAAGTGTTTATAATTCCTTGCCCACGATAAACATATTCATACCTGTTTGTTTGTACAAGATAACGAAGCTAGAAGTCAGATTCAAGTGCGAGTATAGCAAATCAAATTTTGACCGATACTAATGTTGAACCATATTTCTCTGTCTCTTTCCCGGTATCATCTCCACCACGTGGCCGTCTCTCGTTTTCCCACTCTGTGTTTGTGTGCAATGATATATTTGTATATTTGTTTACAGCGTAATCAACCTTCTTGCATCTTTTTTATTCTATTTTTAAAACTGTATGTATTTAACGCCGGCAACAAAACATATTATGTAGCAACAACACTTAAGAATGGAAATTTGTAGTGGAGCCCGGGAGGTGTTTAACGCTGCAGCCGATGCTGGATTATGGATGGATGGAAGAAGTCGGGAGTTAAACGAGCGGACACGAGGAGAGCCACCAGGGCCAGCATGGGAGGAGACCCACTAAACGCGAAACAGCTAAACATTACTACTTACATACTTATATTATATATAAAATTACCATAGGCATAAAGATCATTATTAAAAACATGTGTAGAGTTTGGAACATTTGAACGCATCTGAATGCAAAATAAAATTGTAGTGAAACCATAATTGTAAATTTTTAAATGACGGGATTTTCTAAAGGTTTAATATACATAGCAGTGTTTAAACTCAACAGATTACTTTTTTTTTGATCCAGGATTTTTCTGATACCGGTTATTAAATACACATTGTAAATTTACGTTACTATTATAATATACATAATTTCTTTTAATAATGGTATAATTTGCTATCACTAACTCTCTTGGCACAACATTATATATTAACGCTCAAAAATTTTATAAAACCTCAATTAATTAAATCTAAAATTAGTATTTTTGCATTTGTCGAATCTAAAATTTTAAATTTGGAAAAAAAGTTTTTTAACTGTCAATTTTTTCTGATATCGATAGGTCCTAAACTGACACCTGGCGATAGTTGCGTTTGTTTCTTTTTATTGCTTGGCTAGCGGTGGCGAGCAGTTTTGAGCGAGAGATCAGTTGGACTTTTGCGACGGGCCGACGCGCTTGGTGTTTTAGTCGTTTCGCTGCGCGTGGGTAAATGTTTGCCTAACTTTTGGTTTCGTTCGATTCCGATTCCACTCGTAAGTGCCATTGAATTAGTCGTCTGGCGCTCAAGCCCCATCACATCACAATCACCGTGGAATGCCGAGTCAATAGGGGAATCAGATGCAAATTTGATTGGGCAAATGGGTGGAACCAATCAATTATGTGTACATATATAACAAAAATCCGAGGTGTTTGTGTGTCCAAATACAGGCGAATGCGGACCATTATAAATTTCCCCACTATTGTCGCAATCTCCGGGTCCGTTTTCCGTCCACTGACCTACGATCCACCTGCCCCTCGTCGGCGCAACAAGTGTCCATATACATATACTCTATTAAGTACGCGTTAATTACGCGCATATGTCAAAAATGCTGAGCTGTTATTACAATTATTGCTGCATTATTTTAGTTTTTTTTCGTATTCACTTCCCCCAAGTGGCGCGTTTTGCTAAACGTTTAGGTTTTTTTTTTACCTTCCGCCAAGTGTTTGGCGCCGATCTGAACCCCCGTCCCGTCCTCATGACGGCAATATCTGACGGCTAATTTTCCCCCGATAAGCCCGAATATATAAATTGAAGTGCTCTTTATTTATGTCCGCAGTATAACGACGAAATTGAGGAAAAAAAGGCCGGTACTTAAATTACGATTGCCTTGGGGAAGCTACGAGGGTCAGAGGGCTGCGATTTGTACATATTTTTTACAGTCTTAATTCACTACGTTAACTACGTTGTAGTGCAATGCGAGTAAATTACGAAGTGTTAAACAAATATATAAATATTATAAATATAGGGTCAAAATTTAATGTTTTTAATGACCACAAACTGTAAAATTTCGTTTATTAAGAAGGTTTTCATAAAAACAACATTATAAAGAAAAAATTTGCAACCCGGATTTTTAGTACAAGCCCAAGCATATTAAAGTCTTTTTTAAATACGTGACCTAAAATTAAGCCTTGAAATTCGGTGTATTTAATTATTAAAATCATGAAAGAAAGCTTTATATGTCCTTAACTTTTTAATTTTAAAAAACAATTTGTGTTCTATATATGCAATACTTTAAGTTTTAATACAAGTTATGGAAGTTTTACTGTAGCTTACAAGAGAGTGTGTGTGGCATTGCTGTAATTTCAAGTCTGCATATTTGAACATTGTAGTTTGTTCATTTAGCCTGGGTTAAGGTAATCTGTGGCAACGGACAGTGCGCCCTACAGCTTGTTGAACTAGCATCTGACAAACATTTCTCATTTTGTAATAGCAATAAAAAAATAAAAGCTTTATGACCTTTTAACATCCAACATATAATGGAACATTGCTGAGAGTGACAAGTGGGGTTTTGAGGGTTAAATGCTATTTATGAAATCATAAAAGATTTTTACGATATTGAAAATATATTTGCAGTATATAAAAAGCACACATTTTGATTAGCAATTTAATCTTATTAATTAAAAAGAAGTTAATGGATAAAGTACATAATACACTTACAATTTTAAAATTAGAGTTATCATAGTCTAAAAGCTATTGAACTTTGAAATTTACAACTTCGTAACTTTTTAATATTCTCCTTACTTTTGTTGGAAAAAATCGTTTAAAATTTAAATTTAATGAGATTCGTATTAAGTGCTTGACGAAATTCATAGACTACTTGGCGACAAGGCTTTTATAGCTTTAATTTATTACTTTCGTTCAATCACCTTAAAATTGATTTTCAAGTCCATAATGGGATTAGCGTTCGATTAAACTTGTTCAGCCCATCGAAGTGGGTGAATAATAGGGGGTTTTAAAATATTCAAGTGCCCAAAATCGGATGTTCCACTGTATGTACACATGAATGATGCATGGGCACCCAAAGTTTGGACCTCCAGCCGGACTTTGCCGCCGTTGGTACTACGCGTGTGATTCACGATGCTCATGCCGCAAAGCTTTTTTGGGCAGCACTTACTATTACTAGACTATCTTATCCGAAATATATTGAAATTTAATTAGAGTTATCAATTTCAATGGGGTTTAGGCCACGCCACAATTATCCGTCTAACCGAGTGTCCGGCACAGTCTTTGCCAATCACCGCATGGGAGCAGAGGATATCCGGACAACCCACTGGCCACGTAATCAATCATTTTATGGACTAATAGCCGCCAACCCCCAGTAACATGCACAAGGCCATTAAAAACAAATCCAGTAAGTGAGTGAGCGAAAATGGAAAATTCCGCTAATACAATTTGGATAATTATTGCACAGGGCTGCTCTGTGGGCTCAAGAACTCTAAGGCAGATCTGACGACGGCGAAGTTTATACTATATTACGGGTAAGTTAACTTAAATATGTAGATAAATAAAATATATAACATATAAATACAGCCCTTACTTATCAGAAATATTGTTGAATGAGGTTGCAAATTTTTTGAAAACAATTTATGATCAATTTATCATGGTCTTAGGTTTTAATTTTATTTAAAACGTACGTTTTATCTATTCATCCACAGACCTACGGTAGCAGATAGCGATATCTATGACTTAACCGATTTCCAAAGTTTATTGGAGGACGAGCACTTGGATTTGGCCAAGAATACCGTGCTTTATTTGCACGGCTATTTGGAAGATCCGGATGTGGAGAGCATTCACGTCATAGCTGAGGCCTATCTGGAACGCAAGGACACCAACCTTATCGTTTTGGATTGGGGTGAACTGGCCGATGGCAACTACATGTTCGATGCCTTTCCCAATCTCAAGCAATTGGGACCGGAGTTGGCCAAAGTCCTGCTTAAAATGTTTGACCATGGCCTGGACATTGAGAAGTTTCATATTGTCGGACATTCAATGGGCGGCCAACTGGCTGGAGTCCTCGGCCGCGAGATATTCAAACGTACCAAAGGTGTTAGGAAGCTGAAGAGGTAAATTTTGATATTTAATGAAGGTAATGGTAATGAAGAAGTTTTTTAGAAAACTTATATACAATTATTTTTCGTAGCAGATTTTTTCAATTACAAATGACCTTTTATCAGTTTTTATACATAACTAAATTTAACTTTTAAATTTTTCAGAATTTCCGCTTTGGATCCCGCATTTCCGCTCTTCTACCCGGGCACACACCTTTCTGCTAGTGATGCTGAGTTCGTAGATGTGATACACACAGATGCCTGGCTATACGGGGCTCCGACGAGCACTGGGACGGCGGATTTCTGGCCCAACGGTGGCCACAGTCTGCAGCCAGGTTGTCCGAAACGAAACTATAAGATGCTCAGTGATAACGATCTGTCCAGTCATCGTCGGAGCTGGTGGTTCTGGGCTGAAAGTGTCTCAGATCGATATCCCATCGGATTCGATGCTGTGCCAGCAAAGAAATGGGCGGACTTCAAGCAAAACAAAACTGTGGAGAATTGCCCGCCAGTGGTGATGGGTCACCACTGCCCGACGACGTAAGTACTGTATTTTAATTTAAAGCTGAAATTTGTTCCAATCGTTTGAAATTGTAATTTACAGAATACATGGCGACTTTTACTTACAAACCAACGGACAAACACCTTTCGCTCGAGGCAAAGAGGGTGCCGTGTACGTTGATCCCAAGGAGCTGCTAGGAAATACCCACAGTATAACCTGTGATTGCCCTCCACCCCAGACGAATTAAATAGACCATTAAAAATTGCACTTGGTATATTTTGTTATGTAGCTAAATTAATGTTGCTTTTATTGTATAATGTTATACACCACACTTTGGTATACGAAAAATATTTACATAAATTTTTGTTGAACTTAAAATATGTGAGTTTTTGTATATTATATTTAAACGAAGGAGTGAAGCGGGGTTTTCAGATTTGTAAACAATATTTAATTGCATAGACAGGCTGGTCAAAAGTTCCATGTGAAAAAAGAAAAGATAGTAAACATTTGTTTGTTTGGTTTCTAGTTTTTAATTGCCTAAGCTTTTTTTCTAAACTTTTTGATAGTATTATTACCATAAGAGTTTCGAAATCTATTTCATCTCTAAATTTTTATTTTTATAAGAATAAAAGAAAAGCAAACCTTACGTCAAAAAAGCCGTTAAAAATGCCGGCATTATAAACTCTTGAAATCTGGTTGTTAGTTCCGCTCTTGCAGTTCACGCATGAACCAGCGGCTCGATATCGATAATGTAATAATTTATCGAGTCGTAGACATCTGTCATCGCTAACACAGCCTTGCGTCAAATTATTAAAAACAAAACGAATTTCGGCACAAAAAATGAAGATAAAACTAATCGATTCGGTGGTGCGCAGCTTTAAGGTGGCGAAGATCTTCCGAGAAAATACTGACAAGATCAACGCCATAGACTTTGCGCCCAACGGGGAGCACCTAATCTCGTGCAGCGAGGATGACCAGATCGTGATCTATGATTGCGAAAAGGGAACGCAGTCGCGCACGGTAAACTCGAAGAAGTACGGCGTGGATCTAATTCACTTCACGCACGCCAACAACACGGCCATCCACAGCTCCACTAAGGTGGACGACACCATCCGATATCTGAGCCTACACGACAACAAATACTTGCGTTATTTCCCTGGACACACCAAAAAGGTAATCTCATTATGCATCTCGCCAGTGGAGGACACATTTCTCTCTGGCTCACTGGACAAGACGCTGCGACTGTGGGACTTGCGTTCGCCCAACTGTCAAGGATTGATGCACCTATCTGGACGACCTATAGCCGCCTATGATCCGGAGGGATTAATTTTTGCCGCCGGCGTCAACTCAGAGAGCATTAAACTCTATGACCTGCGCTCTTTCGACAAGGGGCCCTTCGTCACCTTCAAGCTTAACCAGGAGAAGGAGTGCGACTGGACAGGACTGAAGTTTTCTCGAGACGGTAAAACCATCCTAATCAGCACGAACGGATCGGTCATCCGACTGGTTGATGCTTTCCACGGCACTCCACTGCAGACATTCACAGGCTATCCTAACAACAAGGGGATCGCCATCGAGGCAAGCTTCAGTCCGGACTCGCAATTCATCTTTTCAGGCAGCACCGATGGGCGCGTGCACATATGGAACGCCGATACGGGCAACAAGGTCTCGGTGCTGAATGGGGACCACCCGGGGCCGGTACAGTGCGTCCAATTTAATCCGAAATACATGATGCTGGCCTCTGCCTGCACCAACATGGCTTTCTGGTTGCCCACATCCGAGGAGGGCGTGTAGTCAATGTTTTACGCATGCGTAGCTCATAAGATTAAAGTTTAGTTTATAAATAACAATTCAAAATAACATAAACAAAGACTTTTAACTGGATTCCTTGGCCTGGTTCTTGTGGCGGTCATAGCCTTTGCGTATGCTGTTTAGGAGTTGTCCAAGATTGTGACCCATCTTGGCACTTATACCGAGCACGGGATTCTGGAGCCGGCGTTGCAGTTCCTCAAAATTGCTTTGACCCTCCTCCACGTCCAGTTTATTGGCTACCACTAATTGAGGACGACTCGCTAAACTCCCGCCAAACTGAAGCAGCTCGTGCATGAGTTGCTCATAATGCGTCCAGGGCTCAGGAGCACTGGCATCCAGGACAAAGAGTAATAAGGTGCAGCGCTCGGCATGCTTCAGGAACTGAATACCCAAACCCTTATTGCGATGGGCATCTGGAACGAGTCCAGGAAGATCGGCAATGGTGAGCTGAACATGGTCATCGTACTGGACGGTTCCCAAATGAGGACGCAGCGTGGTAAAGGCATAGGGCGCAACCTTTGGTTTCGCTCGAGTCAGGGCATTCAACAGTGTGCTTTTGCCAGCGTTAGGATAGCCAATCAAGCCCACATCAGCCATACTTCGTAATTCTAGGGTGTAGGACAAATCTTCGCCACTAGGTCCGTATTCACAAACTTTCGGACTCGTTTCCTTATCCGTGGTGAAGAACCGGTTGCCCTTGCCTCCAGCTCCGCCTCGAGCAGCTACAAACATGAGGTCCGCCTGACCCAAATCACCTACAATAAGGCCCTGGGAATTTCTGATGACTGTGCCGATAGGAACCTTAACTACCGAGTGCTTGGCGTTCTTGCCATGACAATCTTTGGAGCTTCCACACTCTCCTTCTTCCGCTTTCAGGACACTGTCCACGTGGTTGAAGTTACGCACATCGTTGGAGGCTTGGAAAACCACATGGCCGCCATTGCCACCGTCTCCGCCGTCCGGACCGGCTCTCTCATTGCACCATAGCTGTAGGAAGGACACGCATCCATCGCCTCCTTTTCCGCCGATGGCACGTATCCTTTTGGTATCGGAGAAGTACTGAGCCTGATTGGAGGTTTTAAAAGCATGGCTAATGTTATGTAAATTCGATATTTAACGTAAGATCTTACCTCTTTCCGCGTAGATTTGGCTTTCTTTGGACGCAGAGCAGTTGCCACTTGGCAGTAGCTGGCATTAGTTATAATTCCGAATGGCTTAACATTTTTGGATATATCCAAAGAAAAATGTACAAGAAATGATCTGCCGGTAGAAAACAACATTGCTGAAGGGCTAGAATGCATGGACGTCAGCAGAATAACATCTGTGAGAAAGGGTTTACTGGATTATGTTCTGATAACTAAACAAAAATCGATAGAGGTTAACTTTTTAAATTTGCGTAAATTTAATTTATAAATGTAGAACATTATAAAAGGTAGAACATTTTGTTACAAAGAAGTACTTCTTATTCAAAGAGTATATAACTACGCCCATGCAAAATCAACCTGCTGATACAGAAACATATCGAAATGTCTATCGGAAATAATTGAACCAGCTGGAAAATATTAAATGTTTTTGTTCTTGAGAGGCAGCAGAAGCTTTGGACAGATAAGAAGGATGTCTATTAAAGGAGCCCTAATAGATCTTAGTGGTACATTACACGTGGAAGATGAACCTACTCCTAATGCCGTTGAGGCTTTAAAAAGGTTTGACATATACCATTAAAAATCAAATATTTATAAAAACATTTATGAACGTATTTCTAATGTAGACTGCGTAATTCTGGAGTAGCAGTCAAATTCGTTACAAATACCACAAAGGACTCGAAAGCAACTCTTCACGAACGCCTGTGCAGAATTGGCTTCGAGATGGACCCCTCTGAGATCTACAGCTCTTTAAGTGCCGCAGTCGCATATGTGGATAATGAAAAACTGAATCCGTACTATATCTTGCCTGACGACGCTCGCCAAGACTTTCCCCCGGAGGATAAAAGGCGCTACCAGGATTCAGTTGTAATTGGCCTGGCACCCAAGGCCTTTAACTATGTCCAGCTGAACGAGGCTTTTAAGTGGGCATCGAGATGAAGACCATCATTTCTTAATTAACGATCATCTTCCCAATAGTGTTCTGTTGGAGAATAAGAATCACAAACTGGTGGCAGTGCACCAGGGCAAATACTACAAGCGAGCCGATGGCCTAGCTTTGGGCCCAGGGTGTTTCGTCAAGGGTCTGGAGTTCGCCACTGGACGAACCGCCAAAGTGATCGGCAAGCCCAATCCCTACTTTTTCGAAGGAGCTTTGGCTGGTCGGGATCCAGCCTCCTGCGTTATGATAGGAGATGTAAGTGGGCTCTTTATATCCTTTATAATACTCAAATTATTTCTCTTTATTAGGATGCCAATGATGACATTGTTGGCGCCATGAGCGTGGGCATGCAGGGAATTCTGGTCAAGACTGGAAAATATTTACCTGATGTCAATCCATCTCCTCCACCAACAGCGTTGGTAGAAAACTTCGCCGAGGCAGTCGATTGGATAATACAAAAAAACAAATCTTAGGCTCTTAGGGTCCTTTAAAATTGTGTCATATTCAAAGAAAGCTATTGACAAAATCTTTATTTAATGTATTTATTCAATAAGGCTTTAATATGATTATATGCAATTCTATAAATGTATACAAATTATTTTACTGTGGTTCTAGAACGTCAGTCGATTGGATAATACAAAAAAACAAATCTTAAGCTTAATGGGTCCTCTGAAATTGGGTCAAATTCAAACGAAGTTATGGACGAAATCTTTATTTAATGTATTTATTCAATTTGTATTTTTCAAAAAAGGTAAAGAGATAATATTCCAAAAAATGCATCTGAAAGATGTTACTTTCATCGTTGTTTTCTATGTACCTAAGCTTCCCAAATCAAACATAGGGTTGTATTAATATAAATGCTTTTATTTTATAAATAGCCGTAAAAATTCCTCAGAAATGCCGTTTGAAACAGATTAACGGATTAAGATTAAGCATAAGTGTGTATCAAAATTGTGAGTAATTGAAGGTCTTGCAGCTGCAGTGAGTTCTTTATGCATTTATGACAATTTTGACTGAGCGAATTTGTTAGCCAACTGTAAGATCTCGTCTACCTTTTCGTAATTGGTGCCGGAAGCCTGAGCTGATTCCGGCTTGCCACCTCCCTTGCCACCCAGGGTAGCGGAGACATGCTGCACCCACTCGTTAGCCTTAAGTCCCTTCTCCACAGCACTCTTGGGCACCGAACTCAGACAGAAGATCTTCTTTGAGTCCACGTCCACTGACAAGAACATGGCAGCAGCGTCCGGCAGTTGACTGCGCACCTGTTTGAGAGCAGCATCCAACGCCTTGGTATTGTTAAAGGCTTCCAGCTGCTCGACCAACACGGTGGCCTTGGGATTGGCTTCGCACAGGGCCTTGGCGCGTTCTACAACAGTGACCGAAACGGCAGCGCGCATGGCACGTTCCTTGTCGTCTAGAGTTTTTTTTAAACCCTTCAACAGGTTGCGCATTTCGTCCTTTTTGACGTAAGGAATCGTTGCATGTGAAATCTGTTCAGTCAGCTCAACAATTTCCTTCACATGGGATTTGGAGTCCTTGCCAGACTGATCGGTGTCGATTGTGGCCTTAAGTCGGACGATTTCTTGTTCGAAAGCCTCAGATTTCTTCAATGCTTTCAGAGCTTCGGGTCCTGTAAGAGCAACGATGCGCCGAATACCCTTGGCAATGGCCTCTTCGCTACTGATGACAAAATCCATGATATGTCCAGAGCGTCTGAGATGGGTACCGCCGCAGAATTCCACGGAGGTTTTTTCGCCGGCCTCAGAATCGGGATTTTGCTCTAGTTCATCTACAGACACGCCGAATGAGATAACCCTAACGGGATCTGGGTAAACTTCATCGAAGACAGATCGCAAGCCTCGAATTTTCTTAGCCAGCGCCAGTTTTGATTCCTTAGCGTAGATGGGCACATTCTTGTATACCATATCTTTAGTCAGCTGCTCTGTCTTGGCAACCTGCTCAATGGTCATTGCTGCCTTGCTGTTAAAGTCGAAGCGCAGCTTCTCTGGCACCACTAGAGAGCCTTTCTGTTCCGTGTCCTTACCCAAGACTTGGAGCAAGCAATGGTTAAGAGCATGGGTGGCCGAGTGATTCTTCATGGTCAGCCAGCGACGCTCGATATCAATGTGCAACTCCAACTCATCGCCCACCTTCAGTGTACCCTCGACAACGCCGATGTGAAGAATGTAGCCTCCACGGTTGTAAACACGGTCCACCAGGAATTCATTTGCCTCGTCGTTGACCTTAACCAGAGCACCTTGATCGTAGATTTGACCACCACTCTCTGCATAGAAGTTAGTATTGTCCAGAACAATGCCCGCCTTCTGGCCACTGCTGATTTCGTTCACAAACTGGTTTTCAAATCGCAGAGCGACAATCTTGCTGTTGCATACACCGTAGTTGTAGGCGGAGTCACGTTCTTCAGACACAGCCTCGTACTTGTACTTGAAGGAGTCGTTGGTTGGTGGCACACCCTGCTCCTGCAATTGGGAAATAGCGTGCACGTCCAAATTGATCTCCTCGATCTTGCTGGCACCCTTGCCCTGTGAAAGCACATAAGAATTCTGCTTAGCTGCCTCGTAGCCATCCATATCGATTTTCAGTGATTTCTCCTCTGCCATCAACTGGGTAAGATCAACTGGGAAGCCATAGGTGTCGTACAGCCGCCAAGCAACATCACCGGGAATGGTAGTTTGGTTGCCCAACTTTTCAATTGTACGGTTCAGCAAGTTTCGTCCTCGCGTCAGGGTCTTGAGGAACTGCAACTCCTCCTCGTTGATAATGTCAATGATGTGTTGCGGATCTTTCTTCACCTCCGGGAAAGCATCGCCGAGCAAATCCACCACTGTATTTACCAGGGTGGCAAAGAAGCCGGGCTTCGCGTTCAGCTTCTCCGTGGCGTACCTGCAGGAAAAGAACATTAAAGTTCAATAGATATAGATTTTAACTTCACTTACCGCACTGCGCGTCGAAGGATGCGTCGCAGGACATAACCTCGTCCAGTGTTATCGGGAGTGCCTCCATCAGCCAGAGCAATAGTAATTGTGCGGGCGTGGTCGGCGAGCACGCGGTAGGCCATATCGATGCCGTCTACATCGTCAGCGCCTACGCGTCCCTGGTAAGCTGGGGCGCCGGTACCGGCCTGGATGGCCTCGAAAAGAGGCACAAATAGATCAGTGTCGTAGTTGGACCGCTTGTTCTGAATGACAGACACCAGACGTTCGAAGCCCATGCCACAATCGATATGCTTTTTGGGTAGCTGTTTCAAGCTGCCATCAGATTCCCGGTTGTACTGGATGAACACGAGATTCCAGATCTCAAGGACATCAGGATCGTCCATATTTACAAGCTCAGGTACGCTTCGTCCACCAATACGATCAAAGTGCAGTTCGGAACAAGGTCCGCAAGGTCCAGTCTCACCCATTTCCCAAAAGTTGTCCTTCATACTGCCCGGAAGGATGTGCTCCGGTTTCAGGCCCAAATCCAGCCACATTTGCTTGCATTCCAGATCGGGCTCCAGGCCGCTGGCTTCATCGCCACCAAAGTAAGTTACATACAGGCGATCCTTGGGGAGATTTAGCCGCTGTGTAAGGAACTCCCAAGCCCAGGAGCATATCTCCTTTTTGAAATAGTCGCCGAAGGACCAGTTTCCTAACATTTCGAAGAAGGTGTGATGGTAGACATCCTTGCCAACGTCGTCCAAGTCATTGTGCTTGCCGCCGGCACGAATGCACTTCTGCGTGTTGGCCACGCGCACCCACTTGGCCATCTCGCTGTTAGGATCAGCGGTACCCTGGAAAATAGGCTTGAACTGGTTCATGCCGGCGTTGGCGAACAACAGTGTGGGATCATCCAGTGGAATCGTGCTAGACGAGTGGACATAGATGTGCTTCTGCTCCTTGAAGAAGCCCAGATAAGCATCGCGCACTTCCTTGGCAGTCAGGAACTTCATTTTGCTGGTTCTGTAATGCACAAGTGGTGGGGAAACTTTACTTAAAACCTTGCCACGCGACAATTGAAGTTCCCTAACCCCTTAAAATGGCTAACAAATCAAAGCAGTGAAAGTGCACACTGCACACTTCGTGACCAAATTACACAATTTTCAAGCAAATTTAATCAGAAAAACATCCGTTCGTTTGTTTTATATAGTTGTGAGTTTGCTCGCTCTACCGATCAAACAAAACAAGTTATGTATTACTCACGTTTTCAACAGTAAATGCAAATGCAAACAATTTCGTCAGCCGACTGCAGCAACGTGTGAGATTCGCACCTTACCGATAGACAATGCGGCAAACTTTGTGACTTATCGATAAATTCAGGGATGATCAAAAAGTTTAACAAAAAACGTTTTTTTAAATTTTTAAAAAGGTCATCGGGATCAATATCATATTACTTTGTTAGGAACTTTGAGTAACAGACACTTGTCTAGTCTTTATGACTTTAGATCAAAAAATAGTACAAAAAGTCTAAGTCTTAAATAAGAAAAATCTAAATAAGTTTAAAAAAAATTTTAAAAGTAAAATCTGATTCTCGGGTTATACACCATAAAAGCGAATAAAACTTATAAATTGCATGTGGGCTTAACAACAAAATGCGTCTCTATTTCAGCTAGTTAAAAAGTTATAACAATTCAAAAGTCCATTCGCTGAGGCAGGTGTTCCTCCTCCAGCTGATGTTCGATTTCTTTCATGCGCAGCATCAATTTAAAGTTCTGTTTATCCTCCTGGCCGGTGAGGAACATGGTGAGCAATGCCTGTAAGCAGATGATGGTGCCCAGGGCTGGAACAATGGGACGTGTTAATTTCCGCCACAACTGAAACACCTCCCGCGGGCTCTCCGTAATCGATGGCATGCGGTACGTATAGCAACGGGTTGCAAACATAAATGCAGCGAAAGGAGCCAGGATCGTCGGATACACAATCCCTAGACTCGTTTGAAAGGCGGCACTGCGCAACTGTATGCACACAGGGCACTCGCCCAGCGGGTTCAATAGAATGGGTCGCTGTATGAAGAACTTATGCGTCAGCATAGTGAAAATGGCGGGAACGGCAACAATAGGCAGGTAACTGGACAAACGACCATGCGCCCCCAGTCGCAATTTTGTGCGATAGTGGTTATTAATGTAGGCTCCCGTACCCGCAGCCACGGCACTCAGAATTCCGGGAGTGTACCGCAGGGACCACCTTCAAGACATTTCGGTATAGTTGTTAGGTAAGCGGCTTCAATAAAGATTCCATTCAACTTACACATCACCGATCTTATCCCAGGCGGTTATAATCTTCCATTGGTATTTTAGGGCCTGATCCTCTGTTATCACAACCGCATCCTTGGGCAGTTCATCGGGCTTAGCGCGAGATAAAGCCATTTTTCACGAAGTAAATCAAAATATTTTATTTTGACGCAAAAACAAAAACAGCTGATCGAACAGTGTTGTAAAACACCTAAACCGGCGTGGCTAGTTACGGTAAATATTAGAAAAATGAAATCAAATTTAAGAAAAATACTATTAAAAACATTTCCTACTCGAATTGCTTAATGACGTGAGTATAAACATTCAGTAATCCTATCCATAAGAATACCGTACATTTATCTCAGAAAGACTACTACAGCAGCAGCTGTTGGCAGTGTTGCTAAACACTCAAATCAGTGTTGCTTGCTGTTTATGATCAGAGGGGAATAGAAAAGTACTTTTGAAGTTCAAAATGCCGCACAAACGCAAGTCTCGAGTTAATATGAACCAAAGGAACTCAGCCAATCGGCGACTTCAATCGGCACACCAGTCATCAGCACCGCCGAATGTCCACGTTAAACCCTGTAACGGCCGAGAGGGAGAGATGTCGGCGCCGGGCAGTCCCAAAGCAAAAAGTGGCGGACAGACGTACCGGCGAGAAAATCCAGTGCACAAGTTTTCCGAGCCACAGTACAACACCACCGTACGCAAACAAAATGAGGTCCATATCATATCCGCCATTAAGCTGGACACTAATTTTCATCCTGATGATTTGGCAGCCATGGCACCAAAGGTAAATCCTGTCATCATATACCTGAAACAGCTTTTATGTCGATATTGAACTTTAAAGGTCACCCAGAAGATGAACTTTCCGCCCGACCAAACAGTTTTTAAAAATCTGGTGCCCCTGAATGTCAACGATTCCGTGCTATTGCCAAACAAGATCAAGGCGGATGTATCGAAGGAAAAGCCGGTTAAAGAAACTGACCCAACCAAGGCTAAAAGCGAGCCCCAATTGGCAGATTATGCCGAGAAAGTGGAACCAGTTGAGATGGACATTCCAGAACCACAGCTTCGTTTTGATTGTACACAAGAGCCTTTTGATTTTATGGGCGCATACAGGAAGATCTATTATTAGTTATTTTATTCATAAATATATCCGAGTCTCATAGCTTTTTAACCAATAAAGTTCATAACCACCAGGTGCAGAATCACATGGGCGAAGATAAAATCGGCAAATCCTCGCTCCGGCGAAATGCCTGCAAATACGGTCTTGTTCTGGGGGTTAGCTTGAAGGCGGAGGCACACCGCCAGGACGAAGCAGCTGACGGTGCTGATGAACCCAGATAGGAATGAATTGAACGGGAAGGTTCCCACAAGGCAGCAGTAAACAAACTGGATGATGCCGGTCAGCAGAATGTAGCCTAGGTAGATGTCCACCAGTTTCAGCTTCTTGGGTGTGTTCTGCACGTAGTCATTGTAAAACTTGGATATGACGCTCGATAGCTCTACCATGGTGCTCGTATTGCAGCTAATTTTCGGAAATTTTTAAGAATAAAAGGGATTTTTAATAAATTCACCGCAGACACGTCACAAATTGGGAGAGAACACGAAAGTCGGACCGTAGCTGGAATGTGAAAATAATACCAAAAACGCTGGCGTTGAGAGCTTAGGTACGTTGTGTATTGCATTCAAAACAAATTTTAATCTTAAACATTTTAAAAGTTTTTTTTAAATAATTCAATTAATGTAATGAAAAAAATGATATATTTGCTATATTAATTTTCATAACGTTTATATCTACAATTATTAAAATAAAATATTTGTATGTTAGATATGTTTCTAGTGAACAAAATAGAAATACCTTGGCTTTAATCCAAAATGAAGTTTTCCTAAATTTAATAGCATATTTAGATAATATATATGCTATATTTTTAAAATACACGTATAATTTTCTGTTGCATAGTTGTCAAATCGGGCTGTTTACTGTACCATCAAATCACCAAAATAATCGATAGATACGGAAAACACCAACCTCGATTGCTAATGTTTTGCTTTGCTTCAGTGTTCCGGGGTGAGAGGCAGTTGTTATTACGAGCAAAACTCGAAGCAAATTATAACGTATGTGTTTTAAAGCACAATGCTACCAAGATGATGATGAGTGTTGCAAGTTCAAAATAAATGTATACTCTCAATTGTGCAACAGTGATGCATCGTCTTATCAAACTACTGTAATGAAAACTCCATGATTCATTGATGATTTTCTGTTCAATTCGCAGACTGGGAAAAGATAATTGGCATCCGTCTAACCACCCACGCACACCAATTCTGTAATTAATGAAATTTAGGAGCACATTGGTTTTAATTTGATTGGCTTTTCACATTGCTAAATCGCAATCGCACCAATACGTGACCTTCGCTGGAGCACCTATTTCATTGTCAGTGTCAAGCGGGAAAAAATCAATGGAGGACCTGACGCCATTAACCAACCTTCAACAGGTAGAGCACCCACACATCTGACCACCAAAATGCGCATGCTGAATGGGTTTATTTTGATTTTATCGTTCATCTGTTAATTATTACTTTTTTCAGTTTTAGTTCCAAGCTTTTTAATTTTTCTACTGACCAAAAGCCGAATTTCTTCGATTACGAAAAATCAAGCGAAATCCACAATCTCGGGCTGAGATTCATCTAATTTGCGAGATTCTCTGTAAGTGAAAACAATATACAGGTTTGTACATACATACATATGTACATCTGTAATGTCGCACTTTGTTGTGCAAGTCTGTGATGCAAGATAAAACGAAAATAAGTTAGAATTCTTGATGCTTTGTTTGATTTCTTTATTGCTCTGAAATAAAGATTTCTTGACATACGTCTTATGTTTGTCTGGATTAAAGTAGACTCTGCTATGTAATCTGTGTTAATCCCTCGCTAAGAAAATAGTCTGTATTCGTTGACTAAGTAGTATTTAGGTTGGCTAAAAAATAAACTACACAGACAAAAGTAAATAATTAATTAATCTATCTAGATGGAAAGTATCTCCAAGATTATTTTATTTTTCTTAATTTATTTTATGTTTTCTTTATTATCCATTTAAATCAATAATATTTATCCGTTACGTATATTAGTAAAACTAAAAAAATTCATTTTTAATTCAAATCAATCAAAAGTATTTCATATCAATTAACTGCTGAATATGAGTTTCAATATGAATAATTTCGCTGAGTCAATAAGTCAATAATAATAAAAAAAAATAATGGGTGGATATTTGATTCACCGTCTGGATACACATTATATAATTGTGATTTATGCGTTCGCAGGCGATATGCGGGTCTTATCACCTCGAATTGCTTGTTTTTGCGACTTGTCAGTGTTTTCGAATTTAAAGCTATACTCTATTGAAACACTGGACTCGACAATTTGATATCGACTTCCCAAGCGAGCGTCGTAATCAAACCCATATGCAGAGTAATGAAGTGATCAAATTAATCGCACTTTGAGTCAAGTCCAAGGCTGTCTCCGACTAATCAGCATGGTCGAAATTTTCCATCCCGCCTGGCACGCGTTTTCTGTACACTATCCGCTGCACTATCTGCAACTCCTATTGTTATACGCGTGGAAAACTGAGTCAGCGGAAAATTTCCGAGGCAAAAAGCGGACGTCTTAAATCGCAGTTTCAGTGTGTTTTGTGCAGCCGGGGTGGGCGCATTATAAAGTGCATCGTTCTAAATTAAATACCTGCTACTGTTTTCAGTTCCCCGAGGGTGCGCCGCGCAAGAAAAAAATGTCAGAGCGCCAACCGTTGCTTCTTCAGAGCGATGCCTCCGACTACGAGGGCAGTCGAGGATCGTCGGCACGTCCCGTACGCAGCTCTCCCCCGGATAATACGCTGGTCAACGTACACAGCGAGGACAGCCTAGCAGGTGAGTTTCTGACCTGGTCTTAACCACAGATTAATCTGTATATGGCTACTTAATATAGAGAGTTAAGTTGTAAAATTAGAGAGATATAATGATGTTTAGTTAACGTCAAATATTTTTAAATCAAAACATTATTTCGCAATTTATTAGCAAATTTTGGTTTGGAGACCTTACATGGATATTCAAAGAACTCGAAGAACTCCTGGTTCTATAGAGTTCGAATTCATATCGTCCATCGAAAATTCGATTTTAAACTTGGGAAACTTTAAATTCACATTTTTTTTCTTAGAGGCCGGGAAAACATAAATGTTCGCTGACATAAAACTTATATTTTTTTCGATTTTTCTCCGTGAGTGCACGCAGCAGCCTCGGGATCCGGCGATGATGAAAACGGATCTACGGATAAGTTCAACTACAACCCCACCCATCATCGCACCTTGGAGCATCCGACATCGAATTTTGACACCCTGGTTCATCTGCTGAAAGGCAACATTGGCACGGGTATTTTGGCCATGCCGGATGCCTTCAAGAATGCTGGACTCTATGTCGGACTCTTTGGAACCATGATCATGGGAGCCATTTGCACCCATTGCATGCACATGCTGGTGAACTGCTCCCATGAGCTCTGCCGGAGATTTCAGCAGCCAGCATTGGACTTTTCGGAGGTGGCATACTGCAGTTTTGAGTCAGGACCTTTGGGATTAAGACGGTACTCCATGCTGGCCAGGCGTATAGTAACCACGTTTTTGTTTATTACCCAAATTGGATTCTGCTGTGTCTACTTCCTGTTTGTGGCGCTGAACATCAAGGATGTTATGGATCACTACTACAAGATGCCTGTTCAGATTTACTTGCTAATGATGCTCGGGCCAATGATCTTACTGAATCTTGTGCGAAATCTTAAGTATCTGACGCCCGTTTCGCTAGTAGCCGCTCTCCTCACTGTGGCCGGTTTGGCGATTACCTTCTCCTACATGCTGCAAGATCTTCCCGATGTGCACACGGTCAAACCGGTGGCCACCTGGGCAACATTGCCCTTGTATTTTGGAACCGCCATCTATGCGTTTGAAGGGATTGGTGTTGTCCTGCCTCTCGAAAACAACATGCGGACCCCCGAGGACTTTGGCGGCACCACTGGTGTCCTTAATACGGGCATGGTAATCGTGGCATGTCTCTATACAGCAGTGGGGTTCTTTGGCTATCTGAAGTACGGCGAACATGTGGAGGGTAGTATAACCCTAAATCTGCCGCAGGGAGATACGTGAGTCCTTACATTAGTTTCATAATAGATTTTAGACCCCTCATAACTTATATTTATGGCCTTTAATTTTGAAACCTTAGTCGAAATATTTACCAAATCATTTATTTATATAATATTATATAGATATTTTTATCTTTTTAGCCTATCTCAATTGGTGCGAATCTCCATGGCGGTGGCCATCTTCCTCTCTTATACGCTTCAATTTTATGTACCTGTAAATATCGTTGAGCCTTTTGTGAGGAGTCACTTCGACACCACGAGGGCCAAGGATCTTTCAGCCACTGTCTTGCGAATCGTTCTAGTCACTTTTACCTGTAAGTTCATTATCTGTTGTAATTATCTGAACACTTCTTATTGACAACGCATATTCTTTACAGTTTTACTAGCGACCTGCATTCCCAATCTAGGATCCATTATATCCCTGGTGGGAGCCGTTAGCAGTTCAGCTTTAGCCCTCATCGCTCCACCAATCATTGAAGTAATAACCTTCTATAACGTTGGTTATGGCCGCTTTAACTGGATGCTGTGGAAAGATTTTCTCATCTTAATCTTCGGACTCTGTGGCTTTGTCTTCGGTACATGGGCCAGTTTAGCTCAAATATTGAACGACAGGACCCATTAAGTTTAAAAACGAAGAGGGACACATAAGCAGAACCTGGCTAGTTCTGCCTAACAAATGAGTGCGAATTTATGACCGAAGGCTTTATGTAGTTACTCTCAGACTACGAATATGTTTACCATTAGCTGTTTACCCATTCGAAACTGGTATTTATCCAGTCCAGTGGCGGTGCTCTAGTGTGTTTAATTTATTATTATCGTGAATAAGTTGCATTTTTTTGTTATCAATTAGCTGCAATCGTACCAGACAATAACTAGCATTTTAAGTAGAAAGTTATACAATATATTTGTTCAGTTTGTCAGTTGGAGATTATTTCTGTGTTAACTCGAGGACCGCACAATGCCAAAAGTGATTTTACGTAGTATTCTTAAATAAATTATTATTTAGCTTTTACTATGTAGTCTAGATCGGGACAGATCATTCCAAAGCAACTGCTCAGAATTTCCCAAAACCGAAATTAGCTAAAGTTATCTGCATACTTTTATCGTTCTTATATTTGTAATTATATATATATGTATACTCCACATACCATATTGGATCCCCGATACAGTCTTGTAAATACATCAATTCGGTGTAAACAAATGTTCTTTAATGGTTCAACGGATAACAAAAGACAATAATTAATATAATGTTTATAAAAATCTGTATAATGTAGTTTTTCTACCACAGTGGTTGAACAGCGACTGGAACGGGGATTCCATTGGAATCCAACACTCGCAATGGATTCGAGGATAGCAGAATCAATCCTGGTACTTGTGGACGGCTTCTGACCTGCTTGGTCAGCCGGGCGGGTGACTGCTGGATAGGCTGAACCTCCTCTGCATCTGAATCAGGTGTAAAGTCCTGCGCCTGCTCATCGCTGGGTAACTGTTCTACAGCGTCGGTGGGCGGAGGTCCGTACGTCAGATCCGGAGGTCCGTAGGTCTGATCGGGCTCTCCTTCTTCAAATGGCACTTCGGGTTTTAGTTCATCCGCTGATGGGTAGGGCGCTGCCTGCTGTTTCTCTAGTTGTTTTGTCGATTTTGCTGGTTGCGCTGAAATTGCTCCAAGTGCCAGGATCAAAACCAGGAAGGAACTGGAACACTTCACGTTGCTGTACATATTGTCTTCGTGAATACAGATAACCGAACTTATGTGGGAATCGTTGATGATTGATAACTAAAGGTTTGAAACCTGCCTTTTTATATGATTTTTTGGCAAATACGTGGATGGGTTAATAAATTTTCGGTGGTAAAACGTGGTCATATGGTTAATGACTGGGTCACCGATGGCCCTTGGTCTTTAAAAGGGGAAGTTGGTAATTAATTTCATTGTCAATGTTAGCATATCATGTATATATTTTTAGAATAATATTATTATTGTTATAATAATATTATTATTTTTAATATTAATTTATATTATTTAAATGTGGTATTAATGTTTTTACTTATTATATATTATTTTGTAATATAAATTAATTAAAAACAAATAACCCATATATGGCATGCACTCGAAACCAACGCCTGCGCGCTTAAAATTCCCAAGTGCTTATTCCGCAAGACGTGCATATAAAAGGTAACAAGCAAATGAAACGGTCGTGTTGTTTGGAAGGAGAGCAAGTTAGCACTCCCCTAGACAAGGATGGAACACACAAACGGTCGGCTAGGCACAAGACAAAGCCGTCCACAAATTTTTTTGTTACATTTACTTTTATTTTATCTACCTGTTTTCCTTTATTTAAACATAATAATAAATTAAAATTATTATTATATTATTTTTTTAATAACAGTAAACTGCTTTTTTATTTAGTTTTAGCTTACACGTATTGTAAATATACAAAAATACGAGTACATTGTCAGAGAATAAAAACATTCATAAATTTTGAGAGCATAGTTGTCAAATAAACGTGTCAATTATCTTAAAAAAAATCATGCTACTGTCCAAGCCAAGCACTATTTCCCCTGCCGTCAGTAACAAACATACGGCCAGAATAAACTGCCTATAATATTTATATATAAGTCAGGTTATTCTGGCATTTTTTTGTGCCAAATAGATGCTGAACGTGGGGTCCCTATTTCGGGCAGTGCTTGGCAGGTATGAAAAGAAGGTACGGCGGAGTCCGGAACTGTTATAGGAGCGCAAGTTGTGCTGCGCCTGCCAACAAAGTCGGGTTTGCTTAAGGACGATTTCGATGACTTTTTCCCGGTACGATTTCTTAAATTTTTCAGACACTTCCATAATGTCTTTGTATAAGTCAAAAGGTAGAGGATTTTGTCGAACTATTCGGGGGTCTACATCAGCCATCAGTGGAATCAATTTCTTTGTCATCTCCGAAAGTTCATTCATTCTAATCTTAATCTTTTCAGACTCCTCATGGTTTTGGGCACCATATCGTTTTCCATATCGTCTCCGAATCCACTCTCTTAGCTCCGGAATTTGGTGGCCTTCGGGTAGACTGGCGAGCACAAGTTTAGAATCCTGTCGTAATAATTTGAACGCATCGCTAAGCATTTGGTCCATGAATTTCACGTCGTCGGGATCGATCCAACTGCGGTTATAAACGAGGCGCTCTTTGGAACCTCTGGGAGTGACCACACATGGCGCTGCCAGTAAACTCTTTTCGAAGATTTTTCCCACACACCGAGAGACAGCTTCATCGATGTGGCTGCTCCGAATTGTCTGCGATAAACCATTTTCTCGGTCTATACCATCAGAAAGGTCTACACCGTTAGAAAGGGTTTTCACTATTGAATTCCGAATAACATCCACGGTGCCCAAAGCGTGCTCACTGTCTTTATCGAATACTTCATCATAGTTAAAAGCATAGGGTTTATATCCTCCGGGTGCGGCAAAATATTTTTCATTGCCCTTAGGATCCTTATCTTTCAAGAACATTTTCTCATTATCCTCCCCACCACAAAGCCTCATTTTGGGACCACTCCTATCGTATAGAACACCCCATTTACCTTCGAGTAGCAACACCTGTGGACTAGTCTCCAAGCTTACGTGAACTAATTCGTTGCAGGCGACACAGCCGGTTTTCCGAAAAGCAGGCACTCCGGGACTCCAACCCTTGTCACCAAACTTAAGAAGGTACTCATCCACATCTCTATTCAGGTGATGGATAATTCGCTCTCTATTAAGCTTCAAGCAGAAAAAAAGTATTTAATATATAAGTGTGTTGTTTTTATGGCTTAAATATGCTTACTCCCAATTCGAACTCACCCGCTTTTCATTCCCTTCTACATCAAGCATCTTCAGGTATCGTCGGCGTTGCTCGTTTAGAAACGATAGTCGTTTCTGGGATCGAGTTCCCTTGTGGTATTCACACAGATCCCTTGGCTCCTGGTCAGGATTACTAAGGGAATCGTCTATTTGGTCAAATAGGTGGCATAGCTCGTGGCTAATAAATGCCTTAACAGTTCGCTGGATCGGATGAAATTGGTAATTGGCGAACCACCGATCATCGTCATCCTTGGCGTCTCCCACCTCGTTGGGAATCTGCACCTGAAAATGCGGGTAATTTGCCAAAAAACGAGTTGAACGGTAACACGATTTTGGACGAGGCTGCTTCTGAAAGTAAGGCTGTGCACTTCTGACAGGTTGTCCCGAAGATCGAGTCCTTGTTTGTGTCACCTTAGAGGAAAAAACTTTGTCTTCCACTTGAAGTGTAGCTGGCATAGCAATGGACGGCTTCTCACTTTCTACCCCAAACACCGATTGACGAGCAGAGTGCTTCTAAGATTTTTTTTTATTATTTTATTTGACTTAAATGGTTCGATTTGGAATCAAAAACTTAGTTTAACTTATTTGGCAACTAACCTTTTGAACTTCCAGTGGAGTATTCGATTCACTGACACGATTTCCGCGCAGGGGAAGTACCTCGTCTAGGGCTCGAATAGTGGCCGGCAGATCAAGATAGGCAATAGCCGAGAGCAAGAGTTGTCCATTAACTGTATATTTTCCGCATGATTTGCCGGAACTGTAGTGTTCCTGGAACAGAAAGTAGAGGAAAGCAAGACTCTGTCCACGACTTAATTGAACAATCCTGAGAAGCTGTTTGTTTCCAACCAAAGGACGTACACCCAGACGCAACAGACAGTCTCGAGTTACATTGATATCGAAGTCTAATGCTTCTCTCAATTCATCTACCGCCTGCATCTGATCGAAAGAAAGACCCCGATTCCAACCTGCAACGGGTAGCTCCAACTCCGCTCCAGAGTTCCGAACCATTTTCTAGGTAACGAAACGATTTAAATTAAGAAAACACAACGGATTTAAGAAACTATCAAAATTTTGTGTAACATAAAAATCATTAATGATAACTGATACGAGTAGAATAAGAAAATTCAGATAAAAAACTCAATGCAGATTAGTCAAAGAAGTTTTCAAAGATTTTGGGCTGGATTAAATCTAACCAGAAGCTCTAACATTTTACTTTATTTTGGATATTTAGTAGATATTCTGCTAGCTAATTAGTCTGCTTTAATCAGCCTGTTTTGCTGGGTTTCCAAGCAAGTTGATATTGCGTTCAATTCAAAGATTAGGTTATAAGGTTAGGTTTAAAGGTAGACCTTAAATGCAATCAAAAATGAATTAAAGATGCTCCTAAGTCTATAAGATACATATACTCGTCCTAAAATGACCTCATATATTCAGGTAAAGATTAAGATGTTCTTCTTTCCCCGAAAATAATATTTAAGCCACATAACATCTAATGTTAATAAGAAGGTAATGTATATAAATATATTTAAGTACACAATAAGAAAAGATTTATGCTTTTATTTTATTTTATTCATATTGGGCATCCATCGAGGATGCAGTTTGGTTTATTGCCAATTAGGGGCTTGGCATATGAAGAAGACTCTAGTATAACAATCAATTAAGGACAATTTTGTTGCGGTTACTTTAGCACAGTGTTCGTGCTTAGCGCCCATATCCCAATGTATTTCATCAAAAAATGGTTTCCTGCCGGTTAGTGTGGAAAAATAGCGACCATCATGAGATAGATCGGTCATATCCACCCAATAGGTACCATGGGGTACATTAAAAAATATTTCTTTAAACTCCGCCCTATTTCGTACATTCAGCAGGTGGCCGCCCATTTCTCGACATCTGAGAGAGGCAGAAAACCAATTGGCTAACTTTTGCCTCTCGACGTAAAAGTGTCTTGAGCCTATCTTCTTGAAAACCGTGGTATCTATCTGTTGGGTAACTTTTGGGTCCGTCCTGTTTCTTTTGTTTTCTATAGGAAACCGTAGTGACTTCAGTTCATTTTCCATCTGGACTTGTAAGGCTTGCAATCGGCATTCGAGGGCTTTCTTCATCTTGTCAATTTTCAACTGAGTTTCATTTCGCCTCTGGGAATTGTATCTGAACCAATTTTCCTGGTGTACATCAAGGTTATCAATTGTGGTTTGGAATGAAGTTTTAGGGTTAGCAAAGGTCAGCTCCCAAGAAGCAAAGAGAAAAAGGCTGTAGGTTGTAAGCTTCCACATAATTAGGCCGTATAACCCGTAAGATCAAATCGTTTTAAGTAACTGAAGTTCCTTTTACAAACATTTCTTAACGAGGTAATCACCCGCAACGAAAAATGTTTTAAAGCATCTAAAATTTTGGTTATAAAGACTTACCGTGACGAATATTCCTATCTACCTTGACGAATTATGGTAGTATTTAAATATTGTTTAACTTTTTACTTTACCAGCCATCATTCAACTTGGAAAATAAAAAATATAGAAATTTTATCAAGCATCAAAGTTTATTTTTCAAGTAGATTCCTCGGGACATGGTGGATACCACTGCCACTCGAGCCAGGGCACACACGCTCCTGTTTTGGGATCGAATCCCGTACCCTGTTCGCATGCAACGAGACCAGCCTTTCCGGAACTATTGCACTCCCAGTAATGGGTGGGATCCCAGAAGTCACGGGATATCTCCCCGGAGCGTCCTGTGCAGTCGGGCTGCCCATCACCATTGGGATCGCAGTTGGAATCGGCGTAGATAGCCACGAAAAGAGACAGGAACAGAATGATCACAGCTAGAAGTAGAATCCTTAATAAGTATATCATCTTTCTAAGGACATGCGGTCACCCGATGAGCTTACCGGCCTTCATTGTGCTAGTTCGGGTGATTAGTACCGAATGACATCCGAACACAACTTTTAACATTATATAGCTACCTGTTATCTATCCCTGAACTATTTCCATGTTCCTTGTCTACGACTATCGGAATGATAAATTCTATTTCGGAACGAACATGAAATCGTTTAAAAATAATCGCACGATCACTGGCGGTATCTGTATCTTGTCAATTGACTCAGATGACGCCATCCAAAAATCATATGAAGCGTGTGCCATTTAGAGAGAGAGTTTTATATTTGGTATCAAAAAAGGTTAAATCAATTCTTTGAAAATATAAATATTATATTTACTTCTCGTAAATAGTCTAATTTCTATTTCGGATATAATCTATCTGTAGGCAGAATCTGAATCATAATCAGAATCTCCCCCTTTTGAAAGCTGTGATCTCGGGGTCTATTAATGGTGGAATGTTTGGATTAGGCACGCAATTATATTGGGGCACCTGCTTATCGCAGTTTTCTTCAATAGTTGGTCATGTCTACCCCTATCGACCCACCACGACCCACCTTTGAAATTAAATAATTATTAAAAAAGATTTGAAGAAATAAAAAAAATGGAGAGCGACTTGAGAAATGTATAATATCGTAGATCATAATATTATAACGAAATATAAAATCAAAAAGTGTGAATGAATTTTAAATTAGCGACCACTTGTATTTGTATTCAAAATAATTATTATTATCATCTTATCCTTGGTCAGAAAGTCTTCTCTTTGTTATATCTAACTAAATATTATCACATTTTAAACAAAATAAATTCAATAAATATTTTTCTTTTTCCCCAAAGTATTAGTCATGCCCACACAAGGCAGATATTAGGAACTTACAAGACATGGCCAAAGACATCAAACCCATTAGAAAATCAAGCACTAATAAAACCTATTGTTTAAAAATAAATGGCTTATGATTAGGTTGAAAAATAATGAAATAGATAAGTTTTATTAAGAACTTATAACCAACCAATTATCAATTATATCATTTTTCGATAATGTTAATATTAAGGCAACGCCCCAAAATTAAATTTTGTGCCGTTTTTATTCTTTTATACCTTCCACACGTAACCCAATTTCATGCTTATTGGGTGATACAGTGTCGAATTAAAAAATACAATAAAATATTGTCTGGTAAATATAAATAATTTGTATATATAATACATAAAACCCAATTATATAAATCGAATTTGATCATTTTTAGGCATTTGTTATGTTAAGTTTTAAGAACGTGCTATATCTTATAGTTATCAAATAAAGCCCGTCCTTAATTTATTTGTATTTAAAGGTTGTGGTCTATAATATTAGTATAGATATCAAGAAAGTGAATTAAAATGAGTTCCAAAGCTTCTTTGTAAAAGAAAAATAATTGATAAGCAATTATTTACAATCGCTAGGCTAAAACTATGATCCGTTCACAGACCTAAATTTAACCAAATAACTTGAAGAACTTATGATAATTATTAAAACACAAGTTTGTTATTTAAATGCCATTCATTTTTATTGTGTTACAAAAATGTTATTAGCTTAGGCGCAAGGTTGAGTCCAAGTCCACTCGTCCCAAGGAACACACTTCTTCAATGCCGAATCGAATCCCGTGGTGGTGTTACCATTCGGCTGACACTGAATGCCATAGGCAGTTGAGCTAGTGGAGTTGCACCACCAGTAGCGGGTGGGATCCCAGAAGTTACGGATTGGGACTTCCACGTTGCTGGAGTTGCTGCAATCGGGTTGATTGTTGCCATCGCGTTCGCACACGTAGTCAGCGGCATAGAGCGCCATGAAGACGGCCAGACAAAGGATAAGTAGAGCTATGGATCGAGAAGGAATGGTCCTTGAGCATTTGGATTCCTTGCCGGAGACTTTGCAGCTGACTTACCGGCTTTCATGGTTGAATTGGCTTGTGAATGCTACCGTGAATGTGCTTTTAGTGAGCGAACTCGCCGGTTTATATACTCCACACCTTCACTGATACTACCTTCCATGAATATCAGTTATCTATCTTGCCAAGAAGCCTGTGCAAAATTCTATTTTGGCAGCGACATGAAATCGTTTGGAAATAATCGCACCATGTATCGCCCACCGTATCTGTATCTCAACGCAATATTCGCGCCCCTAAGTTAAGTTGACGCAATGATTTGATAAGTTGAGGGTTTGGAGAGGACACGGCGTCTCAAAGTTGCGTTTTAAACAGTATAGCAGGATGCTTTTTTTTTGGTCTGACAAAAAAGATTTAGATTTTCTCCAACCAAATGTTTACCTTTAATATTATTAAGTTTGTTCGTGATTTGCGAGCGTTAGAGTGGGGAAGACTTATTTATATACTTTATGTGATCGGGAAAACTTCCTTGTTCCTAATTTATACTTATAATTTGCATCCGTGAGTTAGATTATTGAAGCTTAATTGCGAATTTTCGGTGCTCATAAACATTCTACATTCTACAAATTTAAAATTTGATATAAAAGCCGATGGCCTCAGACGTCAAAGCTCCCAGATTCGATTCGTAATGGGATCAAATATGCCGCTAAGTTCCTACCACGCAGGGTCAAAGCTACAACTTTTTGCAATTACTTTCTTCTGAATACCCTCAGTAGGTAGAGTTACACGTGTCAGAGTTCGTTATGATTAAAAATTTGTTGTGATTAGTCCATAGTGATGAAGTCAAGTGTCCCAAGTACGGCAGGTCAGCCTAACACCATTATGATCCAGCTGGTTTCCCAGCAGCCGGACTCCAGTGGACAGATACAGGCAATGCCCATTGCATGTCAAGCAATTCCGCTGTTTCCCAGGCCTAAAACGAACAATGAACCACCTCGTCGATCGGTTTCACAGAATATGATGGCTCCGTCAAAGGATCCTAACCGAGGGCATTCCAGAAACCCTGTCGAGATCTGTGCTCCACCAAAACCTTGGCATAACCAGTTCAGATGCTCTCGCCATCGTCACTCCCCCGGTGGTATTAACCAACCGCCACCAGTGTACTACGTTCTCCGTCCAGAAGATAGGATTTTGCCCATATACATTCCACCGCCTTGCACTACCAGCAATCGGTTCAGCAATATGCGGGATAAACCGATGGATAGGGAATGCCCTTGTTGTGGCCGTGACAGGTCGTTGATTCCGAAGAAGAAGACTCTGAATGAGCAGGCACCGCAGGGTCCCTTAAAAGAGGACATTCCGAAGGAATCGCCTGCACACCGACATCAAGGCACAAACACCATTGACCTGCCGAATCTTGGGGAGCTTAAGATGATCTGCGAAACTCTGGGACGTGTTATGGTTACAGCGGCTATGGAGGCAGCCCAGAGATCTCAACTGAAAGGATCCTCCAGTTTAAATAATGCTGCAGAACCAAAGGACCTGTCAAATATTTTATTAAAAATACTCGCCCAACTGAGTCCCCAGGAGCACATTAAGTCTAAAACGGCTGAGCATAGTCCATCAGTAGACGAGGCAGGAAGTTCTGACGATCAATCAGGATTTAACAAGCGAAAAGCTAGCTTTTCAAAAACGATCAGATCTTCAACAATTATCTCTTCGGACTTAGCTGTTCGTGAAGAGGTATTTGTTGAAGATACGCTTCCATTTGTATCTGAAAGTCAGTCTCACGTGGAATATCCCAAAACACCTAGACCAACTCCAGAAATTGCACGTGGGTTTGGATTTAGCCCTTCAGCTAAGTCGTCAGACACTCTCTGACTCTGATTCTGTTCTCTTAAACATTAAAGCTCATTGATATAACCCTGTATTCGAATAAGCCGACTTTAGTTAACCAATTAAAATAAATAATAGGTATAATAATAATCTTTATAAACTTCTAAGATCTATATACCCGACGCTTCAACAGCTAGAACTATGGTTGCCTTATTTGTAAAAATATATTGAATGTTTCAAAGTTTAACATTATATTGTTCCAAAATTAAGTTTAATATGCATATTAAAATGTTTTAATAAAATATTTAAGAATAAAAGACACTGTCTTACTTAGCCATATTACACAAAATCTTTGGCTTAGCAATAGTAAATGCAACTTAAGCTTTGTTATGTCGTTGCACAGATTTATTGACGCAGTTTCACTTAAGTTAATTCCACTATTATTCAATTGTATCTATAAGTCCCTATTATTTCTTCAATACTAATGACAACAAGGTCGCAGAGCGACAAACATTCTGATTAGAGTCAGTAATGTTGGGCTTTAGATAAGAGTGGTGCAGCGTCAATGTGTAAGGAAAAGGTATTCCAAGGTGGTAGCACGAATGGCTTAGATTAAGTGACTCGTAGTGATAAGTGGCACAATGTTTCATATTTAATTTCAGTGTTTTGTGGAGATAGCAAAATTCTGCGAAATACCAACGCAATTCCCAATAACTAGATAAGGTGATACGTTTCCATAGACTTCCATTTTTGCAATCGGGCACCGTCTGCCGGAAACACAACACATCAGGCAGTGCCATTTTCGATCGTTTTGCATCTCTCTTTTAAATTGGACATACCATCTAATGAATTGGTCATGTTTTTCGAGTAATGTTGCTGCCGTTTTGTCGGTTGCAGCCAACGGGAACGGTGATAATTTCTTAACGATTCTTAGCTGCGTTGCGATCTTTCATCATTTTAAATAAGTGCCGTGGGGGGTTTGAGTAATTTCTCTCCGACTTCCCACTACCAACTTAGAAGCTCTACCCAAGTGCACCTAAAACAAAAATCTTTAAAAAATATAAATATTATATAAAAGTCTGTAATTATTCTCTTATTTATATTGTTCATTATTGTTCTACTAATATGTAACAATTATTTATTACTTTAAAAAAAATATATTTAAAGGTTCTCAACTTTAATATCATTATAAAACTAACAAATCCATCTTAAAAAAAATAAAATAAATAAATTCTGCAATATATTAATTTTATTGACTTCTTAAGTGGCCATAAAGTTCAATTTCTTTTGCAGTGTATGTTGAGTTTAAGTTTAGTTTAGCATTACCAAATCCCAAATAGGTGCTTGCTAAGACGAAACTTGCTAAGGAAAGTGAAATTCCCCACAAGACTGGCGCAACTGAATGGACGCAGCGATGCGGACACTTTTAGCTCCAAATTGCACAGCACAATTTGTCGCCAGTCGTAGTCGCCTGAAATTCCTCAGACTTTATTATAAAGTCGATGACATGGCGCCGGCGAGCTTAGTCATCATGTTCGCCTGCAATCGTGAGCTTGGGATCGCTTTTGGACTTATCTTCTGGGCGACTCTCGCTTTAGCCCAAAATTCTAGCAATGAAAGGGCCAGCGATCGAACAATAAATCAACTGGACCTGGCTGGTTCGGCTACAGCTAAAAGTTTTGAGCCGCCGCCTGAGTTTTATCGCGGTCCTGGCTCAGGAGCTGGCTTAGGATCTAATCCCATAAGTCAGCCCTCTCTAGGAAGTGTGGGTGAAAGTCTTAGTGAAACCTACAATAAGTGGCGAGCTGGAGCTGCTAATCTTCAGGATCGTATCAGTGTGGGTAAGTTACTAATGGAATATTTTTTAAATTATCTAGAAAATGGTTTAAAAAAAAGTAAAGTAAATCAATATCATATTTTAACTTTAACTTTAACTGTTTTGACTTTCGAAACAATTGATTATTATCAAAAATAAAACTTATTTAAATTATTTTGATTATTATTTAATATTACACCAGGTCACCATGCCGCTGCGGGAGGAGTATCTTCGCATACACCAACAGTGGGCAGCTTTGAAAGTAATTCACATCCGTATCCCTACGAATACTCCCACAGCAGTGGAGGAGGAGCAGGAGCTAGTCTAGGAAGTGGTGCCTATTTTGGTAGTTCCAGTGTCGAGGCGGGTATTCCATTCGACGTTTATGGTTCGCGTCCGGGTCACAGTATTGGCCATGGTCACTACTCCCCGCCAGAGTATGCGTATCCGTATCCCTTGGATCCCCACGAGATAGCCGCGCACAAGGGTCCCGGTCACGGGGACGTTTCATCCAAAGCTCTACTGGCGAAGAGTTTTCTAATACCACTAGCAAGTGCTGCAGTTCTGGGAATAGCTGCCGCCTTGGTCAGCAATCCCCTGCTCCTCCAATTGGGCACAGTTTCTGGATTGGGAACCATTGTAGGCAAACGCAAGCGACGTGCAACAGGTCAAAATATGCTAACGAGGAAAGCCCATAAGTACACTTTATAAATATGCCATTCATAACGAAATAATGGAAAATAAACGTTTGTTCTCAATGAATCTGTATCGATAAGAAGAAATCCTCGATAAGATTTTATTTATACTATATTATAGTATAAATATGCTTATCATTTAATATTTCCGAGAAGACACTACTGAAAAACGTAATACTTACTGAAATATAACACTTATCAGCTCGCCGTTTTTAGGTTCTTCCCCTTATAGCAAAGACTTGTTGCGGATTTATTTCGTTAATCCATTGATCCCAATGTATTTATCTTTAAACAGGAGACAATGTTTAACCTTTATATGATTATGATTTTATATTTAATTTTTTATTTAAGATCATGTTTATTTCTCGCTGTCAGAGTCAAAAATAATACTTTTGCAGGCCCAAAAAATTAAAATGGTTTTTTTTAGTAAAGTTTTTTTGTATACTTTACTTTTACTGCAAAGTATAACCAAAATATATTATATTTTGTATTTTTTTTTCGTATACTTTACTTTTACTGCAAAGTATAACCAAAATATATAATTTTTTGTTTCAAAAGTAAGTTAAGGCGCTAATTATTATCAATTGGCTTATCGATTAATCGATGTTATGTGACTGATAAATATTTTGGCGCCGTTAGTGGGGTCACACTTTTTCAATATAAATAACCAAAAATATGTAGTCCTTTCTAAACTAGTATGAGCCTTAAACGCAAGTTCAGTTCTCCTTTTGAGGACGACAATCAGCAAGAGAATAATCGGGATGCTAAAGCCCTAAGAATCAAGCATCCTCTTGTATTAAAAGACCTTTCCTCACCAAGAGCCAGTGAAAGTCGGCTTTTGGTTGAGTCCGCGTCCACAAATCGCAGAAATACTCCATCCAGGTTTGATTCTTCATGGCAAACACTCAATAAGTCGGAAATAAGCAGAAGCCAACCGGATTCTTCGGGAAACACGAGTTTCTTGACATGTTCACAGCTCCTGAACACTAGTTGGCCAAGCACGAAGCGACAAGCCAAAGCCTTGTCCCTTGTAGTTCAAAAATCCCCAAGGACTGCTCCACTGGACCATAGTAAGGAACCCAGAGCAAACCATTTCTTTCAAACATCTTGGAATATGTTAGTAAGCCAAACCCTGCTGAACGATTCTAACTGCACAGATTTGTCCGAGAATAGCTGCATTGAATCCTCTCAAGTTACACAACTTGTGCCGGATCAATGTTCCAAGCAGTACCTGCCAACCAGACAGAAAAAGCATAAACTTAATCCAAATCGTCGCTTTGTAAAAGGAGGCTATGTCGACGATTTCCGGCGTTTCCTGAAGAATATGGACATGGATAAGCGACATATGAGTAAGAGCACAGTCACCTACACAGTTAAAGTCTTGGGTATTTTTAAGGAATTTGGTGTTTCAATGGCTCTAGTATCACCTGAAACGGGAAGAAATTTTAATATTCTTTTTGAAAAGGACCAGTCCGAATTGCTCAAAGTTGGTTCTCGGGTAAAATTTTTTTTGGATCCAAACAAAAAGCCTTTCCAGCTAAAAAACAAAGAACTGGTGTATTGTCGTCCGACCAATATAATTGTTTTATAGTGATACCCACTTGCCTAAAACACAAAATACAGCGTATAAAATATAAATAGATTTATAAGGACGGATTTGAATAGGCCATTAATGCCACTCTAGTATAATTTTAAGGAAATACATAAGCTTATGTACCATATTTTAAGTTCAATTCGAGAGTAGTTGCCGTTTAGGCTTAATTTGATTACATTTGTACTTAACATTAATTAAATACACTTTCCCTCTACGCAAAAAAGTAAAAACTACTTGGTTACGTATAAAAAAAGCAGAAAAATATCAGTCTTTCAGAATTCGGAAAGGGAAAACCATTCACCAGCACACAGACTTTTCCTGGAGTAGGTTACCATGAATGCGTTGCGCTAGAAATCTGTAAATATAGATAGTTAATAGTGGTGATATTCCGGTAAGACTGTTCTCTTCATACCTCATTGCGTGCGATGGCACTGCAGCCACAAACAGCAAAAACATTACATTTCCTAACTCATCCGTAAGAGCGTAGCACTTATGGTAATCAGAGCAGCTATATTGGTCTAGCAACATTGTTTTATTGCTCGACGAATCTGCTTCAAACTGATGGACGGCATCCATAGTTTGATCGAAAAACTTTTTAAGTATATCGAGGCGTTGCAGATCGCCTACAATAATGCGCTTAACACTTGAGGACTGGTTTAGATTCCCGGTAAAAAGACTTTTCCGCGTGTGCCGGTTTATTAAAATGATAGCCAACACATTACCATCAATTTCCAGGTGCTCCGGCAGACTGCGCGGCACGCAGCGTTCGGCTGCTGCCAGAAGGTTGCCCTCGTTTCTATAGGTACTCATGGCAGCAGCATGTAGCTCCCGGAAGGATGCATTCTCAGCTCCACACAAGACACACAAAGCACTATTTGAGCCTACGGGAATGCTGACGAATCTATAGGCTATATGGGGACTCTTTACAGGGAGATATACGGGCACATCGTGCTGCAGAGTGTTTGATGAATTTAACAGAAATAACAGGAGTTCCCGGTCGCGAGTGTCCAGATCCCACCAGCCCTCAGTAGCCACAGCGATGCGATGTCCCACTACAAGGCAGCAAAAAAGCGAACCACAGTGGCCGCTAAACTCATTAAGACATTGCAGCAACTGTGCGTTTTCTGCAGCCAAGAGACAATCCGTGTAGCCTAGAAGCTGTGTACCTGCGCAGGCAGCCTCCAATATTGCGTCTACAATGGGTACGTACTTCTTGGCGTCCTTCTTCAGCCGCTCCAGCAACGTGGCATGAGCCATTTCCGTCGCACGAGTGATGAACATGCCAATAGCTCCAAAAACCAGATCTGCCAGTGTCTGGAGCAGCTGCTCTGATCCCACTCCGCAGCCGCATACGATCAGTGTAATGGCGTTGCTGTCCCGCCAAATGTACGTCCATTCTTCTGAATCCGCGAGAGCCTGATTCTGGCTGGGTTGCTGCTTGCTTGTTGTGGTCGCCTCCAGTTGGATGCCCAACGATTTAAAGAACATGTGAAAGCCATTTAATGAGGCGACCGTGGAAAAGGGCAGCTGCAGAGGGTAAAGTATGTAACCTGGCCAGAAATAAGTACTATCCATTGCTCTTACATTTTCGCAGTCCCCCTTCTTTCGCGTAAACACAGGCAATCCGCCATTTGTTGTCAAACATAACAAGTAAATAGACATTGCAAGTTCTTCTTCTTTACCAAACCTGCAACGTATGATGATAACATAAACTAAATCGATTTAAAGATCGAAAAACATCGATTTACTCCATATACCACTTGTCGATCGTTGAAACAAACCGACCTATTAAAAATACTGAAGCATTCAATTATAGTTAAAATAGTTTGTTTTTGCATTTAAAAGTTGTTATTGAAGTATATAAAGGGTATAAAACATTTTCCTGATCTGAATTAAATCATTATTCTTTAGAGTGAAAGAACCAGTTTCAATAATTATGAAATCATGTTCCAAAGAACTTTATTAATGATGTCAGTCTTCATCATAGCTGAACAGAGGATAGAGGGATAATTAATAAACCGGCAAGCCTTTTATTGAGACCTGAAATAAAGTTATGTCTATAAATTAAAGATCTTAATTCTTCGACCTTATTTAATTTTTTTTGTTAATCTATCGATAATATAAACCAACATCAATGCACCTCTGCTCAGCAGGGCTGCAGACGTATGTTTTCACCAATCCAACGAGACCGCAATACGTCCACACTGTTCACACAAATTGCATTTCGCATTGTCCGTCGTCGTCGTTTTCACACGCTGCTCTTTTCTGGAATCGGAAAAAGGTAAGCTGAATAGGTGAATAGGATATTTATGTTTGCTAAATACCCACCGCTTCATCGCTAGCGCGTGAGAAAAGCTCCAAAAATTATAAAATGCCGCCGCAGTAGCTCGTCGCATTTGCGGCGGCGATGCGTTCGCCTGTGCCTGTGTGCGTGCTTGAGTTTGAGTGTGTATGGTGTTTCGAGCGCTTGTATGTGTGCGTGTGCGAAAAAGTGTAAGCGCGCGCAGGCAGTAAGTGTGCGCTTGTAGTTGTAAGTGTGTTCCAAAAAATGAAATAAGAAAATAAAAAAGAAATATGGTTGCCTGCCGTCAGGCTGAAAAGTACGCAATATATGTAACCAACGCTCTTTTCCGCAGCTCCAGGTCCAGTCCCGGCACTAGATCCAGATCCCGATCCAGATCAAGAGTCGCCGCTCCTCACCGTCATCACTGTGCGAAGAAGAAGAAACACAAGAAGCCGCCGCACACACCTCCGTCACAGCAACAAAATAAAATACAAAAAGCAACAAATCCGGAAAGAAAACGTGAGATCCCAGCTCATCCGGCGGAGGAGGAAGCCAAGAAGCTATCAAAATTAACGCGGACACAGCTGCCGAGCGACGCAGACGCGAACGCCGCTTCTACTATAAAGCGATGGCGACAATGTTGACATCGGATGAAGCGAGCAAGCTGCTCGACTTCTCCCAGAAGTTGGACATCAATCTGCTGGACAAGATCGTCGAGGTGGTGTACACAGCGCAGGGGGAGCAGTTGCGCCTTGCCCAGAGCATATTGACCACGTTGAAGGAGCATCCGGAGGCGTGGACGCGAGTGGACAGCATTTTGGAGTACTCACAGAACCAGCGGACCAAGTTCTATGCTCTGCAGATCCTCGAAGAGGTGATCAAGACACGCTGGAAGGTACTGCCGCGCAATCAATGCGAGGGCATCAAGAAGTACGTGGTCAGTCTGATCATTAAGACCTCGTCGGATCCCAATATCATGGAGCAGAACAAGGTTTATCTAAATAAGCTGAATATGATTCTGGTGCACATCCTAAAGCGCGAATGGCCGCGCAACTGGGAGACCTTCATCAGTGACATTGTTGGTGCATCCAAGACAAACGAGAGCCTGTGCATGAACAACATGGTTATATTGAAGAACCTTAGCGAAGAGGTATTCGATTTCTCGCAGGGCCAGATCACGCAGACCAAGGCCAAGCACTTGAAGGATACTATGTGCTCGGAGTTCTCGCAGATTTTTACGCTCTGCTCCTTTGTTCTAGAGAACTCGATGAATGCCGCCCTGATCCACGTCACACTTGAGACTCTGCTGCGGTTCCTCAACTGGATCCCACTTGGCTATATTTTCGAAACGCAGCAGATAGAGACGCTGATATTCAAGTTCCTCAGCGTGCCTATGTTCCGAAATGTGACCCTGAAGTGCCTGTCCGAAATCGCCGGTCTGACGGCGACAAACTATGACGAGAATTTCGCGACGCTCTTCAAGGACACGATGGTGCAACTGGACCAGATCGTCGGCCAGAACATGAACATGAACCACGTGTTCAAGCACGGCTCTGACACGGAGCAGGAGCTGGTCCTCAATTTGGCAATGTTCCTGTGCACCTTCCTCAAGGAGCACGGCAAATTGGTGGAGGATACCAAATATGTGGAGTATCTAAACCAGGCGCTCATGTATCTGGTAATGATCAGCGAGGTGGAAGATGTAGAGGTATTTAAAATCTGCCTGGAGTACTGGAACAGTTTAGTGGAAGACCTCTACAACTCGGAGTTCTTCCACCCCAACCTGGAGTCAACAAAGAGACAGCAGGTGTATCCCCGACGACGCTTTTACGCCCCCATCTTGTCCAAAGTGCGATTCATTATGATCTCGCGCATGGCTAAGCCTGAGGAGGTGCTGGTGGTGGAGAACGAGAACGGGGAGGTGGTGCGGGAATTTATGAAGGACACCAACTCGATTAACCTTTACAAGAACATGCGCGAAACGCTTGTATTTCTTACCCATTTAGACTCTGTGGACACGGACCGCATCATGACACTAAAACTGCTAAATCAGGTGAACGGATCGGAATTCTCTTGGAAGAACCTGAACACGCTATGCTGGGCCATTGGTTCTATATCCGGTAAGCTATTATCTGGGGTTTTTTTAAAATGATGATTTCACGTTTTATTTCATATTTGATAAAATTGGTTTTTAAATCTCATTTTTATTCTCCATCTTTAGGTGCTTTCTGTGAGGAGGACGAGAAGCGGTTCCTGGTCACGGTCATCAAGGATCTGCTAGGCCTGTGCGAACAGAAAAAGGGCAAAGACAACAAGGCCATTATTGCCTCCAATATCATGTACGTGGTAGGACAGTATCCGCGTTTCCTGCGCGCCCACTGGAAATTCCTCAAGACAGTAGTAAACAAACTCTTCGAATTTATGCACGAAACGCACGATGGAGTCCAGGACATGGCATGCGATACTTTTATCAAGATTGCTATTAAGTGCCGCCGCTACTTCGTCACCATTCAGCCGAATGAGGTCTGCACATTTATTGACGAGATTCTCACCACAATGAGCAGCATTATTTGTGATCTGCAGCCTCAACAGGTAAGCTCATATTAATGTACTTTCATATTATTTGTAAATCGCTGGAAAAAATCCCATTGAAATTGAATAAATATTAACTTTCATATAATTCTTAGGTGCACACATTCTATGAAGCTGTCGGATACATGATCTCCGCTCAGGTGGATCAGGTGCAGCAGGACGTGCTCATTGAACGGTACATGCAACTGCCTAACCAGGTGTGGGATGATATTATATCCCGCGCATCAAAAAACGTTGACTTCCTGAAAAACATGACCGCTGTGAAGCAGCTAGGCAGTATCCTTAAGACCAACGTGGCTGCCTGTAAAGCCTTGGGACACGCGTATGTCATTCAACTGGGTCGCATATATCTGGACATGTTGAATGTGTATAAGATAACATCAGAAAATATCATCCAGGCGATCGAAGTAAACGGCGTCAATGTAAACAATCAGCCCCTGATCAAGACCATGCATGTGGTAAAGAAGGAGACGCTCAACTTAATATCCGAGTGGGTGTCTCGTTCCAACGACAATCAGTTGGTAATGGACAACTTCATACCGCCTTTGCTGGATGCTATATTGTTAGATTATCAGGTATGTTCCTTAATGTAACTATTATTAATCCTGGGAAAACCTATCAATCTCTGCAATTTGAATTACATACAAACTTACATGTTTTATAGGAAATTTATAACCAAATTTTTTTTTTGTAGCGCTGCAAAGTTCCATCTGCACGCGAGCCAAAGGTTTTAAGTGCGATGGCAACCATTGTGCATAAATTGCGCCAGCATATCACGAATGAAGTACCAAAAATATTTGACGCAGTTTTCGAGTGCACGCTGGACATGATCAACAAAAACTTTGAGGACTTCCCCCAGCACAGGCTCAGCTTCTATGAGCTGCTGCAGGCGGTTAATGCGCATTGCTTCAAGGCGTTCCTCAATATACCGCCGGCTCAGTTCAAACTGGTCTTTGACTCGGTGGTGTGGGCATTTAAGCACACCATGCGGAATGTGGCCGACATGGGATTAAATATCCTCTTCAAGGTAAATACCATATATTCAATCCCTTCAACTTTTGGTATTAATGGGTCTTTTATTTACAGATGCTTCAAAACTTAGACCAGCATCCGGGCGCGGCGCAAAGCTTCTACCAGACCTATTTTACAGATATTCTGATGCAAATATTCTCGGTGGTCACCGACACGTCCCACACGGCTGGGCTGCCCAATCATGCCATCATTCTGGCGTACATGTTCTCACTGGTGGAGAACAGAAAGATTACGGTGGACCTGGGACCTATTCCAGATAATATGATATTCATACAGGAGTATGTCGCGTCCCTGCTGAAATCGGCATTCAATCATCTGTCCGATAATCAGATCAAAGTCTTTGTCACTGGCCTTTTCAATTTAGACGAAAATGTGCAAGCATTTAAGGAGCATTTGAGAGATTTCCTCATACAGATTCGCGTGAGTATCTGGCGCTGAATGTAAACAATGCAATCCATAACAATGTTTTTTAATCAACAATTAAAGGAGGCCACCGGCGAGGACGATTCCGATCTGTATTTGGAGGAGCGTGAAGCGGCCCTGGCCGAGGAGCAGTCTAACAAACATCAAATGCAGCGTAATATCCCAGGCATGTTGAATCCGCACGAGTTGCCCGAGGATATGCAGGACGAATAGATGTCGATGTCGATGTCCCTGAGCTAGAATGTTTTAGTTGATGCTTGAGAATGATAAGAGGATTATGATGTATGAGTGTTTCTCGAGCGAGAAAGTATAAATGTTTGTTTGATTGAATGCATATAAGTACGTTATATATATAAATACACCCACACACGACCCCACATACACACACACATGCATACACATACACCTATACAGAGATAGTTGCGTTAAATGGTGAATGAGTAAATGGTTATTCGTGCGCAATTACATACATTAATATGATTAACATATTTTTGCGCATTGTCCTCGACATACCAGCATAAATAAGAAGCCCAGCCAACTCCCTATTCCCGCCCCTTATCCACATTTATATAGTTGTAAAACTTCATACTAAAGGCAACCGATACGAAAAATGCAAACTTTATTGTACTAATATAAAATAATGTGTTTGGAATTTTTTAAATGAGTAATTGTAGAAATATCGAGTATGAATGAATATTTGAGTTAACAAAAAACACACACCTCTCAGAGAACTCCCTTCACACACAAACACATAAATGAGCAAAGGAAACAACAATAAGATGAGTAAAAACCTAAAATAAAAATTAATTTGTAGTGACATAAACAGATCAGAAGCAGCAGGAGTAATAAAATGATATGCATACGTTTTGCATAAATTTAGCATTAACACGACGATGAAGACGATGAACACAATAAGGAGATGATCAAGAAAAACACAGCATCATAACCAGAATAGAGTTCATGCAATGTGTGAAAAATAGAACTAAAACGCAAATACCCAAAACACAAATACATCAAGGAAAAAAACAAAAATAACCATAGTAATGCGTATTAATGATGATGTTTAAATTTTTACATAATTAGTTTGTACATTAATTTAAATAAAAATCAATTAAAACTACATTGATGTATGATGCAAAGATATATTCAAGTTTTAATTATCTACGATTACCCTCTGTATCGGGGGCCCACATAATATCACTAATATCCTATAATCTGAATAGGTGTCATTAAGGAACCAAAGACATATTGTCAAAAAAAGATACTTTATTTGGATTATTTAAAGTCGATTTAACATTTTAAAGAAGAAATTTAAAGTGGCAGTCATACAATTGCTTAGAATAAAAATATAGAATTATTTGGGACCCAATTTTCGTGGCACAGACAATCGATTGTTGTGTAGAAAATGAGTGTCCTTAGAATACTCCTTCCATGTCTCGAAAATGGTTTGTGAAATGAGCCAGGTATTGCCAACTGGTTCCACAGGATAAATTTCGCGTCTGTTGCTAAAAGGCAGTTCAATTCGCTGCGAGACTTTTTGCTTAAAAGCGGTTCCATTAAAAGGTCGCTGGGAGTGCAGAGCCACAGTTACATCTTCCAGAAAGAGACTCCATCGAGGTGCGTAGTAATCGCTCATCAGGCCCGACCATTGCTTGCAGGCGTAGTCTAGGATCTGACCATCGGGACCCCATGCAGTGATTTGATTTCTGGCATTGAATTCAAAGTTGCTTTGATCCTCAGCACTGGGTGCCGCACGCTTGGCCTGTTCCAGCCAGTTGCCTAGCAGGAAGTTTCTACTGCTTGCCAGGATTAGTTCCATATCATCAAACAATTTAAGCAGCTTTGAGCTAAGATATTCGAATCGCGGCACCTGCCGCTTTCTATAAGCCGATCTTACATTAACATACAACTGATCCGCTGTGATCTGCAGGTACTGTCTGGTTATGTCCACCAAATCGTGCTCATACATCTCGTATCTGTCATCCTCCAGTGGAATAATATCCCTAGAGGAGAGCAACAAGTGCCAGGCATCCAGTATATCGCTTGCATTATACCAAGTAAAGGGTTCCTGATTGAAGGACGGCCTCCGCGTAACCACATACTGCCCTCGCATTTTCTGCAGACCATGGAAGGAATATACACTATTCTTTAACAGCAGCCAAGCCTGCTCCAATCGCTCATCACTTACACCATAACGTGTAGATGGGAAAAGTGTGAACCAACTATCCAAATCCAAGGGCGAATCACTCCAGCCGCGTTCCAAAGTCAATGAATACATCACATAGTTCTGGCCAATGCCCTCAGGAGTGATCCCCGTACCCACTAAACTGCTGTTTGGCCATCGACGCGCTGCCTCTATTCCGGAATTTATAAGCTTAGCTGAGCCGAACATCCCAAGTGTCCCACCGAAATTGTGCAGCATGCACCAGACGAAAGGCTGTCCAAAGTAGGATTGAGTCACTTCGTACTGCGGAAACTGTTCGCTCTGGAGATCTAGCACCAGTATCCGGCCGCGTGGTACAGCCGTAAGGAAAGCCTCAGCCATGTCCGTAGTCCAGAAAGGATTTTTAACAAACATCCATCCCTGAAGCAGCCAAATAGCCTGGGTGTCAATAACCCGCATGGATTCATATATCGCCGCCGCCGTGGATCGCATGTACTCCGGCTTGGCCACCGGTGGCTCCAGTTCATTGAAGGGATCGCAAAAGAAAATATGATTCGAACCATACGTGGATACGACGCGACTCAAGAAAATCTCGGCTATCTGATTGAAAAGTGGCTCCGTGGGTTCCACAAAGAGTCCGCAGCAATAACGGTCGGGGAACTGGTTCCATCGCTGCACCTCCATGAACGTAGAATTCGGATAAAGGTGTCTCATTGCCCTCGGCACATGACCAGCAAAAGCTGGCAAGGCCACAGTCATGCCCAAATTTCGCTGTGCTAAAAGGATCTCCAGCTGCAGCAGAAGCTGCAATCGTCGCCACTCCGGTGTCAATGGTCCAGCCCATCCTCGAATGTTGCCCATGCGCTGCCAGGCTTGAAAAGCGGGTCCAGCCAAATGGTCATTGATATCCTTTTGACTAAGGCCCATCTCCGTGTACACGTCCACCCAGATAGCTTCCTGGACTGGGGCAATAGTAAGGCTGATTCCCATCAAGGCCATCCAATCCAGGTGACGACGCCACTGGTCAAAGCTCCACCATGCGAAGCTGTAGCTCCAAGTGCACACGTTTTGATGATAGATAATCGGGCTTGCTGAAGTGGATTCGATGGTAACATTGGGCAACTGTAGATTGGTGGGTAACTCGATCCGCATCTTGAACCAGTCCACGTCCTTGTTTAGCACATACTTCAGGTAGTGATGGAAAGCCTTGCACACGGAGATACCATCCCATCCCATTAGCAGTATCCGCCCATCGTCCAGCATGCTAATCTGCGAAAGGAAACAGATTTTCTTATTAATTTCGTATGTATTGATTAATATTACTACTTTTAAAAAGTTATAAATCTTTAAATTAAAAGTACTTAATTAGCGATTTTAGAATTTGTACTTACTTTAAAGCTGCGAAGCGCTATTCCCTTATTGACCTCAACCTGAAACAAGTGAGATGATCGTCCCCCGATTACTCTACTGATGACTGCCATGGCAGCGTTCTCCTGAACCTTTTGGGGAATACTAGGTGCCAAGTGGGCAGCCATCCGTATTCCCATTTCTCTACCTGGGAGCCCATTCAAGTCCAAATCCGACCCGCGACCACTATCTAGACAAAGAACCGCTAGCAAGGTTAAGGCCAGATTACAATGCAGCTGCATTTTTTATGTCCGTTTCTCCCATGTGTCAATGTCAACGGGGCCCAAGTGACTGACTGACTGACAGCTCCTCCTCTCGCAATTGAAGCTCTCTCAAAGAATGCGGGATCTGAAGAGCACTAAGTGATTGCGATGAGTGCACAATGGATGAGGAGAGCAGCTGGATTCGATCACTTTCTTATCGCCAGATTAAACAATGACGACACTAAAGATCTCCGAGGGACGGATTTAAGACCTTTCTTTGAAAGTGATATCACTGTGGAAAATATCAACAAGATCAGTTCTTTCTCTGATTTTAAGGCTTCCAGAAATGTATTTTTCGTTAGGCAGCCATAAAAAAAAAGATTTAATATTAAATAAATAAACAAATTTCCATTTCGGTAGGTTTTCTAGCCATCTTTTCGTTAACTTTCACAAAACCCATTGTGCAAACATTCTTTGATTATATAATTTTTATTTTTATTCTAGTTTCAACCAAGAGTATTCAATAATCGGTCTTAAAATAGATGAAAATTCTCTTCTCTCAGTTCACATGTAGCTGTAAAAACTACTCCGATTTGGTCTGCCATCCCGATGGTCTGAAACTAACCCACATCCCTAGTTAAATACCGCCTTTTATATGTTGTGTGTGTTCCAGTTTGTAAAAGATGTTATTACAAGGTCATTTGAGCTTTATTGCACATATTTTGTCTTAGACACTAACAATAATATAGTTTATGCCGCCGACTAAGCCGCGATCGTAAGTATGTAAATTTATGTAATTGCAAAACCTCCAATTAATCACGCAATTTTGAATGCTGCGTGCGACAATCAGTGTATATAATTCCTAACAAATTGAATAACAATTTAGCGATATATATATATAAAATTATAAACTCACAGCGGACAATGCAACGCGATGCTTTCTATCATTGTTTTTTTTTAAATCTTTTTCTGGCAACAAAATACAGTTTCAAAGCCTTGGCCAACAACAAACGTACATGCATGTACGTCAGTGATGTACTATGTATATTGTGGTGCTTAAAATCTACTCTTAAATATCTACCATATACAAATTTAATGTTAAAAGCCTTTCGTGTTGCTCACTATTAAATATTTATGCTCAAAATCAAAAATGACTAGCTCTAAACAGCCGCTGGCAAGTACGCAAATCATCTAATCACTAAGTAACTCTAGGTCACTATCCTTAAATACAAGTTAAGTACGTATGCAATTCATGTCTATGTGTTTTTGGCTGTGTGAGTTTACTGTACTGACTACTAAAACAACCTGGTTAATATATTGTTAATCGTTTGCATTCACGTTTGGCCCAGGGAGAAGCAAACAAATCTTTGGACAAATCACTCTTCAATTACCACATTACTACAATCTCCTTGCGATTCCCCTTCCTTGATTGCAGTAAATTCGTTGTGCACCACGTTTTCCTCGAGCTCTCTAAAATTGTTGAGTTTTGCAGAGAGCTATCATCTTTCTTTCTTCGGAATAATTTCCTTACATAGCTTTAATGACATCCTTTTTATAATGTGCTTTTCAAAATCAGGAGAGCCAGCTTGGTTTTAATTTGTGCGCCGAACCAAACGAAATTGTAACGTCTTTCGCCTGAATGATTTTTAAATTTTTGAAACGCCGGTTGTATCAACAATTCCTTCAATAAAATCCAGTTTGATCCCTTTTGTATACGGTCTTTTCAATCTTCTTTTTGCTCAGTATAGGTTTAAGTTTAATTCTATGCTGAAATTTTCAACTTCACAGCATTCAGCATATGTGGTCAACATTATGCAATTTAAATCGATCATTACTTTAGTGCTTTACTTTTCTGATTTCCGCTTTTAAAGACATTCTGGTTTCAAGAGCTTATATGGTCAGCATTCTGGTTAACATTTTCTGTAAATTCGTTGTGCACCACCAATCGAAATTCTTTCACCTCCATCTTATTCACTTATGGAGTAGGCTTTCCGTATGCACTTGCTGTGCCTTGTAATCCTCAACTCCTCAGCATCGTGTGCCGGATGCTGGCGATGAGTCACTGGCTCCGCCATTTCTGAGGAAGACTTGTTCAGCGCATAGGTACGAATAAAATCGATGGTGGAGTACCCTTGCGTCCCAGAACACTCTGTTGCTTTATTCATTGTGGTCTCTCCAGCTTCAGGAGCCAGGACGCTGTTTAGGCTTTGGGTTTGAATGGGTGGTGGGGGAACGTCCAACGCAGTGCCCGTCTCTGGAGTTACTGGTGCAGTCACAGGGGCTGGGGTCGATACTAGAGATAAGCCACTGCCAAATCCATTGATCGCTTTGGGAGAGCCAGCTGGACCCACGGGACTGCGCGGTTGATCAAGATCCAATACTATATAGTTTACTCCGCTGCTACCAGCCAAGCTTGTAGGAGTAGCGGGCTCCTGACTGGCAATCGGTTCCCTTGGAAGCAGTGGCAACTCTAGGCGATTCACGTTCTCATAGCACCTTTCATTGCTCAGATCAAAGATTAGCGCTTCTACATTGGCGTACATGTGCACTGCATCGTTGGGACTTAAAACTGGAGCTGGTGCAGATTCCAGGGGAGGTAAATCCAAAGTACGCCTCCTCGTGCTTAACCTATTGCCAGATGGTGGGGTAGACAGAAGATCCGTAACGGGCCCTTCAAGACAACACTCCTGCAAAGCCCGCAGAGGTTGATCCAAGTAGGCACTGGGGATCAGGACTGGAGATTGCAAATTGGGCGGAGAGTCATCGACTTGCGAGTCGTTTGCCTGCAGTGGATGCGATGCACTTGCACTCGAGAGCTCATTGTGGAAGTTGCCCAGCTGGCGGTTCATCAAGGGAGCAGGCTCTAGGTAGTTGTTCCCTTCCGTCCTGCCCATGTTTACAGAAACCGAATGGGAAGAGTTCACCCTCTCACGTTCGCCCTGCGCAAAAGCATCCGTATTGACCGCGTTGATGTAGCGCTGGAACATCGGATATAGCTGTTCGGCGTTGTGTACTCGGAAGGTATAGATTCCTGGCCCGGACATGCACCTGCGTCCGGCCTCGAAGGAAAAGAGATCGGCATTTAGGCCATAGCGCCGAAGATGTTGGAGTGCCCAAACAATTGGCTCACAACCAGGAGTCTGAAAGATCAGTTCTCGGGGCGTCAGCTCCAGGTAGCCGCTCCGGATGATGGGCGTTCCTGGAGTGGGCTGCAGGTGGGCCACTCGCACTCGAAACACATTCTCATGACCACGCAGCTCGTTCAGCTTGCTGCTACTGGTAATGCAGCCCATGTTGTCGAACTAAAATAACAAAACAACAGTTACTTAAAAGTATTCCAATCCAGTTTTTTAAAATGATTATGCATACCTGGACGGGCAGATCCGCCTGGCTCTTATCGCAGAGGGCATGGGAGAATTTGCAAGCCGATAAGAGCACCACCCACCACCTCAACCTGTAATCCGTTAACAACTGGAGGCTTTGTGGGACAGTTGACGCTTGCTGATGTTATCCTAAATATATTCTCCTTCTCTGCCAACTCCTGTGCCTCAGGATTGATTGCTGATTTTTGTTATTGGGCTAGGGAACTCCGTTCGTGTGGTATAAAAATTATTCTACGACTTTTTCCCTCGCCCAGCAAAACGCAACTGTGAGTTGTAGGAATGCCAACTTATTTTTGCAAAAAGGACTTGCAAAAAAATTTTTTTTTTAAATAACACAAAATATATAAATATAATAAATATAAGTAAAGTTTAGAAATTGTGCTCATTAATATTATTAACAAGAAAATAATTTAAAATTAATAAATTCAACTTAATACCAGTCAAATTAAATATATATGAAGGTTTTTATTGGATGAACATTTTTGTAGACTCACGAGATTCTGTGGCGTAAGAGAATACACTATAAAATTTAAAGATATTATTACCCATTCTTTTTTTATTAACTATATTAATATCATAAAAACATGAAACATTGAAATGTGCTATGTTAAAAGAAGAAAACTTACAATTAATATGTAAAATTAATAAATACAAAAATATATATAAATAAATTTTGCAATTTTCCAAAAATATTGTTCATAAACACATCAAATGTTATAAATTTTAAATATATACGTATTGGTAATTTGTGTATTAAGTAGTTTAGCGGGAAATAAGTGGCCAGCACTATGAATTTATTTCGACACCCTAACGCGTTTTGGCCAAAAAACAGCTTAACGCGTTGAAAATACCTGGCCCGAGCGGACATTTTTATTTGTGGAGCGCGCAACAAGAACGAGAAAAGAAACCGAAACGGAAAGCAGGCAAAAAGAGCTGCTGCCAGTGTAGAATCGCAAAGTAAAGAAAGCAAGTGCGTGTGTTTTTAAACCGAAACCTAAAATCGAGCCAGGTAAATTGCACTTTAAGTCATAAGAAGATCAGATAATAAATTTAAAGAAAAAAGAAACTAAAGCCAAGCAGGCAGACGGCTTTTTGTGTGTGTGTGAGAGTGTGCGTGAGTGGTGCTACTTTTGAAATTCTCTATACCCGCTCTGTACTTCGCGTCTGTTTCAAAGGAATTGTGACTAAAAAGGAGACAAAGGGTATCTAATGAAAATGTTAATAACTGGTTTTAAGAAATGCTAACTGTATTTGAAGCTCAAGTGTTTGTAAAAGAGACGCCCGCCGACGCACACACACACACAGGCAGGAAAAAGGACGCCATGGAAGGCGGCTTAGTGTGCGTGAGCGCTTAAAGAAAGAAAGAGAGAGGGTGTGTAAAGATCCTCAAAACTAGTGTTTTATTAATATAAAAAGAAAAAAGGTACTTTTCTTTGTTCCAACCCCGTGCCCCCGCAAAAAACAATTTTTCGAATTTCGCCACTTTGGAATAGTTGCCTTTTTACAAAATTTTTGGGTGTGCCGCCTTCAATGCGTCGGCGTTGCCACCACGTCGGCGTCCGCAGCAGCAGCACAGGCAGAGACGTCGGCAGAGGCAAACACCATGCCGGTGTGGCTTTGTATCCGTTTCGCTCTCTCACTCGGTCTCTCTTTACGACTGAGCTGCTCTCTCCCTTTTGTGTCTCTCCTTTGCCTAGCCTCCTTCCTCCCGCTCTTCGCTCTTGTCCTTTGTGTCATCGCTTCGCCTTGACTTCTGGTTCATTGTCGTTGTCTCCTCTTTGTTTGCATTGTACGCCTGATTACACTTGCCAACATGTTTCTCCTTCGCCGCCAAACATCCTTATGCAAGGTGCATTTATATAGTGTTCACTGTTTCCAACATTCGATCTTTGTATGTGTTTGCATGCTTGTCGTCCCCTTTTGCGTCTCAGTTTACTCAGATTATCGATACGAGGATCGTCTTTTTGTTTTTCCTACACTTTTATTGCAAAAAATTGCGTCGCACTTTGTGCAGCGTTGGTTTGACAGTTGGACCGTCAGTCAGTCACTCAGTCGTTCAATCGCAGACGGGCAGACAGCCACCGCCCTAACTGGCGTCGCCTACATGGCATTGTATGGGTGTGTATATATGTGTATGTACTTGCGTGCCTGGTATAGTGTGCTTGTGTGCGTGCCTCGGTGCATGTATGGGTCCTTTACGAATGGAGTGGGTGGTCAGGAAGAAGAAGAGGAATCACAAGATTTTCGATTGTCAACTGCAATTTAAATTACTTTGAGAGGAGATTTGATGTATGTACATATATACTATTTATATTTTTATAAAATAATTGTTATTAGCACCATTTATATGATCCCACCAACAACTATACACCTATAAAACAACATTAGGTACTTATGAAATGCTAATCCATTGATGTTGTTGTTTCTTCATAGTGGTTTGAATTTTTCAAAAGCTTCTTGATGTTTACTTTCTAGTAATAGTAATAGTTTTGTATTTGTTTTCATAGGTTTTTAATATGACCCAGTTAAGGCATCAGAATTTAAAAGATTTTTTTGAAATTGTATTATTTGATATGAATGTAATTTGCATTCCAATTTGCATTTCACACCCTTAAGGATATAAAATTGATTTATTTCGTGGGAGTTTCTTGCGCTTTTAGGTAGTGGTCTCCCCACCAATATATCTTTGTTTAAATTTGTTTAATGCCAAGGGGGAACGGGACCCAGAGAATTTATGGCGGGTTTCCCTTGATGTCGACTCGAATTACTTGTACATATTTACCAGTCGTTCGCTGAGGACGAATATAATGCTTCTTTTGGTTATTGTTGCTGCTGCTCTTGCCTTTATTGGCGAATTTGTCAACGTTTGCTCAATCGCAAGTAAACATTGCATCGCAATGGGGAGAGTCTGAGGGCAAATTTACCGTTTCGTCAAGTGCGATTCGCGGTTAACCGGCAAAGCTCGATCCCAACAATTGGCCTTAAATTTGTCGATTAAGGTTCTTAAACTACGATTTATCAGAAAATATGGAGCACACCTTTCCGGAAATTTAATACAAATCTAAGTGCTAACAGAAATATATATTCTTAGAAGTCCACAGGTAGGGTAGGTATGATGTGAATCATTGTGAATATAAACACACTTTCGATGATTCAGAGATCGTTGCTCACTTTATAAAGTTTCGAACCCAAATTTGTACATCTGAAGTTCAAGTGCATATATCTTGGCCTCTAATTAATAAAAAGTTAATTGGATACCAATAGAAGTAAAGCTACTTCGCGGAATGAAATAAAACCTGTAACTTCCAATGTAACCCATACGATCTTAGAAACTGCAGAACAGAATAGCGATTTCTAGCTGAAAAAGGGAAGTCGTTTGCCAGCCTATTTGTGCTAAACATATAAAGCTCAAAGTCCGAAGCTCAATTGGGGAGCATGGGTGTAAGTAAGCCAAAGTGTTGAGAGGTCCCTTGTCACCGCTGTGCAATATACATACAAACATACGAACACATGTATTGTATACACACAAAGCGAGCGAATTTCTCATTTAATATGCAAACATCTGTGTGAAAGATGTTCGAAGGCTGCTGCTGCTGTGAGTGTAGGCAAATGTTCGCAGATTGAGCAGTTTTCATTTTAAGTTTTATTTTTAAAGAAGAATTGGAGTGATATTCATCCACGGCCCCCACCTACTATTCGACCACTTGAAGCCACTAATTCCCCAGGAATTTGGTTTGATTTCAGGCACACAAACATAATTGCTGGGTGCACATTATTTGTGTTGTTAGTTGTTATTGTTTTACGAGGCATTTGGCATGCCGAATGGGCATTGTATTAATGCCAAATCAACAGAAAAGTGGAAAATAGGAAAATATGTGTGTAGTCCGCACTAAAAATCAATCGCAGTAGCCCCAGAAACCAAAATAAACAAAGCGTTGGACGCAAAGATAAGCGGCCCTGATCAATCCAATACGATACGCTACGGTCCGATCCGATCTCCACTATATCCCCCTCTACCGATCTTGGGTTTTTATTTAAATTGAAGCTCTTGGCGGCGTTTGATTTCGATGTTGCGGTTTACTGATTTGCCTTTGCCGTTGCGTTGTGCTTATCAAAGCCGCTATTTGTTCTCTGTCGTCGAAGGTACAGTAATAATCTTGATCATACAATGAATACGAACGTTTCTGGGATTACTCTTAAAATATCCAATACATGAAGGTATTTTAATCTATTTGTTTCCATATAAGTGTTTAATTTTGTAATATATTACATACATATATTGTATTTCCCCATTACACATGGTACAAACAGAGATTTAAGTTTCTGAATCATTACTGTAGTTATGTACTTTCTTCGCAGTTGAAAATTACGCATTAGTTCATATGCGATCAAAATCAGATTAAAAACAAGATGTGTTTCAAGGTTTTATCGTACCAGGGTAATTACTTTCATAACATTGAAAAAAGGTTCAAAAACTTATTAGATTTGATTGCCAGTTTATGGGAACCACTTTCAACAGGAGCCAGTTCCATTAACCCCGCGACCACAGCAGAGATTTATCTTAAATTGGAGTTTGGAGTACTGAAGAATATCCCCTCCAAATGCATTTACATTCCCCCCGAAGCACAATTACTTTCCCATTCGCGGGCGATAATTAAATAACAATATAAGAGTCCCGTTGAATGTTACACCACATATTTCGGTGATTCTTCACGCCTTTTCTGTCTCTTCATTTCCCTTTGTCTTTTTCTGTGAGTGTGTGCGTTTGTGTGAGGCTCCCCTTATATGTGCATATTGTTTATTCCCGCTGCTTTTGCTTCTGTTTTTGTTGCTTTTGCTGTTGCATGTGGGGTCATTGTGTGAATGGCAGCAAAATAAAGCAATAAAGCATACGCATCGACGCCGCCAAGGCTCATTAGTTTGTTATTGACTAAGGAGTGAGAAAAGGAAGGAAAAGAAGCACAACCACAAGAGGGGGCACCAGGAGCACGCCTTTATCTTTATCGGCAGCTGACGGTCAATAAGTGAGTGTGTGTATATGTATGTGAGTGAGTGTGCCCGCATTTCTTTGCTTTTTCGGCTCCTCTGCTTCCGGCTGGCGTCGCTGTCGCTGTCGCTGCCTCTGTCGACGCCTCTGCCAACTGCATGAGAAGTTTCTGCTGCCATTGATCGAGACTCGCTCTCTCAGTCATCGTTTTTCGCTCGACTTTAACGGTTCTCGTGTGGATTTGATTCCAGTCTGGCTTGCAAGCAAAAGAAATAAACTAAAAGAACGCGGAGTGCCAAACCATAAAACTATTACTCTCGCTAGTTAATTGCACAGTTAACACAGTTAGTTTTCACCCAGTTAAGAGAGAGAGAGGAAGTAAAGAGACCACCCGCACGGTTGGCAAAAAATAGTAAGTACCGGAAATGACAGAAAGAGGCAGCAACGCACCAAAGAGGTCTAATGAATAATGTATAAAATAAAAAAAATAAAGATCCGTTTACAACAGACACACTTCGAGTGCCCACTGTGAATTTCTAATCAGAAAAGCTGTGTTCCGCTGCTCTTTGCGGAAAATGAATGCTAATTGGCCACGCTACCTAACTTGTTGTTGTTACCACTTTTTAATACACAACTTACAACTGTCGCACGCCTCTCGGAGTTTTAATTAACCGCAACGAGAGGAAGACAGAAAAATGAAGACCGAGAGAATCAGCAAAGAGAGTTGGAGCGGCAGGAAAAAGAGAAGAAAAGCGAACCGGTTTAGTGGGCGCTCTGGTTCTTTTTCTGTTGCTGCTTTCCTCCGATTTACTTTGTGTTCGTTTATCCTTTTTTTCTCTGAGCCATGAAAGAAGAAGGAGAAGTAGGAGAAGAAGGAGAAGTGACTGTGCGTGGGTAGGCGACAAATTTATTGGCACTTATTCGCTCATCCGCCCTTTCTTGTCTATAAGGAAAAAAGGAAGCCCCAAGCTTTGAATATTCAAATATTTATTGTAATTATTTTCAACACCGGCCCACAGAGT